CAAAGTTTTAGACGTTCTTCAGTAGTGTGATCAGTCTAAATGTTCGCGTTCGCCATACCGTCGGTATGGTAATTTATTTACTTCTTTGCTCCTACTCCTTCGCTCCTTTCTTCGCGTCTACTCTCTCCCTGATCGTATTATGGGCTGGATCTCGACGGCGACGCGGCTAACTCTGTACATGCATATCTATCGGACGAAAATAACTTTATACCCGTTGCTTTCATACCTCAGGGCGTCGATGATGTGCACTCGTTTTCTTCTTTCTTTTCTTCTATCATCATTACATAACAAAATCATCAAGCGTCATATTAGCATGAGGGTCATTGTGTCAATAGTATTACAGCATAATAAAAGCAAAGTTTTAGACGTTCTTCCTCGCTGAGAGGATTAGTACGCTGCAACCTGCACTGGACAATGCCAACGACGACGACACCACGATAGTTGGCATAAAGATGCTCTTTAAATGCGCTCACTCTAATCTAATCCGACTCAACACCCGCTGTGCTCATCGCACGAGCCCGCATGCCGCGCATGCGTTTTTCTCGCGCGCTCTCGCTCACCCGCTTCCGCAGCGACCGCGATCGTTGCAGGTGTCTCGTCTTGCGGGCAGCGTATGAGGCATACGAGCGCAGGCGCAGCCCCTAACGTTCGCAGAATAAGGAGGGCTTTCATGAACTCGCCTCCGTGGGGGGAAGACGCTGACCCCAACGGTTGTTCATTCAAGTTCCCGCGTCTTGTCGGCATCTTTCGAGCTAGAATTTGTCACGTTGCTCTCTCGCATTTCCGTTATATGCCAAGGCTGCTCTACTGTTCATGCTGTAGTTACGAAGCTACGCTGTGCAATACACGGTCAGGCTGCCAGACTAGCTGGCAGTCTCGACACCTTCTACATCAAACATTTGATATCTATTCAACAGCATGCGCGAGGTCAGATTAGACAGAAGGAGGGGCAAATCTGACGGATTCACTGTGCGAAGGCGCAATGGGGTAGCTACTAGTAGCAAGATAATTACATGGATCATGCCTGAATAGGGGTGGCTAATCGTTTTTTGGGTTAGCAAGTAGGCTGTTGCGGCGGCGAGTCGTATTAGATTTCGTGAGCGACAGATCGTCGACGGATCTGGCGCAAGATGCAACCATCCACCTTGGATGCGTTGCGACAAATATTAGACATCGCATTCGAGCCAAATCTACCCTGGATCTGGATCTGAGGCTGATCTGCATCTGTCAAGATCCGCGTCTTTCCACAGTGCAGCATCAAATCAGAAGCCAGGGACACCAGGGGGCGGATGCTTTGGGGGTTGGCAGGCACGGCGATCCTGACGTCATGCGTTAGTCAGCGCCATGGCTCAGTGTTGGAGACTCGTTTGGGATGAATGAGCGGCCCCTTGACAGAAGCCTGTCTTTCCATATCCGACATGAGCGATAAGGCAGGATGACTTCTAATGCAGCCCTTTTGCCAGTCCAAGCCGACCCACCTGAACATGTAACAATTAAAGTTTATTGCTCACAACGTAACGTTCGGCACTCAGCTTTACCCTACATGCCTTTATCCAGGATGGCTCATGCTTTAAAGAACCTCAAATCTCTTGTATCATTTTAAATTTGTCCACCAAGTCCTTTGACCTTTCTGTTGTAGTACCTTTCGCCTACCCGTTCTCCCGGCTTGATGACAGACAACTATCTTCCTGAACACTGGGGCGTACTTGCTCTCCATGTTCCCCAACACGGTTGGATCAGGAATATTCCCTTGACCTCCCGCAAGGACTGCATCCGAGTAGGAGCAAACTTGATGGCTAATGACGTTAATATTACCAGCAGAGGGATTCCTCTGGGTATCGCATCTTTTATTATATGCGTTCCTTTGGCGTATATGGCTCATTGTCCTTGCACAGATGCTCATCACTTTATCGTATATAATGCGCCGGATAAACAACTTGAAGACGCAGAAAAGTTTCACTTATCGGACATTAGTACATTCGGGACATGGGTAAGCCTTGCAAGAAGCCTTGCGCTCTTGCTGCCGATACAAGTCTATTTTAAGCTCACTTGTATTTACATTTCAAAGGTCAACGGTGTGCGCTGTATCCAAGGGAGCAAGGTAGCTATCCGACCAGGTGCCCGAATTACCACGTCTGGCAAAACAACGGAATTCTGTACCACTTTTTCCACTATTAGCTCTCGGACGTAACTGATTTTTTCAATCGACATCCCAGATTTTGAGCTCTTGGATCCCACAATTGCTGTAAGTACTATGAATGAAGTCACTTGTCATAAGCCTAATTGTATCACAGTTCTCAGACCAATACATGATTGGAGAAAAGTGAGCGCATGCAGTTTACTAAGACAGCTGAGCTAAGTCGAGCCTGTATTTTTTGGGGATAGCATTGGAAGCAGTTCCTTTGGAATAGTTTACAAAGCAAAGCGCTTGGCCACAGAAAAGGAATACGCTGTAAAAGTTCTTCGAAAGCTTCCATTCCGTCCCCACAAACTTCGCAACGCCCCTATCCTTAAGGAAGTACTCATCTTACAGAACCTTGGACACGTTGGTCGTATTCTTACAGTTCAGCTACCATAGTACTGACGCAAAATGTTATAGACAAACATCGTCAACCTTCATGCAGCTTTTGAGTCCAAGAAGGAAATCTGTAAGCGGTGCATCTTGTATTGCTCAAGCTACGTATCGAGCTAAGTCCACTTGTAGACCTGGTCATGGAGTTCATGCGCCATGGCGACCTTGAAAGCCTTATACAAAAGTACAAGGGTCTAGGTAGGTAACGGTATTAACTAAATCCCTTCAGCCTGGTGAGCTTTCCTCATAGATGAATCAGTTTCCAAAACAGCCCTGAATCAGATTTGTGACGGGCTGGAGGTGAGTGGCCATTTGCCTCACGCTTCCAAGTCTCTGGCTAACGTTGCTCCCTCTCCAGTACCTTCATTGTATCGGCATTGTTCATAGAGACGTTAAGCCTCCGGTGAGTCGATGGTCTTTTTTTTGCGATATTCAGCTGCTTGACCGCGCTGCAGAATGTTCTAGTGGCTGGCACTACACCGCTACGCTTGAAGCTGACCGACTTTGGCATCTCAAAAGTTGTCAATGATACAACCTTCATGAGGGTAAATCAAGTGTATAGTCTCTTCAACCTTGTAATACCTGCTAATCCTAGAACTAGACACTGTGTGGGACGCCAATGTATATGGCTCCTGAGATCTACGCCCCAGGCGCGGGTGTCGACCATCACTACGATCGGAAAGTTGATTCTTGGAGCCTCGGTGTTACTCTATTCAAGATGTTGGTGCACCTCAGTTCACATATATCGGCTGTCTGTGATGCGTTTTTAGGTTATCAAGCAAATACCCATTCTCAAAGAAGGACGTTCCAAGACCGCCCGACTATCAGGACAAACGCTTCCCAAAGTGGGACCGTCTCCCGGAGAGGATGCGAAACGTTAACAACAGCCAAGGTAAACGCCTTCAAGAGTTGAAGCGTTTAGCTAACCTCATAAAACTCTCTTGAAGTTCGCAACCTATTGACAAGTCTTCTTGAGCACAACCCGGTGCAAAGGCTGCCTATTCAGAAGGTGAAGCATCACCCTTGGATGCTCTAATGCCTCTGGCATTATATCGCAGCAGTATCAACCACTGGGTCGCGATCGCAACCAGAGAGGGGGTAACAATGTAAGATGGAGCCACGTAGTATGTATATTTTTACTAGCTACGTCTAGACCATGCCCCGTACATGTACACTAGTATAGCGAAATGGCTTGGCATAGGAATCAAACAAATCAGAAGCAGCTAGATGATGTCGCACCGGTGTGAATCAAGCGTTCAACTAGCTTATCACATACGAGGACCTTAGAATTCCGGAGCTTTGGTCGTAGTAGATCATCTAGTATAGCTGTATTAGGCGAGGCACCAGCCGAGCTGGTAAAAGCTTTGCTCGTAGTCGCACATGGCGCCACCTCCACCCAGAGCGTCCTCTTACCCATATGCCAGCCACGCCCTTGCCGCGTCTGCTGTCCATGCATAACCGACCATGCTCCCGATTAGCTGATGAGCATCAAAAGAGGAGTGATTAAAGCGAGAACACCCCAAACCAAGCTTTCGCAGTGCATACCTCTCCAAAGGGAACCTGGGCTCGGTGCTCCGCTGCGAGAGCGCTGCAAGCACAGGCGTGATCTGCTGCACCTTGCGTATCGACCTCGCCGCCGCTGACGCTCCCGAGCGGGTTATGCATCCTATTCATGGCCTCGAGGAGGCGCAGCCCATGCGCGTTGCAGTCCACGAGGTCGGTGACTGTGCGCGAGACGCTGCTGAGCGTGCGATAAGCCGTGCGCATATGCCAGGCGCACGCAAGATCCCCGATCTGAAGAAGGTGTCAACAAAGTCCCATCGCCTTCGGAGCCACCAACCCAGAGAAGACGTACCAGCGAGTTGTGTTCGTCCCCGGGCCCCGGCCCACGCCGCGAAATCCTGGAGGACAAGTCTGAAGAAATGTGCGAATCTGCCGCCATCCGAGCCGTCGTATAGGCCTATCGATGCCTCGGTGAACGGCAGCGATGTCTTTGGCGGAGGCGGTGGCTCTCCATGGTCAGAGCGAGGCGGAACGAACTCGTGCTGGCTTCCATTTACGAGTCTGCGCATTCAGCTTGCCCGCTGACTTGGTGTTGGTCGGCGCCTCCACATACTCGTCGGGCTTGTATCCCGACTCGTCTGCTGGAGGGCCGGGTACGCTGGGTGCGCTGGGTGCGAACATGACGGAAGAAGGAGCGGTAACAGACGAGAGTTGTAGGTCGGGTGGTGGTATTATCGTCGTTGAATGGGTTCATAGGTTCGTCTGAAGGGCTGTATTCCGTGAACAGGATGTATTAGGTATGAATAGGAGAGCATATAAACATGGTGCTTACCTCGAAAGACGGGCGAGCGGGGAGGGGATGAATGGAGGCTGAGGCTGGGTAGGAGGAACAGATGTTCGAGAGGCTGAGGAGAACGAGCGACATGCTGTAGGCGCACATGATCGAGAAGGCTTCGCCATCGCGATTCGCCCTCGGCTGGGTCCGGCGAGCTGGCGCTATGCGTCCTAAGACCGGCGCGGCGATTCTGGCCCAAAGCGTAGCGAATGAAGATGGAGTAGAATCACGTTCAGGTTCATCGACATCCACTGCACCGCAAGAACTTCCTCAGGCTCGTCCATCACCGGCGTCGACCTCACTCGTCTTGCCCGTCCCGGTGTTCACCGCTTCCTGCCTGGCGTTACATAATCTCCAGCACGTGCGTTAAGAGACTTCGCACGGCGATGCTGGCTCTCATGTTGACATGCTGCGTACTCGTCAACCTCGTCCCCAACGTCTTGCATTGACGTCGGCATAAAAACTAGTGAGGTTGTCGGAGTCGTCGTTGGGGTTGCGTGAGATGGCCTGCTATGGTCATTAGCTCGCAATGAACAGGCCGGGGAGGAAATTGAGTACGAACTCTGTACGGGAGCTGCTGGCTGCCTTGATAATCCTACTCTCATCGTTAGCGATTTCAGCGATGAGGAGAAAGACAAAACCTCTTGTCCTATACCTAGGGGTTGCGAGTAGCACGAGGAACTAAGCCTTGATGTTCGTATGCCTCTTCCTCTTTTTCTCATCCTTCACCTGTTCCTAGGGCTAGCGCGCTCGGACCATCCGCACTCGGATATCGTGCCAACGCGTCCTTGTCTTCGCCCCTGGGCTCCGTGCCGTGGAGCCACGCCAGGCCCTTCGGCGGGGCGTGACGTCTTGAGCCATGTCTTTGGACCAATGACGAGCTTGGTGGGCATCAGCAGCGCAGCGACGTTGTAGCGGTCCAGCGCGTGAGGTTCGGCCTTAGCGACCCATTGCATGACTAGTGGTCGCGAAGAGGCGCATGGTCATGCGTATGCGAGAGCGAAATGGTAGAGCGTGATGCTTACATAAGCCAAAGCCCCCTTATCTTGTCTAAAACCCTGACGCAAAAACGATCATCGCCCTCGCGGGCATACCTGGAACCGCGGCAGGGCCTCACTCAACGATCGGACGAAACCAGACATGGTACACAACTAGGCATAAAGGATACATGCTAGATTTACTAGATTGCAAGTATATACGATTAGCGCGTTAGATCTGCGCGTCATAGGATACGGGAAGGAGTTCGTCCGACGGAGTGAATTCGTTCCCCAGCAATCGAAGGGGAGCGTGCGAGGTAGGCGCGCTGCTCAGGTCTACCTGAGGAACAGAATACGTGCAGACGGCACACGCAGTCATGCCCATGGCAATATCGAGCGTCAAACGCCGACTGCTACCCGCGTATAATAGCTTCCTTCAATGCTTCGCCATAAAAGTAAGATAAAGGGAACTCCTTGCCTAGCAAGATCGTAGGTAGCTGTAGAGAAAATGTAGGTGATCCGTGAATCAAGAAACGACAGTCCTCCTTGCAGTCTGCATTGGAGACGCCATTGAGCACTCTTCGTCGGCATGAACACTCTTAGTCGGCATGCAAGCGGTAAGCGCTTAAGCTGTCAACGCAATACAATAGGGGATCAGTAACCTTTGAGCATGAGGATGCCGGCGGTAACGCTCAAGACTAGAAGCACGAACGGAGGCTAAAGAACAAGAGAGATGCCATCGATGATGCATATACAACGAGCGAGGGATTACTAGTACTCCTGCTAGTGGCTAAAGGAAAATTAATTCACTATCTAGTATTGGCGACCGCTAAAGTTCAAGGTGAAGCAACCTTCTAAACGCCTTCGAGGGTGCTTTTAGAAATAATCCTCTTGTTTTATATGCCTACCCTAAGCCACACAACCCTAAGCCACGCAGGTTCCAAAATCATCGGAGCGCTGACTTAGGTGCTGACGTTGCTTGTTCCATTCCGAATAGACCATAACTCTCTCATCCAATCATGCTTTGTGACATTGGAGATTGATAGACGATCTTCTACTGCCCATGCAAGCATACCAAGAATCATGTTGCGGACTGTATTGCGGCAATTTCACTTAGCATATGTATCGCATCGGAAAAGTAGACGCTTTCCAGTTTCGTTAGCCTTGTCTGGAAATCTGCTCCAATCAATTATACGGGTATCAAAGATCAAACCACCTGGCAAGATTTTGAAGTCGCTATGGTGGAACGGTGGCTTAGCTGCTAACCTGACAGTTCATCTAAGCACAGGGGCGAAAATGCAGGGGTACCATCGTAAAAGCAGACGTACATAAAAAAGATCGTGACGCCCAGGCCCCAAGCGTCGACCTTGTTATCATATTCATTGTAGCCCAGCATTCGGTTGCAAACCACTTCTGGAGCTATGTACAACGGTGTACCGCAAAACGTCTGAAGGATAAGATGCAAGGTAAGCAGGCGTCGTCCATGGCTAATATCAATATGGCACGAACCCTGCAGCAGCTACCATTGGCTGCAGCTTTTGCAATGCCAAAATCCGCCAACTTTGTCCTGGGTGGGTTCAAGGAAGCAACCAGAATATTCTGTTGGCACGTAGTCTTAGTGTTGGTTCTTGATCGAGGCTTGAAGAGCCATACGTTGGCAATGACCGACCTTTGGTTTGACATCACGGTGCACAACGTTGTTGGAATGAAGGTACTGGCACGCGCGATGGCTTTAGAGGAGCACGGAAAACTTGGTCAAAATTTGAGGAGATTGACTTTACCTCGAGAGCGTCGCACATATCGGCTGTCACAAGCTGTGCATCGTGTTCCGCTGGCATGTTGTGTTAACGCGCCATGTTTCATTGCAGCTAGGAGTGGACTGAATTCTTACACATCCCTTCGCACCTTTCTATAAGATCGTGAAGGTCGCCGTGTGGTACGTATTCCATCACAACGACTAAGGCTTTTGATTAGTGAAAAACTCCACCATCATAAGTAGGAAATGCTGACAGAGTTCTCGATGCTCTTCTAGAACGGCGACAAGTTGGACGATGTTGGGCTGGGCGAGGGTCAGCATCTGAAGGGAACCAGGCGTATCGACCTCGCACATGTCTCAACGTTTTCAGCATAGTGATCTCATTTTGAGCTTCATTACGACGGTCCCATCTGGGAGGTAAATCCGGTTTACGCATGATCTTGACGGCATACTCTTGCCTGTTAATTCGGTTGCAGGTTCGCTTGACAACCCCAAATCCTCCGCATCCAATTCTACACAAGCCTATTAGCTTGATAGCAGGCGGAGATCATCCGCAAATGTCCCTCACTGTTCTTTTAAGTCAAAATGAGAAGAAAACTATAGCGGACATTTCAGCGTCGTAAGCCGTCAACGGGGGGAAAGATGCGCTCACTGAGTTATCGTTTGTAGCCAAAAACTCAAGCGCTGTGCACATATGGGGTAGGATTCAGCCTTGCATCCACGCGCGATATTGTACTTACCTAAGTGACGGGGTCGACGCGGAAGATGTATGACCGCACCGCTCAGAATATCATGCTGCATATCAGCTGAAATTCTTTGGCGGTTTACCTTGAGAAATTTGGTCGACAAGCGTTAGGCATGGACAACTGAAATCTGCTCACATATGTTCCGTTCCTGCTCTTGTTGTCTTTAATCGTGTATCTGACGGTTGCCGAGTCGTCTCCTAGATGACGTGTGATGCAAAAATGATGGGCACCTTCGCAAGAGAGAAAGGCGTAGACCGATCAGCGATACTGATGATCGAAAACGACCACAAGCCACTTACTGATGAAAGGATTTTCGATCAGAAGGTCGGATGACATATCGGAGCCAACAGTGTAGCAATCCTTGAGGGAATCGAGAAAGATCTCTTGCGCAGTTCCACTTTCGAGGTCTGGATTAGTAACAAGGATTCTCCCCCAGACCGGAGGTAACAAAAGGTACGCCATCTCCAAAGAATTGGTGAAGTATCAACTTGGTATAAGAGTATCACGTTGTGGCTCTTAGATACGAGGCAGCTGGGGGGGGGGGGCAGGTTGAACGTTCGAACGTTGGGATCGAGATGCCGGTCATAAAATGGATATATACGGGAAGAACTGATCACGTGGCCAAGGCGCGCGGTGATATTGACATCAAAGACTTCCCGCCCGAGCACGAAACATGCGTATTGAGTGCGTAGGCTAGGGCTAGCACACGGGGAGCATCACAACGCAGAAAAAAAACAATGGAGCGTAACTCTATGCAAAATCAAGGCGGCTCGGCGCGGCCGGCACGTTTTGGGCGATTTTAAGTTGGCATACAGCGTTGAAGAGATAGAGATGAGCGCAGCGATGCGAGGTACCAAGAGCTTCGGATGCGAACTAGAGGTTACTAGAGGGCGAGGGTGGCTGACATGGTCATGCGGTTTCGAATGTAGATTCCGGAGGCTCCCGACGACTCGCACCAACGGCTGACCCTTGGGCTGACCGTTGGGATACGATTGGACAATATGATTCATGGCCCTCACCGTACCTTACCAACGTCTGTCACGCCGTAGTTAAGTTGATCGCCCCGCCTTGATGATGCAACGATCAGATAGCGAGTATGATCGTGAACGGGGCAGCTTACCTGTTGCATAAGAAAGGGTCCCCAAGTACTCCAACATCAGGTGATAGTCCAGCACCGCCGATTGCACGCAAAGTCTGGAGGCTTCGCAACGGAGACGTCGTGAAGATTATGCAACTTAGTGAAAGAGTTCTCCAGCCCGCTCAGCAGCTCTTGCATCGTCACTCGCTGACGGCGTGAAAGCTCCAGCGGTGTAGAGGAAAGTTGAATGCGCTCCATGCGCTACTGCGAATGCGCAACGCTGTTTGGCTCCGCTAGTCTAGTCTCCGAGTCCGGTAGGCAGACTTTAGCTGAGCATGGAAAACAGTCGTTCTGACGGCTCCGGCTTGTGAACCGTATTAAGCAGCCAGTCACGAGCTGACGGCTGCACTGGCACCGTCGGTGTCGCCCGTGAAGTTGGTGCCCTCAGCCCTGAGGGGTCTTCCTGGGTGAGGAAGAAGCCAAAGGTGCTCATCGTGCACCGCTCAACGGAGCTCTTGATCATTGAAACGCACGCGGCACGGCCCTTTGCGTCTATCGATGAGTTGTCTGTGCCGTAGCCCGAAACCCCGCCCTCGGCTGTCTGAAGCCATATCTTACCAAGTCTAGCATCACCTCCACGCATTTTGAGGGCTCGTTTTGGGAGCTGTGGACTTGGTGGCGGTGGGTGGCTCGTTGCGAGCGGCTGTTACTTATCGTGCATGTTGGCGGAATCAATCCAGGGGGTAGTTGATCGCCAGATGAACAGGGCGGCGTGCCTCACCCCGAGCTGTTGCCCGCGGTCGAGCAGCGGGAAGACGCTCTTGATGCGGTGCGTTATTTCAAATTTGGCGTTAGGCATCTAGGCGTTAAACGTTTCGATGGCCATATGTGCCGCTGAGGTTTAGGGAGCGCATAAGCAGGGATGCATGATGCACCCTCGCGCACCCTGTTTGAGCAGGCGGCGATCTCTGTGCCATGCTGGAGCGGTAGGCTGGGCTCCTTTTTGAGAACACGCGCGGCGACGCTGATTTTGGAAGCGACCAGGATGCAAGGGCAAGGTCATGCGCGCTCTGAGCAAAATTAACGTATACCCGCAGCGGACCGAGCATCTCACATTAATTGCAGATAGCGTGTGGCAGCTGCGTGGCCTCTGATCGCGATCCACTTCCTGAGATCTAAACTTGCCCAGTCGCTGCTGTTTCGCACCTATGCTTTCGCCAGCGTCGATGTCCCCGCCTTGCCCGCAGCTTCCTTCGTCTCTCGTCTTGAGCATGAGGTCTTGAGGGCCTGCGTCCGTTACAGTAATGTTGATCAAGCGCGTAGAAGTCATGGTGAGAAACATGCGGATGCGCTGCGGAGAATGCTATACCCGCAGGAACTTCGCGAACCGTCATTTCGAGCGGGTGAAACCCCGCTTCCGAGTCGTACGTCCTGAGACCCGACGACGCTGGGTCATTTACGTCATAATCGTAAGACCGACCGTCAGGCCTCAGGCCGAGTTCTGAGGCGCACGCGCACTCTTTTCTGCTCTACCATGGCCGGGTTGGGTGAGCGGCGCGTTAAGGTAAGTTCAAGCCATCCAGTGAACTTGCATGCACTTACTACGAGAGCCGTGCTAGGCTTGTCATCGCATCACTACTGTGGATGCAGCTACGCTTCTAAGGGACCATGATAGCGGGCAAATTGAAGTGTTGCCTTATGCTGTCACCAGTGAACAGGACCCCGATTCTTGTGCCAGCATGTCGCAGGCGTTCTCAACGCTGCGAACTCTTATGAGGGAACATGATGCCTTCAAGGAAAGTGCTCGTGCGGGATCTGCATCTGATGCCGCTGATCCTGGTCCTGTGCCTGATCTCCAGACGCCGAAGGGAGATTTTGAACATAACGTGAGTTGAACGTCTATTTTTGCTTAAGCTATCAGCTGTACTGAATGGATTTTTGCTAAGGGTAAAAAATCTCGAGCTGATAAACGCAAAGTGCGTAAGTACGCCCAACAGACCCTACGTCGACAAAAAAAACGCCAGATTGCTGGCTGTGCAAAGGCTGCTGGGCATGAGACTGTTGGTTCTCTTGGTCTCAAGAAGGCACAACGTACTCGCCTCCAGAAACGACCTCATTTCACTGCTGCTTCGATTGATGCAGAGGGTGACCTGAAGACCGACCACGGAGCTTTTTCTGGCTCAAAGAATGTTGAGGATAAGGGAAAGCCTTTCGATATTCAGCCACTTCTGGATAAAGGGTTTGAGCTACTTCCGTGGAAAGGTGAGTAAGTAATATCTATCAATGAAACGTATCATCCATCCTCACCATCTATTTTGCATTGCAGGGAAACCGAGCTCATCACCGATAAGAACGGGGTTGTTCTTTGTGTGCTGGCAGGCAGACCCAGCTCGGCAGAGGAATCCGGCTATGATGCTGATTGCAAAGACGTGACCTGCATGATGAATTGCTTGGGGAAGGCTTACCCGACACTTCCATCTGCTTGCAAGAATATGCGAGGTCCACATACTACCAAGACCATCGGTATAACTCATGGGCAAGGAACTCCGGTAAATATGAACAGCTTGCCTTATTGTACTCAGATGCTCAGTGCAGTCACTCCAGCACCCGGTCAACTTCGCTGCTGACCAGGACCTCGCTAATTTTCTTCGAAGCCAGCCAGCTGTGCATCGCATCTCAGGTTATGCTGATGGCGGGTCCTTCTTTTCATCTCTTTGGTTCTTTTACTAATTGCGCTTCCCAACCGTTCAGCTGCAATGTGGCTGTATGCGCCAAAGCAGGCACATTATATGAAAGACACATGCTCAAAGGTTCTGGAGCGCGATCCCAACCTCGTACCCAACTTTCCTGACATCGTGTGGCCTGCAATGTCTTTCAATTTTGGCAAGAACGTTGCAACGCATAAGCACGTTGATTGTATGAACCTTCCGCAAGGTTTGTGCGCCATATGGGCTGGAGGAGATTATGATCCCACAGAGGGAGGGCACCTCATTCTTTGGAAACTCAAGCGCATCATCGAGTTTCCTCCACACTCGTGGATACTGATTCCTTCTAGCATCATTCCCCACGGGAACTCTTCGGTCCATCCTCATGAGAACAGAGTTTCGATCACCCACTTTTGTCCAGGCGGGCTTGCAAGATGGGTGGAGGCAGGCTTTACCTTGATGGAGAGCTTAACACCGGCTGAAAGGCATGCTGTTAACGGAGGGGATAGGGGTAGATGGCCTGCAGCGTCAAATCTCTTCTCTACAGTAGAATCTCTCGAAAAGGATAGGAGCGACGTAGTAAGGTAATCTGGGGCACCGATATACCCATCACAGCAGACTTAGTTAGCTTCCAACTTCAGCCTTTAATAGACTCTGAGTTGGACGTTCATTGAAGCCTTTGCATCAGAAACCGGTATGAAGAGCATGCTCAGAAGCTGGGAAGTCGGTGACAGCGGCAGTACTAGTAAACCCCGGTGCACGGTATCTCCCGTATAATTCACCTTCTTACCGTTATTCGTTTGGTGTTCTCTCGCTCTCCCTTGCAACCCCTCGCCTTTGTGCATGCGTCAGCGGAAGCCTGGGCTGTTGGTAAGCCTTCGCCGCGCTGACGCACCCCCTCTTCGACCGAGAATAAAAGAAGGAGAGTTCTATCTCCAGTGGCCTCATTCCACTCCTGGCTCCGGCTCGTTCGTCGTCCACATCAGCATGTCTGCGTGTTTTGTCGTAGGCATGATCGGCCTCGCCAATGGCGTCCGTCGCTCGGAGAGTAACGGCAGTGCCGTGACGTTTTATTGCTATTACGACTCCGCAGTTCACTGCAGTCAAGCCCGCTCCGTTCCCGCCCAAATCCGCGTTTACAGTCCTAAGCGCGATCAGGTCCTTCCCAACGACACTGTCGCGTTCGTTATCGCCAAAGCTTACTTTGAGTGTGGAGGGACCATTCTTCTCGACACTCAGCCGCAGCAGCTCTTTCCTATCCCTGGCGATCCATCCGACGAGCATTATCTCGACCACGTTCCGGACTTCAATTTTCCTATGCTGTTCGCCATCGGCCGCGTTTGCCCTATGTCATCCACTGACAGCGTATCGACTCCCGTTTGTCGTTTCGACATTGCTGTTTCCGAGTACGTTCGCAACACTACGCAGCATAGCATTGTTGAGTGAGCAATGTATTCGATTCTTTTCACAATATCTAACATGCAGCTTCACAGATTAAGTTGCGACGTATCTTCGTCACGGTGGGCAAATACGCCTGCTCCGACTGTTAACACAGGCGTTGGAGTACTCGCTGTCGCCAGCGGCTTGAACACTTCCGGTGTAATGCGGTTTGACTTGCTCTCTCTGGCTTTAAACGTATCTCCAACCGTGGCGATCGGAGGCGGTCCAAGCAGCGGCGTCAATGGCGATGGCATACCGGATTCGTCGAAACGAAAGCGATTCTCGGCTTACGCGGGATCAGGGCAGCAATAGTCACAGCGGTATGTTGTTTATGTTCTTCGATGCTGTGTATCGTGCTTACATGTTGTTACCAGCAGCCAATCGGCGGCAGGCGACCTCGACGATGAAGACCACGCGCATGATAAGATGCATCCTACAAAGTTCGTCCACGGCGTCGAGGATGAAAAGAGCGATTCGAGTAAATCTGCTAGTGGTGGAGGGAAACGGAAATCAGCTCGTCAATCCTCAACGACCAAGGGTAAGAGTGTTTCGTCTCAAACGGGGGAGACATTGAGTCCACAAACGTACGTTATTATTCTTTCCTCTTCGCAGCGAGTTCCTGATTGTTATCGCATTAAGGGTGGAATCAAGTTCTGAATTGTGAGTCTGTCGCAATGACCGATGTTGTGTATAGTCGTCATAGGATAGATGACGAGGCCATGTCTGAAGTTGTAGACGTGGAAGAGTCCAGCAACAAAGTCGCTGACGGAAAGCCTGCAATCAAGTACGTGGTTCACACTCTTAACCGCTCTTATGAAACCGACTAACATGATACGTGAAGAGGATCATCGTCAACGTCGGCCACGAACGCCCCTAACGCGGACTCGCGTTCACGCGACGCGGTGTTACCCCCCGAAGCTTTCCACCCGCAGACGCCCCAGCTTTTCGAGCCCAAGGTTGATGCAGGGGTTGCGTCCGGTCATGCTGCGATGCTGGCTACGCTCAGCCCTGAAGAATTAACAGCCTTAGTTGCTACGTAAAACAAAAACTCATCTGCGGTCGGTTCCACAACCGCTGCACCAACTTCGAAGCCCAAACGCCAGCGTAAGAGCAGGAAGTAGCGACCGACTTTTCTTCACCTGTTGTTAGAGTAGTCGCATGCACCTCTGTATCAGTAAAACAAACGTCTACAATTGGATGATCACCATGCAATTGCCTTCCCTCTGTCGTGCTTCGGAATACCCCTTTTATTAATTGTTCAGTGTGACTGGGACAGGGGCGCGTTTGGCGATGGTCGGAGGAATAACAGGAACAAGGCCGTATGGCGAAAGTGACTCACCAGCCGCGTCCGAGGACAAGTCGTGCTCTGAATCCGAGCTATCCTGCATGGATGAAGGGTCAGGCTCGTCCTGAGTTGTCGTAAATCTCCTAGAACCTGCAAACGGCTTCGGGCCGAAACGCCGCCGCCGCGCCTCGGCTGCCGGTTGGCATCGCGTCGCTCACCGCCGCCATCGCGTCCCATCCCTTCATGGCGTCCCATTCCTTCATGAGCCCCCTCCGCCCGCAGCGGGCGCCGCGCTTGGCAAGCCCTCAGCCTCGCACCCTCTGCAACATGGCTCCCCAACGCTCGGCTTCCGGACCCGGCGAGCCCGCCGTCTGGGTAGCAGCCTGCCGCATGCTTGACTAGCCTAACCATAGGCATGTTGGCGTGCGGTGTGCACGGGCATCGGACCCCTGCTTGGTAGGCTGGCGCGCCTTGGAACTCTGGAGAGCACGCAATTAGCTCTGAGCTCAGCTGCTCGCTCTCGGTCGGACCTCTCTGAAGCTCGTGAGTGCAGGATGGTCAAACGAGCTACCGTTGCTAACTGCCGTCGGCTCTCAACAGCAGCCCCACCGCGCTCAGGCACGTCGCCTTTGGCTCTCTCTGCTGCATTCGCATCGACCCCTTCGACGCCGGCTGCTCAGCGCCCGCAGTTTGCTTTTGGACGCCTTTCACCCAGGCTGGCAGCTTGAGCGATGGTGTGGAGGGCTTGAGGGAGGGGTCGGAGCTGGAGTTGGAGGAACCACAGGGGGAGGAAGCTCAGGCGAAGAACTCTAACCGCCCGCCATCCTTACACCTTGCTGCTAAAAGACCGGCTCCGCGTCGAAGACGCAGTTTCCTGCTGATGCTTCCCGCTGCTCAACGGCTCCAGGGTGCCCTATACCAGAGGCGCCGCGGTCGCAGGGGATGGGCTGCGCTCCCCCCGCGCGTGCGCGCACTGTTTTAGTGTGCATGCCAGGCATCAATCCCTTGGCGCTCACCCCGCAGCGCCTGCGATCCGTCCGCCGTCTTCCCTTTTTCAATTTAGCTCCAAAAAAAGCAAACAAACAAGCAAACAGCCCTCTTCTGCATGCACTTCTACTCCGTGCTTTGCGCGTCGCAATGGCATTGGGAAGCGACGCCTCCCTCCACCACCTGTGCCCGACGCCAAGGGATGCTCTAGCAAAGCTGGCGAAGGCTCGTCTGCGTAGGGCGTGAATCAGGGCAGTTTTTGGCACCCTAGTCCGCAGATCCTGAGACGACTCCGCTCCCTATTCCACCGGCGGCAGCGGGGACCCGCCGACGCCAACGGGTGCGAACTCTTCCGACGAGTACCACAGGCCAAACGGGGCCATGGACGAGCATGAGGTGGAGCCAACGCCGCCACTCTCCACGGCAAGTGCGCGGGCACGGTCTTGCAGCGATCCCGCCCTGCCTTTCCATCATCCACGGGGGTGGCTCGCTTGCATTGAAGGGGCCCTGCGCTTTATTGATTCTACCAACCCAGCGGTGCTTCGCCGTCGGCCGCACCAGCGGTCAGGCTATCGCGTCGAACCAACCAACGCTAGGTCTATCGTTTGCTCCCTCGGGCAGCATCGGATCTGAGCCCTTGCCCGCCGTCGGCGCTTCCAGTATGCAACGAGCACGGCCCAACAGCCCTGATGCTGCCGGATCTCGCATTTCCTTGAACGCGTTTCCCAAACGCGTCTTTCGGTGCGGGCATGGCTCTCGAGGGGAGCCGCCTTCAGCGGCGCTGGCTTTCAAGCAGCGTTCTACGCCGGCCAGAGTCGCCAAAGGGCACCCCGGACCCGTTCCAACCGCTGGCGCAAACAAGGGGCTCCAACGGACATAGTGCTTTCAAAAGGCCTCGCCGCCTGAAGCTGAACGGAGCCGACGCATCGCCTAAGGATTGCGCCAGAAAAATTCACCAAAATTTACACATGCGCCTCTCGTCGTGATGGGCAAGGCATTCGTCGCTTAGTGAACGGCCATCGAGGAGAGCCTCACCTCAGAAGCTACCCCCTTGGCAAATGCTTACGGCTCCACCGCTGCATGGCTCGCTCCCGCTTGACACGGACGCTGGCGCCTACTCGTGAAGCCCCGCTTCCTTGTCCATCGATCGATGGTCGTGTAATTGATGCAAAAAGTTCAATGCGACATCTACGCCAAAGCGGCGTAGCAGCTCGCTGGCCTCATCAAAGCCCCAAAGTCCTTGAGCCTGAGGCCTGAGCATGGGGCCAAAGGCGCTTTCTGCATGCGTAGCGGTCCTGCAAGACGCCAACTTTGCACTAGAGTTTGGCATCCTCCTGAAAAAGCGGCGGCAGCATCATGGACTTTAAAGAAGCACAGACCCTGTAGAACGAGAGCACGGCCGCACATTCGGCAGGAGGGGGCTCTTCTCTCGGTCTTTCGCCCGTTTGACGGCGTTGAGCTCTCTCGCCTTGCCAAGCGCCGACCAGCCCCGCCGACCAGCTCCCTCGAAGTGCGACCACCCGCCCAATATCGCAGCTGTCCAGGACCAGATGGCGCAAGCCGGGGGGGAAGATCAACGCGATAAGTTCCGCATCAGCGAAGCGATGCGTTGCATGTCGACAGGTCGAGCAGCTCCAGGCGGAGGCTAGAGGTCGCCACCTTGCCGCAAACAGCAATTTCGAAGCAGGGTTCATAGATGGGGTGCTGAGGTTCTCCAACCTCCAGGCAGCGATGCAGGTCGGGTTTGGGTTTTACCAGGGTGCCGGCGAGGTGGTTGAATGCACCCGGCGAGGTTGAGGTTAACATGGGGTGAAGAAATTGCGGCTTGCCGAATATGGGCTCACCGATTGCTGCTAGCTTTACACCTTGCCTGGCAAGATTGAGATTGCATGTGCTGAAGTAGCGTTGATGTCGTTTTGCCTGGTGTCAGAGAGCTTCGGGATCACGCTGCTGGATGGCAAGGAGGGGTGGAGGTCAATCTGGATCCACCCGTTTAATGCTGAAATAACGTCGTCTACCCAAAACGACCCCTTATTGATACCTGTCGCGTTTGACTGCTAGACTCGAGGTTATCAAAGCGTTCCTCGCGCCCTCCCCAAGTCACTCATGTAAACTCCAGTCCAAAATGAATCGGCACAGCGTTCCGGCACTCTCGTTAATAGACGCGCGCGTATACGCAGCCGTGCTCCCATTCCAGTCCACGCGCCCACGCACACGCTGAAAGCCCTCTTTCTGCCTGCATCGCTTAGCCCATCTCCTATCAACGCCCTTGTAAGCCTTCGTTCAGAAGGCGCAACTTGAACCGATATGCCTCTCCATGAGGATGCCGACGTCCCGGTAATCCAACCGCCGCCTATGCTGTCTGGTGACGGGATCCATCTCTGCCAATGCCCCGAATGTTCTGCTCACGCAGGCGGCGGTCGCCACGTTGGACTCAACGAATACAAAGAACATCGAAGCAGGTACAATAGACGACAGGGTCTGGTACCCTCTGGTCATTCGACTGCGCCCTCACCGGGTTTATGGCCTTTTGTCCCTTCCGCAGCTTCGCCGTTAGAAAATCACAGCCCACCATCTGCAAACACCGACACCTCAGCAGAGAGCGCCAGATCCTCATCCGCAGAACCCATCATCAAAGCGCTAATCGCCATCCAGAACCGGCTTGATAGCCAACGCCCTGAAGACCATCCGCTAGAAGACTTAGCGTTTGTTTCCCCCCCTGGTGCAGACTCGAATGCCCCTCCGAAGGTTATTCCTGACATAACTCAAGGAAACTCTGGGGTTTTATCTCTGGACGAGGAGGAAGCCGTTAATAGCGAGCTTATTGGCCGGCAAGAATGGATGCTAGGACTCCGGGGCTTTGTATGCGAAGCCACGCAAAACAGTGATCCCTACGTCCGTGCCCTGTCCAACATCATACTGCACAGTATGGCTGCCAAACTGTCCCAAATATACAGCATCAAGCGTTTGCACTGGAAGCAGCAGCGTCGACGCATCCGTGAAAATATATCCTTGGCGTGCCTTGACAAGGCTTGCATTGATACAGGTGAGTAGCCTGTTTGACGCTCCACCCGTGTTCATTTGCTGATCGCCCTGTATCTTTGATGCACAGAACGTTATTTTATACCCCTCCATTGCTATTCCCCTGCTATCCTTGCATCTTATGTCCTAGTCGCCATCCTCCATGTTATGTGCGGGCTCTCTCTTGACCACTGCGCTATAGTCCTTGCAACTTTGAAGACGATTCTCAAGATGGGCTTCTCTGCAGAGGGTGCACCTACCAGCGAAGGTTCAGTTCCCAAAGATGCCAGGTTTATATCAGAAGCGCTTGGGCTCGGCCCAGTTACTCGCGCCTACCTCTGTTGCTCGAAATGCTTCACCTGCTACACGATGAATGAAGATCCTAATGAAAATCAGCTCTACTGTACTTATGTGGATGTACCGGATGGCGAAGCCTGTGGCGCGCAGCTATTCTCTAGTACCCGCCAACTACCGCATCTCAATCATGCCGCTCCAAGTCCAGGAGCTTCGAACGAAGTACCGAACGATGCACCGACCCCTTCTCATGAGTCTCCGATCGGTAATCGAAGGCCTGCACGAACGTACCTTTATCAAGACATGAAAGAATGGCTTGGGCGATTGCATTCGAGAAAAGACATCGAGCTTGCTCTTCAGCGTGACGTAACCAAGACGAGCTCAACTGCAGATGCAGACGTACATGGCGATATATGGGACGCACCTGTTTTTCGAGAGTTTCTCGGCCCTGACGGTCAGCCCTTTGCAACATCTGACACTTCTGAGGGACGATACGTGTTCAGCCTATGCATGGATGGGTTCAACCCTTACCATAACAAGGAGGCTGGGAAGAATGTTTCTGTGCATGCAATATACCTAGTTTGTCTGAATCTTCCACCGGATTTGCGTTACAGGCCAGAAAACATATTTCTTGCAGGCATCATCCCTGGCCCGGAGAAGCCGTCAAAGCATCACATGAACCACGTCCTCCGCCCACTTGTAGACGACCTCTTAGCTTTGTGGGATCCCGGGGTTTGGCTGAAGAAAACAGCTTTGTACCCTCAAGGGAGAAGCATCCGCTGCGCGTTGATTCCGCTGATTTGCGACCTTCCTGCTTCACGCCAAATGGCTGGTTTTGCCAGCTATAATTCCAGGCACTTTTGTTCTTTTTGCCTACTCCTTCGCGACGATATTGAGAACCTCGATTCCTCAGCATGGGGTCACCGATCGAAGCAAGATCATTTGCGCATTACTCAGGAATGGAAGGACGCTCAAACTGAGGCTATACGAGATAATATATTCGAAGCACACGGGCTACGGTGGACCGAACTCCTTCGACTCCCATACTGGGATCCTACCCGTTTCGCTCTCCTTGATTCCATGCACTCCCTGCTCCTCGTGCTTTTACGGGTTCACTGCAGAAAGGTCTGGGGTATGGACGCGTCTATCAAGGATGGACCCGGCGCCACCTATGACTGTCTTATATCCAAAAACCCTCTCAGTGGCAGTGAGATTGCTGAAGCCAACCTCATTCTTCAAACCGGCACCATGGATCAGCTCAGCAACATCAGCGAGCTCAAACTCCGCCGACTCTGCCTTGACCATAATCTACGTTTTGGGGGTAAAAAAAGGGTGTTATTGCGGCGTCTCACAGAACTTGTACGTACCCGCTCTGCGTCTAGTTGCGTTTGCATCGATCTCACGGATACGCTTAGCGCACAACAAATGGCTGGTCACAAGAGGGCGATGACCGTATCACCCAGCAGCATGATCAATCCATGAGTGAAGATGAATCTGATGCTGATACCTCGACTATCAAAGAACGCAACAAGAAGAACGTACGCTTCCAGGTTCCATCCGGAGAATTGTCTTTGTCTTCTGAGTTGAGCCAGATATCCAGTCAGAGGGCATCAACGGAATCCCACAGCTTATCGCTTCAGCAAAGCGACCGCTCAGGTCCCTCGGAGTCTTCTGGTGCTCGTCTTCCAGATTTAACTGATGAAGCGGCCATGACATCATTTCTTCAAACCGCTACCAAGACGGCGTTGAAGGGCCTTTCACGCACCACTCTCCGGCGCATATGCGCCATGAAGATGGGTTCTCGTCAGGATGCTCCGGATCATTCTCGGATGCTGAAGCCAGAACTATTGCGCCGTATCCAGGATTGGGTGAGTCTAGGAATTTTCTCTTACCGTTCAGATGACTTACCTAATGCCTAGCGGCTGGAGCAAGGCATCGTTAGGCAAAATGGCAGACTGCGTACTCGAACCTCTACACGGCGTAATAAACACCAAGGCAAATCCTGCGTTCTGGGATCTAATATGCTATCTGAGGTCTGGAAAGATATGCAGCGCATGTCACTCCCTTCCTGGGTTAACGGTGCACCAAGTCGTGCGGGTTCGTCCTCTCATGGGAAACTTGGAGCCGACCAATATCGTTCTCTGTGTTGCATCAATCTTGTCTATACTCTAGGGCGGATATGGGGCAGCAAACCGCCAGAAAGCCAGGAGCATAAGATGTACACGAACTTTATGGACCTTATCTCTGCGGTCAAGATTGCTATGATGCGCACAATGACGCCTCAACGCATAGAGGACTTTTCTTTCTACATGCAAAGATACCTCCGTTCTCTCCTTGACGCGTACCCTGGTGTGGAGTTGTCGCCTACTCATCATCTGGTTCTTCATCTCCCCGAATTGCTCCGAGATTTCGGTCCCGTACACGCATGGCGCTGCTTTCCCTTTGAGCGCTATAACGGGCTTTTGCAAAGGATTCCAACAAATAGTAAACTAGGTTTGCTGAGCATCTTATCGTACGGGTTCTAGTCTTGCTTATTGGGCGTTTTCTTCAGGAGAACTAGAGCAAACCATGCTAAATAGCTTTTGCATGGCCCAAAACATTAGATCCTTGCTTTCCTCTGGAACACTGCCTCCGAACATTATGACCGACATCCTGCCCGCTTATGAGCAAGCGTTTTCAAAAGACATACGGGGAACGCTTCTCAACGATATGCTAGCCTTTGAGGATTGTGAGACAAGCAGCGGAGGTATTCCAACTCCACATGCAGAGGCAGAGCTCAGAGACCTTGGCAGCGTGGAATTCCAGCTCCTCGAGCAATGGATTAACAACCACGATGAACGCGCTGCTTCTCATATTCGACCAGAGGCTCACCCTAAGGTCAACGTAGGGCGTGCTGGCGAGACGTATTCAATAGAAGGCAAAGCACAGCGCAATAGCTATATCGTATATCGTGTTGCTGGCAACGACGGTCCCTGGAAAGCCGGTGTCATTCGCGCCATATTCGATCATACACGCAAAGCTCCTGGAAACCACAGCACCACTCAAACCTTCTTCCTCGTATTTCCTCTTCGCCCTCTCCCAGACAGGCTTCTACCGTACGACTACTACAGGGCTTTCCCGGAGGTCGGCTGTTGCCTCTATCAGAAAGACCTTGAGACCCAGCCTATCCTGCTTTCGTGGAGGGACGTTATCTGCCATTTTGCTTGCTGTGATCACTCCATAAACGGCGTAGAGAACTTATTGTTTGTCCTTCCGCTCAACAAAGTAAGCTCGATGGAACCATTTACATTTTGTCATTGACATCTTGGCATGTTGCAGGCCTGATTTGCTGAGAAATATAAGGCATACGATTGCAGGAGCGTAATTTTATAGGTTATTATATACTAGTATGTGGCTGTAGCAATTTTGCGATGATGGCGAATGGCAAGAGCAGCTTGAGTACTATCGTATCATATCAACATAGTCCAGTTGTCTATACTGGAGTTTGAACATGCGTCAGACCATTGTAGGGGAAACATTGCATGCATGGGTCATGAAGCTGAAGCCGCAATTCTGAGAACGGAAACAAGAATTGTACGGACCCGGTGTGGACGAGGCCAAAAACCAAAGCACTAGAAAATCAGGAAGCTATGATCAGAAAATATCGCTCCATCCAATGTTAACAACCTAAATCACAACGTCAGCCCATTGTCGAGGCGCTATTAGGCCATCTTGAATCTGATCTCCTTCAGGAGGGCGGCTTCGGCACTGCATATCCATAGAACATAATGGGGCAACGAGAAATGGGACCGATTCCTATATATTTCCGCGAGCAGGGCTGGATAGTCATATAGATCGTCTAAAGCAGGAGTGGGGCATCATATAGCGCCTCAGTGCTAGCCAAAGTTTAGAACTTAACGTCGATCTGAAGTCTCTGGACAGACGGCGCTGCATACCGACCTGTTGTTACCGGTTGACTTGCTCAGCATGAAAGGAATGCGGGAGGACAATGAGCGGGGACGCATAGTGAGCCTTGAAAACGAATCGTCGCAAGAACTGCGCCTCAAAAGCTACCGAATAGCTGAAGGTCGGACTGGTAGAGCGTGATGTGATGTCTGAGCGAAGTCTCGTAGGATTCCTCAACACCCACGGAGCAATTGTTAGTGTGCAGCTCGGAGATGAAAAAAGAGAGCCTACCAGAACGTCACCCTTGAGAATATCAAACCGCGCGCCGTCTACGGACCCTTGAATCCGTCGGAGGAGTGGAAGTATATGTCGCCCTCCTTGAGAACGCCGTAAGGGTCTACAAGACCATTTCCATCATAAGCCCAGATCGTATTGTAGCCAACAAAATTAGATGCTCACCAGGGACAATTTACGCCTCCGCAGGCTCCTGAATCGGGATATGCAGCGACTTGACGTAGTCGTCAATAACCGTCGTCACGATCTTGCGGATCTTGTCATACAGCACCTCCAGGTTCTACGGGCGGAACCTAGACTGCAGCAGCTGTATCGCCGCCTCATAAACTGACGGCGGCTGCACAGGCTCCCCGCTGCACCGCCCTCAACCCCGCTAGACAGCACATGCGCGTCCTCGTCGTCCGTATCAATATCCGCCGGCGCCTCAGAGTCTCTATCATCCGGCCCCACCCTCCCCAGCCCCAGCGCCCTTGCCCGTTCCGCAATACGCCTGCGCAGACGCGTAAAGCTCGCCCCGCCCGCGCGCTCGACTGCGCGCCACACCACGACGAGCGTGTTCGGGCCGTCCCACTGCGTGAGCTGCTGCACCTCATGATCGAGGACAGCCGCCATGAGCGAGGCAAACGCGGCCTCGGGCACGCCGTTGTGCGCCATGTTCACGATCGTCTGCTACGAGAGCCGGCTGGGGTGCATCACGCGCGAGGGCGCGAGCAGGTCGAGCACGAGGTGCTCGCGGTCGGCTGGCGGGCTGGCGATTTTGTTCTGCGAGGACCGGATCCAGATCTTGGCGGGCCCGTCGATGAGCTACTCGGCGGGGTCCGGCCCTCACCAATGCGCATGCTCTCCTTGAGGGTGGCCCCATTCGCCCTGCTGGCCCTCGTTCCGACCGATGATGGGTGAAGCCATATGAGCCGAAGACAGTTAGCTGCAAGAACAGCGGGGTAATTCTGCAGGAGCTGCAGGCATCGTGCGCTGAAGCAACACGTCCATGAAGGTGTATCAAGAAATCGGCGCAATGTATGTGATGCTTCTGAACAGCGCCCACCCCTGTCTTGACAAACCGCAGTTTTTGCCAATTCTTCAGGGCCGAACGCCAGCAATCTCCGCCTCGGGAAGGCCAAGCTCTTTGAACAAAAAGGAGCATGCGTCTGAGACACGAGCTAAGGTAACGCTGTTGTACAGGAGCAATGAATAAATCTTCAGAATACGAGGTGGTTGCTGCAGGTGATCTGAGCCGGGAGTTGGAGGTGAGAGGACGGCAGCCGATATTCTGAATTTGAAGGCATTGGTCATGGACGAGTTCAGCAGAATTTCCGGCGAAATCTTGGATGGTGTTAGTTAACTAGCGAAACCTATAAGGGTGGAGTCCAAGGAATAGCGTTGACCGTGCAGAAGCCAAAGGAGCGTGCTTGATAAGTACTCTGGCAATTGTCGCAGATTTATGGGTCAACCTAAAAGTAAAACGTCAGCCATTCACGTAGAGGATAGCTAAGATGCAAGGTACATACATGCTCAGGCACCTCTGTCATTGGCCCATCCTTGTCCACTTTTTTGCAGCACCCCATTTGAATCAACGCCTTCAACACCTCCCCCAACTTCACTAGGTCCGTCTTCCAGAGAAGATATGCTTTTCACAACACCAAAGTACCCTTGCGAATCGTCATACGCCTCCCGCGGACGACAGGGAAATTGGCACTGGCGGAGGGTCACTTGTGACGCCGGAGGACGGGAAGGAGGGAAGGAGGTCGGCGAGCCCACGAGCGTTTGGGCTGGCAAGGACGGTGTACTACGCAGTGGAGGACGAGGGAGGCGGGTGACGTCGGCAGTTCCTGCCATCTTCCAGAGAAGTCAGGCTAACGTCTAAGGTAACTCCAAAGAAACAGTTGGTAGTCAACGATTACGCACCTGAGGGACCCAGCGGAGGCTCTCCGCCTCGATGCATCATAGGTGATCGCAAGTTGGCACGCATGAATCGGTCGATGAGCTCAATCTCGGTGCCGGCAAAGATTACGGCTTTCCCACACAAGTCTGCTTCCAGGACGCTGACCGCATTACTTCGAGATGCTGTCGGAACATATCGCCGGGATTGTAGCCAAACTGTAGCTTGAGTTCTAGCGTGCACGTACGAGTGCGTTACCGGTGTTACTGGGACATGACCAAAGCTCAGTAACGGTTATGGCGGTGCGCACATGAGTCTGCGACGCAATGTTGGCTGCCGTTGACGACACCGGTGCGCGCGCGCCCGGCGCGCCATTGCAGTCAGGTGCATATTGACACCAGACGCGCTTACTGGGGCGCGGGTTGCGTCAGTAGGTACCTTCCCTGTATGGATGTTCAAACGTTCAAGCTCAGCGCTCAAGCCAAGTTCAGCGCCCTCTGCTCACGCGCGAGATGCTGTCCTCTCAAGTACATTCACTAGGAATAGGAGTATCCCTATGGTGAGTACATAGCATTTAGGATAGAGTACGGTCTACCATGTGCTTGAAGACCAGCACTAGCAGGCTCTTGCATATCCTTATTTTCAGCACAAGGGAAGTAGGGACACGAGTCGGATGCTCGCATGTCGCGTTCAACCGGTCCTGGTAACATTAATGTTAATTCTCAACTTGGCTTGCCCCTGGCTGCACTGCAGCACCAAACGCGGTTTGTTGACGCGCCGCCACTCCACTTGCTAACAAGGTTCGGGAGCTCCAGTAGTCTCCCTTGCAGACCTTGACACATGCTTGCCTAAGGACGGCGGCGCTATAACGTAGAGCTCCAGTAAGCGCGTCTGGATCTATCGATGCGCAGCTGACTGTAACTCTGAATCAGCAAGTCTCACCCTACCTGGTTACTCTATCCAGCTCCGCACTTGATTTCGTCACTTGGACCTCTAGAGTAATGTCTGCACCGCCCAAAGTTCGCCGACTACAGTACGCCGCTCAGATTACGCCCGATGCTGCTGCTCCACTCATTCTCAAACCTACTCTTGGTCTACTCTCATTAGGGGTGCGCGTCTAATCCTAGAGTTTGCTTCCCTGGTCACAACCATGCGCCCCTTTTGCATTGCTGACGACTTGCTATTGTTATCTTGGTGCTTACGGCCACTGCCGCTCATGATCCTCTGCATCAAACTTATAACTCTCAGTCACTTACGATGTTCTTACTACAGTTGTGTCATCGTTGCCACCTTCCATTCTAATCGGAATTTCCCTGAGCTCTATTGCTTGCGTTTGCTTGTCAACCTACTTCAACCGTTTATCCTGCAAAAGTGTCCTTTTGGAAAGTATTGCCGACTTACGGAGGTAACAAATGAGCTACATCCACTCTTGGATAGCGCTGAAGCTACTTCGCTGTAAGGTTGGTGCCTGCTAAGTAACTGGTAAACGCTTGGGTGCTAGGCTAAATTGGATACCGCGTCGCAGCCCTATCAAGGGAATACCTACCTTTGGGTGATCATCAACTGAATGGGTAAGTAGCGGAATTGACGGGATTAATGCTGCTACTCAAGGACGATTCCTCCCCTCTGGAAGAGCATTCCTACTCAGCTTGGTGTTCATGATGGAAAACACAATGGTGTGCGTCTCTTCTTCCTCTCCTGTAGCTTTTTCCTGATTCTAGCCAAAACGGCAGAGCAACCGTCAGGCACTTTTGGAGCGGCATGTTCTTATGCACAGTGTACCAGGAGGATATGGAAAGGAATTTGGATGTGGTCTCAAAGGCATACAGCCCCTACGGGTACATTAGCGAATGTCCCTCTGGAGAACGTAAGTGTAACATCCCGCAAGCAAGGCTATGATTGGCCAATACTTTGTCACCAGGAATTTTGAACTTGTTCTCTATGTTTGACGATGGCTTTATCGTTCAGCAGAAAATCTGCCAGGACTGGGAGATCTACGTGGTTGCCACTACGATGGTAAGCACAGTTGGTATCCTATATGCTTATAATAACACGGCTACAGGCACAGGATACCCTTCGCTGGATTGTCCCGAATGAAAAGGCTCGATTGGTGTTTGAGATAGAATTCACCAGCCCTCAAGCCAGTCGCTTTTTTGCTGACGCTCTCGCTGAATATAGAGAAGCATCACAGACAGCCTCCAGCACTGAATACCGCAATGGAGATGTTGTCCTCGATGTCAATGAATACATAGGCATTGAGGACTTTGTATTGGTGCAGGATAGAGACGTAGAAATAACCTATGTTTGAAGTATATGGAGGCTTCACGTCTCTACTTAGCGGTTTTTCCTTCTTTGCCAATAGTTTTCTCTCGATTCTAGAATAATGATATCGGGTTTAAAGATTGTTTACTCGAGTCTGGCCAGTTCCCTCAGCAAGAGCACGCGCGAGCGCGGACGTGCCACAGACTTCCGCCGGAAGTCTCGCCCGCCAGGCGCCAGTGCACATGAGTCGCGTGCCAGCGGACACGCCGCTGTCCACGCCCGCGTTCTCCGCCGAGTTCGCGCCAGCGTCGGCAGCCGGACTCGCCGCCAACGAGTTAGCATCCGACGAGCAGCGACGCTTACATACGCCGTCGATCTGGCGGCGCAGATTGGCGGGTGTCGTCAGACAGGAGGTCATATACGCCTCCTGTCTTTCAGCCGGCATCCACTGTAGCCAAGCTATTGGTAGGCAGGCAGGGCGCGGGCTAGCGCTCATTGCTCGTCTCCACGCCCGAAGCTTGACGTCTTTTCCTGTCGCTTCCGACCGCCATGTGTTACTAGCTCTACGCATTCACTCCAAATCAATGTTTGCGCTCGGGCTCCCGGGTCGCCTCCTGGGGGTCGCGGCTGCTCTATTATCACCACGGCGTGACCAGCCGCACAGGCGAGGGACTGATTAGAGTGCACTCAATAGCAATGTTTTGGAGGGTGGATTATTATACATATGGAAAATATTAGGAAAATATTGATGCCTGGGAAAATTAGAGGTTCACAGCCTTGCGACGCCTGCGTCCAGCGCGTGGCTCTCACCTAAACTTGAACCCCCACCAGCTTCAGCTTTCCTTAGAAGCTGACTCGCTACTATCATCTTGGCTCAGTCTCAAACGTTGACCTTATCCAAACACAGATAAACTGGCACTCCTTAATATCAGATGAGCCGTCGAATCTTCGAAGTCAAGACAGCGCTCAGCGCCCACTACAATAACCCAACTCGATTGCAATTGCCATTACCTCTGGGATGGACGGAGGGGATGGAAGCTGATCTCCTTAATCAGGTATCGTATACGTGGCAGTTCAAGGATCCGACCCGGTACGCTGGCTTGATTCCTTTTTCCTCAGTGCAGAACTGAGTACTGCGGCATAGAAAACCACATTTTCCTGTTCACAACGGCACTGAAATGGATCAGGCGAACAGAAGTTTCTCAGCATCTATGTGAGTATTTGCTGATGTGGAGTAGTAGCTGCCCACTCACCGCCGTAGCCGCTATCCTGAGTTCCATGAAGATATCGGCCAAAGAGCAGGCGTTATACCAAGGTATCTTAAGGGCTGTCAATACCTCTTCAATACGCTGACTTCTTCAGCACAACTACTCTTCCATTGCCTTCTACGACAGTTGATGATTGCTATCAAACTAGCAACGGCGCAGGGCAACAGGTCAGTTTTAAGAGAGCAAACATCATCCGCTGAGCTGATGGCTCCTATTACAGGTATCTGAGAGGAGGAGGCACAAGCACCGTGCTTCGCCTGGAGAATACCACTGGTTTGAATCGGAATCAAAGTGCCTGCTCGATAACCCTCCAGTTCCCAAGGACGTCCAAGAGGGTGATTTCTACGTCCATTGCGCAGGAGAAGAGTACCAAGTCTGGCTTTGGACGGCTGAGCATGTTTGGGTTCAAGTAGGACCAGGATATTCTCCGCTAAATTCTGACCGACACGTTGTGATCACCAAGAAAGGTCACCTTTCTCTTGTCCAAGGACCTACGTGGAAGAAGGAATATCAGTACAAGCCATCTCCGTTAATTGTACCAGCCTCTTCTTGAGTGCACGTTATTGTATATCGTCCAATACATACCCTATCATTCTACTCTTTGCCTAAATGTACAGCGACCGACTTTTATTTGCAAGCTGACAACGCTGACAGAGTGCGGTCAAACAATAGCCTGTGCTTAACAGCTGGGTGTTCTGAGCTGACTGTCGGCCCTCATTTCTAACCATAATTCAGCCTACAAGATCAGTAGGTCCTGCTACTGACCCCATATTCGCTGCCAATTCCAGGAGATCCTCAATTTCACTCAATACAAACTACGTTTTTCTAACTTGTTACTTTCCGCTATAAACTAACCAAACATCACCGCATTCTCAGCAAACGTCCTCCAAAAATAGTGCATGAACCTTAGAATCTGTGGTCCAAGAGTTAAAACGGATAACCACCCTCCTTACCAAATCCTAACGGCATATGCGTCAGATCCTAGTAGGTATGATTGCGCCTTTAACGTCAGCTCTCTTAGGCCTAAGCCTAATCCCGGAGCTACGCCACAGACCTGGCGGAGCGCTCAACAGGCATATGCGTCAGATTCTAGGTACGATCGTACCTTTAACGTCAGCTCTCTTAGAGGCGCAAGCCTAATCCCGGAGCTACGCTGTAGGCCCGGTAGAGCGCTTGCAGAAGCTCCTACACCTACGTCAAGATCAAGAAAACATCTCATCGACCATATCTTACCTTGGTCATGGGGTAGATAAGGTAGACATCTTTACTTCTTAAACATAGACCCGAGTTTGCCCTCAACTCAACTGATTGCATACCATCACTAGCTGCTGTCGCACACCGCCTTGTTGAAGCCATGAGAAACAATTCACACCTTCCCCCACTATGGGCAATACTGGCCATCTATACTCCAAAGCGTGGCTGGACTCGAAACATACCCTTGAGATGCGAGGCGCGCCATTACCGCTGCCGTGTTGGTGCAAACTCGCACGCAAATGAAGTTGTCCTCTCGAAGAGTCCTCTTGGTATGTTGGATTTGGTTCGTGTAGTTATCCAACCCCTGATTGACGGTTTGATAACTCATCAAGATCCCCATCACTTCATCCTCCACTGCACCAAAGGCGACGAAGGTACTCTGAAGTGCTATATAACCAGTCTCAGCAAGCTGGGGACATGGGTAAGCTAGATGTGGCTGGAAGCCCGCTGAAGCTATCTCACACCGACCTTAGATCAACGGGGTCAAGTGCCCTTTGAAAGAAAAGGTCACTATTGCACACGGAGCCCGTATTACTGTATCCGCCTCCGAAACTGGATTTTGTAAGTGTTGGAGTTGGCGACCAATGCTACCACTCATTTCCTTGATTCATCCCAGATTTCCATTTCCTTGACGATTCGGTCAAAGATGTAAGGAACGTCACTGTATTCATTGACAACACAACTTATTAGCATCGCTATAGATCACAAAACACTATCAAATTGGGGCAAGGTACGTCTGCATGCTCATGGTGGCACGAGATGCCTCCATGAGCCCGTTCTCCATTGATGAGAGCCCATTCTTAGGATAGGAAATGGTAACTATGGGACGGTGTACCAAGCGTGCCATGTTGCATCAGGAACAACGTCTGCTGTCAAGGTTATACGCAAAACTGTCCTCCCGCCAGCCGGATGCAGAAACGCACCCCACCCTGCACTCAGAGAAGTGTGGGTCCTGCAAAGATTTTCCCATGTATGCCATACGCATCTTTGTTTACACTGTTCAGCCTCAAAGATAGTCCAGAAGAATATTGTCGCCTTACAGGGCGCTTACGAATCAGACAAATACATCTGTGAGTGCAATTCTAGCAACGCTTCAAAATGCTGACGTGTTTGCGCCAGTCATTGTTCTCGATTACATGCCTGGTGGCGACTTGTATAGCCTCATTGTTGATCGCAATGGTTTGAGTAAGTCTTTCGAGGAATTGACCTTGCCATGAGCGGGATCTAATCTTCATGCTACCAGATGAACCCTTTTCGCGAAGTGCTTTAGCGGATATCTGTTGCGGTCTTCAAGTAAATCACATGCTCCTCTTGTCCTTGCGAGTCTGACAGCTTTCCTTTGACATCAATCACCAGTACCTTCACTCGTGGAACGTTGTTCACCGGGATGTCAAGCCAGAGGTCAGTTTAGTTTTAACAGTCGCATGCTCTGTTAATTAACTATTGGCACAGAATGTTTTAATAGCCAGCGTTATGCCGCTCCATGTCAAGCTAGCTGATTTCGGGATTTCAAAAGTAGTCAATGAAAATACGTTCTTGAGGGTGATTGAATGAAGAGTTTTGTACTTCATTAACTAATGGAATTGCACAGTCATTTTGCGGTTCGCCAATGTTTATGGCCCCAGAGATCTATGCTTCGCGTACCAGGCTCAACAATCACTACGATCGTAAAGTCGATTCTTGGAGCGTTGGAGTCACACTTTTCATCATGTGAGTCGCTTCGCGTCCTTGTTAATTGTCCTTAATAACCTGATCCAGGCTGAGTAACGACTTTCCTTTCCGTACAAAGGAGGTTCCGGTCTTTCCCAATTCCAAGGACACGCGCACCATTCACTGGGACAGGCTTCCAGCTAGAATACGAGGCGATACTGACTGTAAGCGTCCATCCCGTGCGCCTCAGTCAATCGCTACTAAACGTCTTCTGCCAAGTACGCGACCTCCTCAAAAAGTTAGTCGACCATGATCCACAGCGGCGTGCCTCTGTTTCTGAAGTCCTTACACATGCTTGGATGAATAACGTTCCCTACATGATATGGAAATAAGTTGTGTGGCAGCTTGTAATACTAGTCGAGACCCTGGCGTTCCTAAACACAACTTCTTAGAGTGGCATCCAAATTAGTGATCCTTGAAGCGGAATACTTCAAACTGTGTTTATATGAAGTAGTTACGTAGATTCGCTCTACCAGAACTAACACTCTCTGGAGAAGGTTAAGTTAAGGTAGTTGCACGGTTTGGTGAACACACGTAGTGCGGGATCACGTCGACTTTGGCTTTTGTGTTTTCGCTCCTTCTGTTAATGGAGGGAAAGTTCAAAGGGTGAGCCACGACCAAGGGATATGGAGGCAAACAAATAGAAGGGATGAGCGCTCGCAAGTAGAGGATGGAAGGATGGAAGGAGGCCCATGCGTAGGCGGCTGTAGCATGTTCTTCCTGCTGAAGCCCTGCCGCCCTAAACATCCTTGAACCCATTGGCACTCGCGGTAATACCGCCTTTCAGCACTATTTCGCGCTTGTAGAGCGTTGCTCACAGTGGTGACTGCAAGGACGCAGGTGTTCTCCCTCCGCTTTGGCGTTGTCAGTGATTGTTTAGTCAAGTATGAGGGCTATTGGATGAATGCGACGTCTACAGAAGATGACCATGGTAAAAGAGAGTCAGAAGGAGAGCAAGGAGAGAGGTCGTTTTTTTTAATACCTATGTCAAGATACAGGTCTATCGGCCTGTTGCCAAACGTCCGAACGTCTCGTTTAGTGAACTAGATGCGCTTCAAGGTCTTCAATACGAGCGTCGCACAAGAATTGAACGCAATAAAGCATACCAACCTGCAGCTGGAGCGTAGCATCGACCCGAACATCCTTATAGGCGAGCGATTCCAGCAACTAGCAAGGCAGACGATCCTGGGCTAGATGATGCATATATGTCCAAGTGAATCGCTTCAGCCGTGAGCCTGCGGCATTGCATTTATGAGTGCAACGGCACTATCCCGCGTTAGTGGACCCGCCGTGGCAGTCTCGCCACGAGAAGGCTCATCGACAACCGGGCCGGCGGGCACCAAGTAAAAGTAATAGTATGACATTGGCCGACTACGCTACGTGACATGCAACTCAGGTAAATACTACCTCGTTGGCTCGTTGGAAAGGTTGCAATAGGTAGTATGGTAAAGAACGTAGAGAAAATGAGTGGAAATGATTATGTGGAATGGATGAACGTAATGCAGGTTTGTCGTCAAACGAAATTCGTTGATGATGCGTGGAGAAAGGCAGTCAGGTAACGCGACGGAAAGTTTGAGGCGTGGAGTTATGTACCTCGGTGTATCCTTAGGACTTCGAGCATCCCAGGCGCCGCCCGAGCGTGCAATCGGCCAAACTGGTAACATTAGACATGGTGCACCGTTTCCGCATTTGGGCTTCCGAATGAACACCGCACTGAGTTCGAATGGTCGGGAGATTTTGACGCTTGGAGAAGACCAACGTCCAATTGACTAGGACAGGCGTATAGTTATAGGTGAACGGCGGCAGAGTACGCAGATGATGCCCGAGTGTATGGGAACGCAGGTGGAGGAATTTGATCGTAGAGGGGGAGAAGTTGCGTAATAGCTCGTAGAAAGGTGGCATCTGAAGCAATCGTTCCGGAGACAGAGGAAGACGTACATACGCGGACCGCTGAGGGGTCTGTATAATTTGAAGAGGGAGTATTATAGAACGAAAAGTCAGGAAGGAAAATGGATGGGAATGGTAGACGGGGGCGTATCGTGAGTTTTTGCGAAGGATGGCCAGCAGTGTCATTGATTTGTGCTGAGGTTGTGTTTGATATCTGATGAGGTAATGCGGGAGAAGGAAATGGGGTGGTTTTGACGTTGTCGGTCAAGGGCGTCAAGGGGCCGTGGGTGGGCAGTGGAACAGAGGCCATGCGCAGTCACACCCCGGTTACATAATCCGCCGGCAATAGCCGGTGATGTCCGTACGAATCTCCAACGCCGTGAAGAGCGGGCCCGCCGTTTGGAAAGCAGCTCTCCAGCGGGAGGACCCGTCGCCGAAATCTCATCCTCCTACCGCATACCCGCCTGGACGCTCTATGTCCGGCGTAGACAAGAACGAGCCTGGCCCGCAAAGCGAGGACTATCCTGTCGCTCAGACCCCGAGCGATGAACTAAATAGGAAGAGAGCACAAGGGCTTCGGGCATGAGGAGCAGAAGTCTACTTGTGAGTCGTCTCCTCCCGATTTTGCTGAACGCAACGCTCAACGCGCTATCTGTTCATACGGCTCAGACGTCCGCGTCAATGTCAACATGTCAGCCGTAAGCTTCATTTTTGACTGATTACAGGTAGCTCAATGATTATCACACCGATATTTATGGATGAGCTGAACGCAGGGGACCTTTGCGGCAAGGAGAAGGTCAACCTCGAAGCCATCGACATCGATGCCTTCACACCCCTCCAATTTGGCGAGAACGCTCTCGCCAGGTCTGAGGACGAGCGTCGCCTGATTCTCTTCGGTCCTAACAAGCTCGAGCAGGAGGAACAGAACAGCAGAACTCCTCCTTCAGGTGAGACTTCCATGCCCTCGGAAGAATTTCCGACCTGACCACGCGACTTGCCCAGCTCTTGGACTCCGTGCAGACCCTTTCGTGGATCATGGATGGTGTTGCGTTGGTCAACATCTTTCTTTTCAACTGTGAGGGCCAGCCTCCCCTCCTGCTTTTCATCAACTCGGCCATCGATTTCTACAAAGAGCTCAACGCCAGCAACGCCATTAAGGTCATCATGGACCCCCTTGCCCCCAAGGCGACGCTCAACCGTGACGGTCCGTGGTCCGGGACTGGGTCCTCCAATCTCGTCCCTGGTGATGTGTTCGTAAAAAATGGCGGACATTGTCACCGCCGATTGTCGTCTCACTAAGGGCACCGATGCCTCCATCGACCAGGCCGCCCTCACGAGTGAGTTGCTCTTTCAGAGCAACGAGGAGGGTGACCGGTACTTCTCGTGAGTATCTTACCTTCATCAGTTGTCCGGTCGTTAGCTGACGACACTTCATAGTGGCTCCCTGTTAACTTGCAGGCAGGGTGAAGTTGAGGGTGTCGTCATTCCCACTGGTGGCAACACTTTCGTTGTTCGTGCCGCTTCTCGTTGATCAGGATGATTGCACCACCGGTTACTTGCAGATGACCCTCGCTCGGATTGGGTCTTTCTGCCTGATCGCCATTGGTATCTTCGTTATTGCTAAGATCCTCGCCCTCTACGCCGGTTTCCGTTACACCTACTGCCGTGGTCTCAACAACATCCTCATTTTGATCGGCGGTATCCCCACTGCCATTCCCACTGTCCTGTCCATCACCCTCGCCGTCGGCGCTCGGCAGCTCGGCATGCACAAGGCTGTCGTCACTTGTATCACCGCTATTGAGTTGGCTGGTGTCATCATCCTTTGCTCCTTGCCCAAAGGGCCTAGCCCCAGAGGACATAAAACCTAGATTGATAATAAATAATAATCCTTTGCTCCGACAAGACCGATACCCTCATTACCAACAAGCTGATCATTAACAAGTCGATCGCTCACACTTACGGTCCCTTCTCCACTGACAACGTCGCCCTGGTCGCTGCCTACGCTTCCCGTACCGGGAACCAGGATTCCATTGGTGCTTCCGTCATTCAGGTCTTTGGTGACACCACGCGCGCCCGTAGCGGTATCAAGCTCCTCGATCTCAAGCCCTTCAGCCCCGTCGACAAGCGTACCGAGGTCACCTATGGTGAGGAGTCCTCTGGCAAGTTCAAGCGCGTCACCAAGGATATAGCCGGTATCATTTTCGAACCCTGCACGCACAACAAGACCGACGAGTTTCAGAACAAACTCGAGGCTGATGTTGAGGAGTTCGCTACTCGCGGTCTCCGCGCTCTCGCAGTTGCATACGAGGAACTTGACGGCGACGACCCTGAGGGTGAGGGTGATGGCTTCGAGCTCATCGGTCTTCTTGCCATCTTCGACCTTCGTGAAGAAACCAAGCAGACCATCGATGATGCCCTCCTCGGTGTCAAGGTCAACATGGTTACTGGTGATCAGCTCGCCATTACCAAGGAAGCTGGTCGCCGTCTCGGCTTCGGCGGCTACATGCACCCGGCTAAGATGTTCAAGGATGGGCACGCTCCCGGCAGCAAGCACATGTCCCTCGATGCCATGATCCTCGAGGTCGATGGTTTCATTGGAGTCTTCTCAGAGCACAAGTCCAGCGTCTCCAGGGTTTTTGTCCATTTTGTGCCATGACTGATGACGGTGCTAACGACACCCCTGCTCTGCCCCGTGTCAACGTCGGCATTGCTGCCGAGGGCGCTACGGACGCTGCTCGCTGTGCTACCGATATCACCTTGACCGAACCCGGTCTCTCCACCGTGGTCCGAGCCCTCCGCGGATCCCGTGTCATCTTCCAGCATATGCGCAACTGCTCAATCTATGCTTGCACTGCCACCATTCGCATCGTTGTCTACTTCGCAACTCTCGCGTTCGCTTTCAAGTTTGACTTCGCGCCGTTCCTTATCATCGCTCTTAACGATGATACCATCATGGCCCTCTCTGTTGACTGCGTCCTGCCTTCGCCGGCCCCCGACTCTTGGGATCTTGCTGAGACCTTCGCGTGCCGTCGCTTACGGTCTCTGGCTCACTGCTTCGACGTGAGTTCACATGCACTGCACTCATGTTCCATATGCTGAGTTTTGCTTTAGTGTTGCCCTTGTCGCTATCATCCTGAAGACCTTGTTTTTCTACGGCAAATTCAGCGTCACCTTCGATGGCTCGCCCACCCCCTCTGGTGCCAACGACTACCAGCTGCACTCCATCGCCTACCTCCAGGTCGCCATCATCTCACAGTCTCTTGTCTTTGTCACGCGTTCGCACGGCTTCTTCTTGTCACGCTCCGGTCCCGCTCCGGTCCCTACGGCCACGTTCCGATCCACACAGCCACCTCGCTACTCTTCCTCGTTACATGTTTGACAGGTGTCGTTCCTTATTACCTCCTTTTCTACTAGTCTCGTTGCTACCTGTCTACCTGTGACACTTCTTGACGTTTCTATCATTCCGCAGTTACTACGATATCGCATCCGACGTTTTGTCTCATGTCTACTTACTAACGATCCGTTCCTTCCGCACGTTCCTTACTCATCGTACATTACCTCCGACTCCGGAGCAGTAGTATAAATACTCGTATAGTTCAGCCTGTATTCCTCAGTATGAATATCGACTTACTTCTGCCCTCTACTCCTCTTCGCCTCTAAGTCCTTTCCGCCAATTCCTACTCCAAGTGTCTTCCGCGATACTTGTGTCTTCATCTATCTTCAAGTCTTCCCTTGCTTCGTACTTCGGTACCCTCCCGTCAACCTCCGGTGCCTACGTCACCTTCGCTCCTTACACGCCGGTCCTCCGGTATCGTTCCCATCCCCTCCGCGTCGCTACCGTCGACTACTTACCCTACGCTCGCCCTCCGAGTCCTTACGCTAGCGTTCCGGGACACGGTATCCCTAGTGGAGCTTAGCTCGAACGTCCCGCATACTTCCGGGCAGGCACGGAGTTAACACTTCTTCACGGAGCACCCCTCGGTCACCCTCATGGTCGCCTTCTGCATTGCTCAGCTTGTGTCTTCGATCATCTCCGCGTATGCCAACTGTGACTTCACTCAGCTCCGCGCCGCTTCTGGTGGCCGGATCGGTGTTATATGGGTCTGGGTATGCCTACTCAACTTTGTTTCTCTTCTACGATATTCTTACGTTCTTTCTTTAGAACATCATTTGGTTCGTTCCTCTCGACTGGATCAAGTTCGAGATGAAAGGCAGCTGTCATTAAAAAGCTCCGCCAGCGTCACGAAGAGGCTGCCAAGCTTGCTACCGACGAGCCTGGTGTATCATTCGCTCTCAGCCCCTGTCGCATTGAACCAGTCAGTCGATACACTCGAACCGTATCTTATTCATCCGCCGTCTACCCGCAAGGTCGGCTTCGGCAGCAAGGTCGCGATGAAGCATGACGAACCCCAGCGCTTCTCATCGATCCGGGCCCAGCGTACTGGCCAAACCTTGGCTTACAACCCGAACCGCACCACATAGAGCCTGGCTGTGTCCCCATTCCCACATTCCCGCACCTGCTACATCTACAAGAAGCCTGTAATCTAGAAATCATTCCTGAGAATCGACCGTTTACATCTAGCGTCAGCCCTCTCGTTACCCCACCTACCACCCGCAACTCATTCCATGTTATTCGCATGTTCCTAAGTTACTGGCATCGGATGCCCCGTCGTTTGGCTCTCTTCTTTTCTAGTTCCAGGCGATCGACATGTGCTTAGGGTTTGGTTGCGGTTACCCTCGTTTGCTCTACATCTCAATAATAATAATATTTCTCACTCTACCCCGTCCCGCCTGCTCGCATTGGACCCCCACAACATGCCGTTCCCCAGCTACGTTCTCATCATTTTTTAGTAGGAGACACGGCCAGAAGATGATGTTAACGCTGGTACTTGTGTAAGCATCGTGACCGTAAAAGTATTCCCTCCAGTCAATTAATTTCGATCAGCCATGGCAGTCCCACGCCAGGAGATCAGATGCATTAATGCTCACCATGATTCGTAGCCCGCACGCTTGGCGCGGGCCTTGTCAATGAGCTTCTCTCTTCAAAGCTCCACCGGTCCAGCCCAACCTTGATCTGAACCCTGACCTCATCACGCCCAGATGGACCGACATGCTCTGCCATTGCCCCCAAGTACCCCTATACCACTGTCACCATTGTCGACCCAAATCCGCGCGTTATAGCTGCATGAGACTTGGAGAAGTTTGCCCTGCCCATCTATGAACTGGCCTCGAAGATGTCGTTCGCTAGATGCGTGAACACAACCCGTCTTCGTCAGCTTCAACACGCCATCAAATACACCAGGCGTTGGCTCAGGCTATGCCATCGGCCTCAAGTATGTTCGGATCCCGCCCTACTCTAAGAAGGTTCTCGAACTAATCTCTCATTCTTTTCTCCCTCCCCAACTTTGCCAACTATATGATACATCATATTATCCACGTTTCGACGTCCTCTAACAACATTGCTGTCCAACAGCTCACTGCCTCCCACCGCACTCCCTTTTCCAAGCCCACTACCCTCGAATCCGACTCTGGCCCTGGTGTAATCATCCTCTCCGGCTCCGCTCTGGGGGTATTACCATCAACCTCCTCCTCAATACAGACAGCATTCATATCGGTGCCCTCGCTACCCTCAAAGATGCGGACGCGTGTGCCGTTCTGTTGAGTAATTCATGCCAAAATGGAGCCCGGTATGTGTCGTAATTCTAATCATTCATGACGCATTATGCTGATCCCTGCTTTGAAGCCTGGAATGCTCGGAGCTTCCAAGCCTGATTTCAACGCGCTCATCGCTTAGCTCAGCTTCTTCGTCAACGACTTCTTCGCTATCTGCAAAGACCAACATCCGCCAAGTACCGCTCGCCCCGTCCACCTCGGCACGCGCATTGGTCTCAGGTTCTTGTGCGCCAGCATTGGTTTTGGCGATTCATATCTTCAGGAGGGCATCATCGGTCTCATATCTTTCGACGCCTGCCTCTCCCCGAGCTGATCAAATTATTTGGAGCCACCGCAATTAAGGTGCAGCTTCTTCTGCCTTGGCTACTTTAACTTTTCTCCTATACGTTTGCGTTTGTCTTCGACGCTAACACCACCGAAATCCACGAGCCCGTTGATAAAAAGACATTCATTGTTGAGCGGTTCCAGGTCTCCATATACACTCCCCCGGTGCCTCATGAACAACTACGGAGCAAGAATGTAGGATTTCTTTTGTTCACTATGTTTGGACCACGAATCTAAGTAAATGCATCCTTGTCGCTTTTTAAGTTACCAGTTGGTTACCAGGAAATTTGCATTGCAGTATCATTGGGCCGAGTACCATTGTGCGCATCAGTGCCACCGCCATAATCACTGATTGAACTGGCTTCACCGAATTTTGACTACAAGGCTTATTCGAGACGACAATCATAGCCGCGCTCGCATTTGATACATGTCCAGCTGCGGTCGCTGTCTAGAAAGTTGCAACCGTGCTTAAGGTCGGTTTATCCAGCGTTTCTGTCGTTGTCTCAGCCGTAGATTGATGTTTCAGACCAGGTCTTCACAGCTGCACTTAACGGGAACCTACAGCTGTGCATCTTCATTCACTCGCTGTAGCATTATCCATTTTGGATTCCATTAATGAAGTGAGTTTTAACCTTGGTCCTAGCAAAAACGTGGGCTGTTGTTCACAATCTAGATGAGAATTTTGCAGCATCGGCCCCATACCACATCGGCGGCAAGATACCTATTATAATTAGATGGTCATACCCCAGATGCATTTTCCGAGCAGCTGCTCCGCTTCTTTGTAGTCCTACAATATTACCTATTTCTATGCATCGGACGATACTTTGTGAACTGGGAATTAGACGTCGACGCATTACCCTGAGCGATATTGAACGTGCTGCGGCAGATATAACTCGCAGAACATACTGAAATTACCAGTGCTTATCTAACGGAAAGTGCAAGTGGTCTCCTGACGAGATCTATAGCAAGGACCAGCAGTATGTTCGAGCTCGGCGCTCTCAGCACTCAAAGCTTGAGCTTGAAGCTTGAAGCTTGAAGCTTGAAAGCCCGCGTGTGGCAGTTATATATATAAGCTCCGAAAGTGCTTCGGATTTCGGGCTGGGCTTTTCCGGGGCCGTCGCTCCAGAGGACGCCAGTCACAAAATCACCAGTGCCTCGCATCAATCAACCATGGCGAGCTCTCCCCCAAGCCTTGATATGCTTCACGTTTACGATAGTACTCATGACGATCCAAACGAAGGCAGGCAGTTCGTTGGCGCTAACATTTCACCCCAGTCTTCCCGATTTGACGACCCTCCGATCGTCACTGTACAATCCGAGCATGCTCCAATGTGTAGGGAGTCTGCAACATACATGACAAACCGACTTCAAACTGTCGAGAAGCAAGTCAGCAAGATGAGCGACCTTGCTGTTCTCTGCAATGACAAGCTCACGACGCAGTCCCAGGATATTCGGAAGCTATCTTCTCAAGGGGTAAGGTAAATGTTAGCCCTTGCCGGCGTTGTTAATGATGCGTTGCAATGTAGGTTGGGCACCATGCCACGATATGCACTCTTGAAACAACTCTGGATATCGTACAGAATCAAGTCTCTACATTTCAACAGCATATAAAGTCGAGCGTCGAGAAACAGGCAGGTGGGTTTTAGTGAGGTTAACGACTTCACCAAGCCATCTCAAGAGTCTCAGTCTTTGTTAAGGAGGCTGAACAACGCCTGGCGTATGACCTTCTTGCACATACATCTGCGGAAAAAGGCGATCGGGACCTTCAAGTTGGTCACATAGAAACCTCCATTACATCCTTGAAGACCAGGCAAGGTGATTTAGGGACCGAGCTTGAAGGGCTAGCGGAAGATCTGCGTCGCCTGGGAGCTGAGCTAATACCGTTAAAGGAGAAAGTCTCTGACGCCTTAGCTCTTGAGCAGACTGTGTTTGATTTGCAGATGGAATGCTCCACCTTGGGTCACAATATGGACAATCTTCGAGAGCTCATCAGGGTAGTCTCTCCTGACAGCGAGAATCACTTCGCACTCAGCAGCGAAATAGAAATGTGTGAAGCTATGCAAGATTCGGCCGAGGGGATCACTTCATTGTCAGACTCAAGCCCAGCACTCTCAGAAGTCGCTCGCGAATTAGTGTTATCTGTGCGCCAAGCTGACGTTGACGATCCATTGATGATTTGCACTAGTGCATCAAATCCGAGACCAAATTATCATCCTCAAAGTCAATTTCCCCAAGAGCAAAGGAACTCTGAAGTGCGTCTCGTGACAACGACCACCAGTGCAGAGCGGATTTATAGCCTATGGCGCTGGTTCCTTCTCACTGCCCCGGCGGCTCAATGTCGGGGAGAATTATGGTGGCCAAATCTCCAGCGAAAGGTGGCAGCCTTGAGGAATGTGCGTTTACATGCTATCTTAAACCCAGTAGTCGCAGCTGATGTCGGCGCTGCAGACCTCACACCCTGCTACACTCACCGGTATAGCCCTGTTTGGGCGCTTGGTGGGTCTCCTCATGGTGGCGCTATTGGGTTTCACTATAGCAGCAAAAGAGCTATGGGGCTGTTCATTCCACCGCGACTTAGCCTCTACTTATCGTGCGCAGAAGCTAGGAGAGGGGTTTGATGTTTGACCTCAACGATCGGAACTGCATAAATGAACGTTTGTACCATATTAGCATTTTGAACAACGCCTTGATCTTTTACGGCTTTGAATCCGATCCTTGTGCTTGTCTCTACAATACTATTCCACGATCAAGTTCACAACATGCATACGCTGCCAGCGTGCACCATAAGCCCAGGGCAGAGCAAAGCGGATATGGGACATTTCTCACGAAGTTCCCGTTCACAAATATAACCAACAAACTGATAGTCGACGCTGACGTCGACAACAATCCAGCTGATACGTTCTAGATTTTGACTCTGAGGGCGCAGCTCTCTGCTATATGGTGAGCTATTGTTGCACTCGATGGCATGATGCGCCAAGCATTCACTCTTAAACCGCTAATCATCAGCTCAATCCAAGCTCAATCTCGCAGCCCTCGTAGCGAACATATCAGGCACCCGCCTTTCCAATCTCCCTTTTGTTGCAATACAGCTGCTCAAATTCATGGCCTATCCTTGGACGCTCTGCTCGCCTGTATGCGCTATGCCGTGTTCCCATGTGTACATATAGCAGCACGCTGTTCGGTGAAAAGACGCTGGCTAAGCAGATATCAATCCTGTTATTTGTACAAGTCCTGCCTCTCATTATAGACTCGTCGGATCCAGTACTAGTGGCGCACCCCTTGACTACGGATCTGACTGGCTGTTGTTCAGGTTGCTTTCCATCGTCCCCCTTCTTTCAATAGCCCACTATCATCGCGCTCTCGATGGTGACAAACCACAAGCGTCAGAAGACTAAACACAAACACCATGATCTCAGAGCTGCCCTTGAAGTAAAAAGGAAACGTTTATGGAGGAAGACTCGCCAGATTGAATTTATCAACTCAAGGCAGGGGCGACGGCTATCAAAGCAGCGTGCGATGGCTACTTCCATAGAGCTGCTTTCCCTCTCCAGATCAGAGCAATCTAGTGAGTTCCTTAGGCAAAACTTGGGCACTCATCAATATACATACGGGAACCCTTTCCTTTCCAGCCGTTCATGCAGTAGCCAAGCAACAAGGAGGTGAAGCCAATATAAATCATCTAATGCCTGTGGTGTTTACTCGGGGCCCACATCTAAGTAATTGCCGCAGTAGCTTTGCACAGAGCCAGATACAGGCTGATCATTTTCTCTAGCAACTACCGTTGAATATGATACTTCGATGGAGGCCCTACAAAACACCAGTTACAAGACTGCCGGTTGTTTGTTCTACCTCACTATTTGTGGTGTAGAGGCTGATGGGGGTTTTCTTCAGCGTCTATTGGGGAGCTGGGGCTTTCTGCAGATTCTCCGTACCATCTCACTCGCATGGAGACCTTGGTAATATCTGGCCTGTCAAACACCCTCCCTACAGACGGCTCTTTTTCCAACACCGGTGTGCCTACAGAGCCTCAGAGCTCCATTAACGCTGAACATAACAACATTGAGGAAAGCTGGGCTGGCTTGGGAGCTCAGCCTGATAGTCGCATGGAAGGTAGGGCTTGGTTTCAAGGAGGACGTTAGTTCTACCAGTGACTGATAGCGGTTAACTCTAATAGAAAGAAGAACGTACGGCATTACGCAGCATGCAGGCCAGAGTGTCAGGCCAGCGCCTAGAGGTAGCACGCCGGTCAACCAGGATCCTAACACGGAAATAATGGAGTGGTCATGCGCAGAAGAGGCTAGTAACAATGGCGCTGACGTATATAGGTTAACTGTGCGTTTCCCTCAGAACAAGCAAGGAGAACCATCTGTACAGCAGCACACGGAGGATGATCACCGCAGCCATGCATTAGGAGGTAAAAGCAAACCGACAGCTCATGAACCCACCGATAGCTCCGCTTCATCTTCGGGAACACCTATAATCCATAAAACCGGAGGCGTCTCACCCCTGCTTATACAAGGAGTCAACAAAGGGAAGAACAGAGAAATAGCTGCTTATGATGCTAGAGGTTCTAGCTCATCGTCCGCTACGCCAAGGCAGCTACCACCGAACGCAAACGGCATTGCTGGTGCTGATGAGTTGGTAAGTCTAGGTCGTTTTTAGGCATTTGTGTCTGTGCTGACCTCGTACAGCACACCGCATTCAATCGCTTAGCAAATGTTCCTCAGGTAAGGCCGCCCTCTGTCCTTTAAGCCGGACGCATATGTGACTGAATTTACCTTTCACTCACCGGTAGCATGCACCTGCTACTAAAGGCGATGTTGCTATGTTAGTTGCAATGTTTCATCAAATGTATAACCAGACGAAAAGGAGGGAGGTATCAACTAGCAAATCTATTCAATCACGCCGTACACGCAGACTTCACAGGATATCCAGCAGCGCCTCATCGCTGAGAAACGGAAGATCTAAGCCACGGCCTTCTGGAGCCTTTCCTTCGCACCGTGATGCGTCTCAGCTCTTGTTACAGGTGAGCGCGTTCAGCGAATGGACTCTAGGAAGATACGCTTAAGATCATGCAGAGACAGGTTCGAAAGCATGCGGCGAAGCTCTTGAACCGGTCCGACAAGGACTCCCCCTTTAAGGAACCGTCAGTCCCAGAGGTTGTTGCTTTTGAACGACGCAAGGAGGGCGGACCTACAGCAAAAAACTTTCGTCTCCAGCTTCAGAAGGCAAATGCCTCCCAGTGGAATAAGCAAGCAATACGCGTCTTTACAAAGGACTTCAGGGGTTGTAGCTGGCATGCGAACGCCGGTTATGGAAAAGTCAAGCGAACATTCGAGGTTCACATGCAAGCTCTTCGAGAGCAGTACAAGGTCATCAAGCGAAAGAGCTACGACCGGCTTCAAGTGCCCTCCGAATCTCAGGCAGTGGAGGAACAGGCCCACCGTGATGCCATCACAGAGGCTAACCGCGGGCAACGACGTCGTTCGGTAAGCACGACCAAGGTTGTCGAAAGGTCGACCCTAATTTCTATGTATCAAGCTTTGTGGACGACGGGGAGACGCCTGTGACGATCACCCAGATCTAAAGGAGTTTAAACCACTCTTCAACCAGCTACCTCCCGAAGCAATGAGTGACGATGAGACCGATGAGGAGGAAGATGACGGACGACCCCGCTACATAATTCGGGTACCCGCCTGGAGATCAAAGCAGGCAACCGCATGGCTCAGGGTTTTTGATCGCATCCATCTAAGCGGAAGGTTCTGGCCAAACGGAAAACCAAAGCGTGGGCGATTCCCTCATCATCGAGTACCTTCTCAGCGAGTGGAGTCACCAGGAAAGCCTGTGCGTTGCTTGCCCGTGAATTTCTACGATGCAGGGTGGTTGGAGGGCTTGTCAAGCCCCGAGCGTGATTACCTCAAATGTGGACCGCCTGCAAAGTTGTCCCATACTACTCGAGTCGTTCAGTAAGCGTAAATTGCATCTCTTCTTCATCCAGGCTCACTTCCCGTTCACCTACAGGTTGGCCCACAGGTTTCGCCACGTAACTAGCGGTAAAACACGTCCAGAGCCGGCGCGAGTGCGACAGTAACGTTAATCTCATTGTGACAAAAATCATTAGACAAATACTTGAACGCAGTACGGTTTCATCCAAGTCAACAGTATCGCCGCTCGTGTCATGTATACCTGTTCCCTGGTGCGTGGAGTAGGGATGTCCGTAGGCCGCACTGTAGAATTATGAACTGCGATACGAGTACATATCTGTGTAGTAATATCAATGTTTTGATCAAGGCAATGGAATCTATAACTGATAGCGAACGTTATGTTTTGGTGTTTTCTGTGGTTGCTGTCATTACTTCAAGTATGATTGAATCGAGGCCTGCGGTCAAGCTGTGTCGTTAGTACTAATACATGGTAGGTCGAGGATGGCTTACCATATTAAGAAAACTCGCTGACGTGTTCGAGCTTCAGCGCCATTCGCTCTGCGCTGACCACTCAAGTACTCATTAATGCATTACCCGACAACTTCGCGTATCTGCTGCTGCCCTCGCTCTTGCCCACTCGCTCTATCTCGTGTAGGAGCGTAAAAATGATGATAAACCGGGCCCATGCCGCTGTAGGCGTGTTCCTCGCTACAGGCTCAAAGCGCAGCGCAAATGGCGCGTCCCCGCCTGTAAATGTCTCATTATGCTCTGCGTTCCCGGCTACAGGCCCTCTGTTCGAGGCTTTGTACGTATTCCCGCATTCTAATTACCTTTGCTTGCTGACTTGCGTGTACAGGGAAACGTTAACACTCGAGACCTCAACTGCTCTCCTCCCCCTCCTCTCGCACTTCCCCTTTTCCGCCCTTCCATCGCCGTACACACCCCACGACGCATATACACGTGCCTGCGACTTTGCACAAGAACCAGTTTCTTGACGGTGGCGCCTTAAGCTCGGAAATGACGCTATCTGGTCTGTACGCGGCTGCACCCAGGCTTGCGGTTGGCGCACAACGCCATGAGGAGCGATTTCAACAGGAGGCGTCGGGTAGATTTGCAGGAAAGAGATGCACGTCTTGGATAGACTGGTACGGGGAGGTGTTGTGCGATGCGGAGGAGTTGAAAGAGAAAGGGTCCTCATCGCCAGGCAATTCGGACTACGCGGCATTCAAGCCCCTGCCCTTTGAATGCGCGCACGCAATCCCGCCCTCGCTCAACGAGCCCCCATTCAAGATCGTGCTCTATGCAGACCATATGGCTGATAGTTTCGCGCCGATCCATGCCGCGTTGCTGTTGTTGGAGCCAGGGGTTGAATACGCTCTTCTGTGGGCGCGGACTGCTCGGTCCGGCGAAGGCAAGGGCAGTCTTACGGACGGGTACGGGGTTGCGCTCGACCTAAAGAAGACGGGCTACCTGGTTATTGGCGACCGTGCTCATCGCTCGGACGACGCGGCGTCTTCGACGGGCAACGAGGATGCCGGAGGAAATAATAACCCGCATAAGTCGCTGCCGTAGGCTGACGAGGCTTCAACGAGCCCTTGACTGAAGATGAGATTGCAGGCAAGTATTGCAATTCTCTCATGACTATCCGAAGCTAATGAATAATGTTTCTAGCCTTTGGCATGAAAGCGACTCAGTTTATCTCTCGGCTTCCCTCTCGACCGTACGGTGCCTCCCTTTATGTCCACCCCTGCTGGAGCAACCGCCATCGAGCGCCTCCAGATCAGCTGGCTCTCATGAGCGTACCAAGCCGCTCTTTCCCCTTGGACGCAAACCTTCTTGCGCGCGTAAAGCAAGTTGATTGAGGGCATGGCGGACGAAGTTGACGAGAACTGGGGAAAAGCAACATCAGGCGTGGGCACACTTTGGATTAATGGTCGGGTCTTTGAACAAAAGGATGGGCAGGGTGGAAATATCTTCAGGTGAGTGGAATATGAACGTATATTGGTAGACTCAACGGTGTACTGAGAAATTTGTACTTGTAGCCTCCTTCGCACACCGAGTGCGTGCGCTCGTCCAGTGCATCATGGACTTTGGTCAGACAGGAGAACGGGCGGCCGATATTGTCATGCATCCCGCCTATACCAAGATTATATCTTCATCGCTTTCGAAACCTGTAGGCCGGGGTAACCACACGCCGACGCATGCAGCGGGCGGGTCATCCGCGTCCACGGATCAGGCACTGGGCTCTCCAGTTTCCCTTTCGTCGCGATAAGGCCTGATAAGGCTGTTCGCGTTCATGGCCTATCTTTGTGCGTTCTGCTCGCATGCGCGCATGGCGTGCTCCCACGTACGGCTGAGGTATGTATTCCAAGCACGCTTTTTACTTTACAATAGCTGATCTAGCATAAGTCAATTCATTCGTTGTAGGTTGGCAAAATGTAAGGCTTCGTGCCCTGACGTACGACTGATCATGCGCTCGTCTCACTTGTTTTTATATGCCTTCGCTCGATCGGCTGCCCGTGTATGTACTTTACAAAATTGTTGACAGGCCTTTTGCAAATTTCCGGAAGGCGTTCCCCCCAGAAACCTTCCAGCCTTCTTACCTAAGATGCTACTGTGAACTGCATGCTGCGCCTCGGGATCTGCAGCCGTATAGATAAATGCTTACACCATTTACCCTGTATACCACTTTGAGACCCGCCCATGAGCTAAATGGAATGCGGGCAAAATACGAGGCGTTTCAACGAGTTCATCCATCGGCCAGGCTGCAGGATTCAGCAAGCGTGACGTATAGTATGTGTCTCACACAGAGGCCGTTGGCGTTAAGCACATATATCATACTGCATGTATGCAATTTATGGAATCGCGTGAGATACATGGTCAAGTGAGTGATAATTTTGGTACTATAAACCATCCAACAGGTCCCCGCAAAGACCAATCAGAACGTCGTTGGTCGCTGAGCAACGAACTTCGACTTCGACTTGGCCACGCGGTGGGGGAGAGGGAGCTTGAGGTTGGGCTGGAGAAGATGCTTTATGCACGGCCTGCGGACATCGTTGGATTTCTGTAGCCCAATGAAGGGAAGACCTGCCCAACGACGTTTGTGAGGTTGCACTAAATGCGAATGAGAGCATACGTGAATCGTCTAGAAAAACGGGCACGGTGCCATACGTGTCGTAGTAGAGTCTTTTGACGGCGTGGGCGCTCGAGAGCTCACGGAACCCCTCGTACATGTTGTACGTTCCGGAATGCGAGTTGTAGCGAAGCTAGCTGCCGATGTTCTCCACCAGTAGGTGGTCCCTGTGAAATTACATCAAAGAGCGAAAGAAAAGAAAGCAAGAGGGCGCATTACCTGCTGGCCTCCCATCCCATCCCCTTGCTACGTGAACGGGTGCAAGGTAACCCCACCCAAATACAGGACTCGACATTAGAAGGCCAGGTGGACCGGGCCAGCTGCAAGGGATCAAAATACACAACGTTGACGCCGATGATTTCATTTGACCTTCTTCAGCTGCCTAAAAGCCCGTCAAGATCGTGCTATAGTGAATAGTTTGAAAGAATTGGAGTACCTAAGGAAGTACCAGAAGCGCGACTTGGCGACAACTTCGTCGGGCGCGAAGATGCGCATGCAGTAGATTTTGGGAGTCGGGTCGTTACACGTTATCCGCGGGGATGTGGTAGTCGACAACTTGGAATTCCTGAAAGCCCATCTGCAAGCGAGAAATTGCAAAGCATCAGCAATTCATCCAACCGCCGACGTCAGCCCATCCTTACCAACCATCCATCCAAACCCGACGCCATCCATCCAATGCAACCGGCCCTTACAAACGCATGCGTGCACGAAGAGAAGGTCCTGGGACATCAGGATGGTAATATGGCGTAGGCCCATCTTGACTTCCGTGTCTTGGGGAGGGGGCGTTTGGCGTTGCTAACGACGATGGCTGCACAAACTCTCTTGCATTCAATTGGGTTTACGTCGGAGCTTGAAACTGGCGTCCCGGCCGTATCTCATGAATAGCCCCTAATAAAAAAACCCTTCGCTGCTCGTGTTCATCATGTCATCGCCAAGGCCTCCGCAGTAGCGTTGGCCATGGGATGGACTTTGTTTTCAGCATCACGGATGACGATGCTGATTGTGCTGGGAATGATGCCAGGGGTTGGGAGACGCGTTTGGCGTTGTCCTGTCCCCACTTCCCTTCACGCGCAATCCTCGCGCGACACCGCAACGCCGTCCCGCCTCCACAATGCCTGCCCGCACTATTGTGGACAGAGAACAACTATCAACTCTTATACCGCGCATATTTGACCAGGCTCAGAACACCGCTGCCAACCACCAGAAGAACCTCGTTGCTCTCCACAAACTCCATGCTCAGGCCGCAACAATCACCAAGCAGGTCGGCGATGGCGCGAGCATGAAGCTTACAGGAGAGAAGATGTTCGAAGACGTGTTTGAGGACATGGCCTTGCGAGTGGTGGTGGTCAAGAAGGGAACGTCACAGGTCGACAAAATTGTCAAGTTCATCGGGATGTATGTCAAGTTCATCAACGACAAGGGTAAGGAGTTACTCGACCCCTTAAATATATCTAGCTAAATGTCGAACCTTAGCCGCGGAGGTCAAGAAGAAGGACGACGAAGATGAAGATCATTCGACTGCAGGCCGGTTCTTCAACAAGTTGTTCAGATACTTGCTCAAGGGGCTGACGGCCAAAGACAAGATCGCCCGGTTTCGTTGCATCGACATTCTTAACGAGCGTGTTTCGCATATTGGCGAACTTGAGTGCGTAATGCGACTTTGTTTTTTGGGGTCAATCCTTAGTTGCAATACCCTAGTGAGGATTTGTACGTTACACTCCGATCTGCACTACTCGACCGGATACGAGACAGGGAGACGATGGTCCGCGTTCGGGCTGTCCAAGCGATCACGAAACCCTTTGGAAACGAGTCACCGGACGACGTCGAAGATGGGGAGTCCGCAACAGAGGTCTTGCTTAACACTCATGCTCGAGACCCTTCTAGGTAAGTCGACATTCACTAGTTGTTGCTTTCTTGGGTTTACCCGGATACAGCGAAGTTCGATGCTGCACACTCATGAATATACCACTTTCTCCTTTCACTCTTCCTGGCGTGCTTGGACGCACACGCGATACGGAAGACACGATACGCACGGAAGACACGATACGCACTGTAGTCTACAACATTATTCTCGCGAACAACATCACCGTCGCCGGCCAGGAACGAGTTGCAGATGGAGAGATCAACGATGCTCCACAACCTATGGGCCCAACGCACCCACGTGTGCTATCCATTGCCCAGCGAGAACTTGTGATACAAAATGGCCTCGGCGACCGAAACGCCAGCGTGCGTAAAGCGGCTGCAGCATTACTTGGGAAGTGGGTTGATAACGTTTCAATCGAGCCTAAAGGCGAACCCGAGGACGAGGAGCTGCCCCCAGCCGGTAGCGAGGAAGCGAGAGCAAGGGAGAAAGAGAAAGAAAAGGAGGAGGTACGGGACCGGCTCATAGCGCTCCTAAGGATGTTCGACCTTGTGGAGAACAAAGTCGCGGAGAACGCGCTGCTGAGTATCTTTGCCACGCGTTTGGACGTCTTTGACAAGCTTGAGTTCAAAAGTTTGTGTTGTCTTCCCGTGTTCGTTATCAATACTATTGAAAACTAACCATTAAGAACAGAACCGTACTGGCTCACCCTTACTCCCGAGAAAACCTTCCTCACGCGCGTATTTGTCGACCATTGCATCGCGATCAAGGACGAGGCGCATCTGGACGCGGCGATTCCTGTCGTCATGTTCCTCGCGCTTCGTATCCAGAAAACGTACAGCGACCTCATCAAAGACCTTATCGGAGCTCAAGACGAAGATCATCTCGGAAACGCGCTTAACGAAGATGCGCAGGCGCGTCGGGAGGAGAAGCAGATGGACGCGGAGTTTGTCATCGGGGAAATGCTGCGAATGGCAATGAACATGGACTATTCGGATGAGATGGGTAGACGGAAGATGTTTTCGCTCGTTCGTAAGTCCAACTAAATCATTTTGAAAAATGGTCGGTAACTCAATGCTACCCACAGGCGAGATGATTCCCAGAGTAGTCTGCCCGACTCCCTCGTCTCGGTTTGCCTTGACGTCTTCACTTCAGTCACCCCGGGTATCCACCCCTATAAGGTGTGTTTCTCTGTGCCAATTTTTGTACCTGTAAGGGGGTCACCCTGCGTGACCATCCCCCTCCCGTGTGGATCCTCCATAAATTGGCCGCTGGATAATCCAGGTGCTCCAAGCATGCTACATAAGGCAGTCAGTGTTCCGTAAGGCAGTTATGGTATAGTGGACATCCACATTGTATATCTGGAAGCTCACACAGCTTATCCCAGCCAACCTATGGAAATCCTAAGGAATTGAGTGGGCATGCGGGGGCATGGATGTCCGTATCAGGATGATCAAGGAGTCCGGGGTCCTCGGCCTCTCATTTAATTATTCTATTAATTTACAAAGAACTACTACGGCACAAATATCATATTAAATTCACTACATTGCATTTATTCCGCATTAGCCACTCCAGACTATTCACTGAACACAAATACGGGCGAATACTGGAATCGATTGTTACGCATACAAACCCACCACCACGTCTGACACACAGAAGTATTTGTCAGCCCTCGCAATGGAGGTAAAGTTCCAGCCATGAATTCCACGCACACAGGACTCTGCCACAAACAAAAGCCCAGGTCAACTATGAGTCATCTGCACGAATAGATCTATTAATCTACATGTTGGCGTGCAAGAGGCTGCGTAATGTAATATGCCACGCATATTCATCATGCACCCATATCACACAGGAATAACATAGATGCCATGTGGATGATATCTGTCTACATCCCGCGCACTCGCACAGTTATCATCGCGGCGGATATCCTGTAAGGGACTCAACCAGTGGGGGATATCCATAGCGATAAGATCACCAACATAGGACAGCCTCAAGGCCAATCACGCGCAGGGGATATCCTCCCAGGGGGAACTCACTCACCGGTGGGATGTCCGCAACGATACCATCGCCAACCCGGGACAACCTAAGGGCACATCACATCAAGGGGGTCATCCTAACAAGGCGGCTCGACCACTGGTGGGATATCCGAGGTAATAACATCACCAACGCAGGTCAGCCTAAGGGCACAACACACACAGAGGATATTCTACCACGCGGGCTCAACCGCATGTTGGGTATCCGTGACGATAAGACCACCAAAGTTGGACAATCTAACAGTACAACACATGCGCAGGATATCACATACAGGGGGGCTCAACCAATGGAGGGATATCCCGCGGTGATTATATCGCGAACGCTGGACAACCTAAAGGTAAAACACAGCGTCATCAATAAAAAAAGTGCATTTATTCACATGCAGGATATCCGCGGGCCTGTCGCGCAACACTTCTGACCTCCACTGGATGACTCAGGGCCTGTTGACACATGAGGGATAGGAAGTCCATGTTTTTGAAGTCAATGTCAGGGATATCCGTGTTAGTCGATGGATGTCTTCCAGGGTATCCTGCCATCCACGCGATTATCCACGATGGATAACCAAAGACCCCATGCACACAGAAGTGCATCACACCTCTAATGATGCCAATACAATGGTTATCCGCACTAGTAATAAGAGAAATGTTCATTCAATGAACATCCACAGATAGACACACCGCACAGAGGATAACCCACAGGATATCCCTACATCATCCACATTGGCATGATGGATAACCACCCTTGCACAAGAAGAGACACGCTCACATCCACAATGTCTGTCTTCAAGGGATAACAAATCCACCGTAAAGCCAGATTTGAAGAAGAGCTCAAACCCGACACGACCAACCACACAGGCACTAGGACATCCACGTAGGAAGTCGAAACATAAATGTAGGATATCCATGAACGCCGCGAGGACAGCGCTGGAACATTATTGTATAGCCAGAACGAGCATAGAGGTACTGTCATTATCAATACCAATTCGTACATCAACGCAAACAACCGCTCCATATCACTAACATAGCCATGGTGAACCAGAATGAATAGATCATCGTTAGTATCTATGCCTTGCTTGCTTGTACGCACGCGAGGACTCGGTCCTGGGATCACTGAGGGGTATGGTCGGTATACACTCGCAATGCACGTTGGTTGTTATGACTCACGGTGAACACCTACGGCGTGGAGGCGAAGGGGAGGATACGCTTCGGAGGGCACTACCGTAAGCAGGTACACTTACGGAAAACAAGGGGAAAAAAGACTCACCGCATTGGAGAAACAACGCGCTGGCGATGGTGAGACTCGACACGGTGCTCGTGATGACGGGACGGCCCAGCCACTTGATCGTGATGACGGGACGGACCGGCCACTTGATCATGATGACGGGACGGACCGGCCACTTGATCGTGATGACGGGATGGACCGGCCACTTGATCGTGATGACGGGATGGACCGGCCACTTGATCGTGATGACGGGATGGACCTGCCACTTGATCGTAATGACGGGACGGACCGGCCACTTGATCGTAATGACGGGACGGACCGGCCACTTGCTCGCGGTAATATGAACGCGATGACGGGGGTGCACTGTCATGATATCGTGAGCGCCGTTCATGTTGATTGCGGGGATCACGGGAAGATGAGGCCACAACACTGGCATACATATATTAGTCGTTAACGATCGAGCTCCACATACGCGAAAACACGTACTATACATCTTGAACTCCATCGACAGGTCGGAGCGACGATGGAGATACCATGCGGTCTTGCACATGGCTGAAATAAGGAGGCGGCGGTGTCCTCTCATTGCCGGCGCGACTCTGCCGTCGCGGAGGGGAGGGTGGTCGTCGTGGTGGAGAAGGCGATCGTCGCGTGGGGGAGGGCGATCGTCGACGGACACGTGGAGTCTCGTTTTCGTCCACCTCCATAGGTGACAGCGGCGGGAGCAGACGATCATAACGCGATTCAGCAGCGTCGGAGCGTACACGCGCCTGCGAACGACTCGGATTATGGCGACGGCCCATGTAGACTGGTTCATCCGAGTCTGACGAGGGGATTGTTATGATGTCCCTGTTCCCATCCCGAGAAGCCCGAGATATGTTCCGTGGGGGGCTTGGTGATAAAACACGCCGGCTAGATGCAGCGCGTGCTCGTGTCCTTGGTTGGCTAGAAGGCGGAGGGGAAGGTGATGTGAAGCGAGCACGTACACGTCGTTGTGGAGGGGGAGATGGAGACAGCACGCGGAGGCGGGGACGGGGACGAGGCTGAGGAGGCGAAGGAGACCTGACATGGGTACGAGGGGCCAATGGAGCTCTAACATGAGGATGACGAGGGGGCGAAGGAGACGTGGCAACAGCACGAGGATGGGGGGGAGGAGAGGGGCTGACGCGAGAGCTAGGAGGAGGAGAAACCGAAGTTGCGTGACCTTGCGATGAAGATCTAGCAATCTTTTCATCCGCCTGTTCTCGCGTAGACAAATTATCTGAAGCGCTTGGCTGGTTTCAGCACTCTGAGTGGCATCATGGGGCTGGGATGGGAACATACCTGCCCACTTTGGCTCGATACTTCTCTCGCATCTTTGCGCATTCTACGGCTTTGTTCCTAAAACATAATGTCGATGCGGGTGACGAACGTAAGCGAGCTACATGAAAGCTTACTTGTGATAGTATCGAGCTCTAGAGGCGCGAGCAGCCTCTCGACGCTCTGCATCTGTGGTGTACAGAGGGGGTCGCCCAGCAGGCATCGTGGCGGTCTGGTGCAAGTGCTAGTAGCGTGAAAACATCCGATGTGCTAAGCCCCTATTGCTACTCACTCAAACTTTCTTGGGAGAATAATCAAGAAGACAAGTTGTGGATGGTTTGACCACGACAATAAACGTGTGGAGAGTGTGTGTGTGTCATGCAATAGGTAAGCGCGCAGACGATAGTACATGCAAGGAGGAAGGGGCCATGGTATATGTGACCAACGAGAGTGGACAAAATATGTGAAGCGATGCGTTCGATATAGCCTTATAGACTCTTGCACGGGTTTGGCCATCGTTCTTTGGAGAGAAATTGGCAAGTCAGCTTGCCACTCCTCCTTGGTCGAATACAGATGTTGTACACATATAGAACCTATCTAGCGTGACATAGCTCTGACAGCACTCACAATCTCACTTCCCCTTCATGGAAAACAACGTGTACCGAAGGATCGTTGAGCCGGACGATCAACCAATTCTACGAAGAGAGCCAGCAAACATTTCAGGGTATTGAAAAGGAGGACACGTACGGATGCTGAGCAAGCGGAGGCCAATGACTTGCTCATCGCCCCAGTGCCAGCCCACCCTGAGGTCTTCAACCGCGTTGGTCATGCAGAGCGGAGTCATGCGGCGCGGCGACCTCATGAGCTACCGCTCAAAAGCCACCTAGCCAGGAGCGTAGAGCTCCTAGGTCGGTGCAAGGGACACGAGCAGGCGAGGAGCACATAGCTCCTCTCATCATGTGGCATCCTTCGTGGAAAAGAATGTTCAGTACGTGGAGGACGATGAGAAACGTACCTTCACCGTGTGCGGGCAATGCTACATAAGTACCATCATAGATGGTGTGGTCGCGTCCATGTGGCGTGCTCGTAAGTGGCGCGCAGGTCATGGCAGGGGTAGGCGCCGTGGGCAGTGGATGGAAAGGGGAGTAAGCAAGCGAGGCTGGGTTTATATACCGTGCAGTAGTTCGAAGTCCGCGGAACCAAATCAGGTGTGGATAACCCACGACGACCCTGGGATATCCCATTCGGACTGTGAGGCGCGACTTCCCTATGTGGTAATGAGTCTAGGCCCCGCGCAAAGAGACCCAAAAGCAGCCACATGCGCAAACAGACCCAAAGCAGCCACCCGCACGAACAAGCCCAAAGCGGCCATCCAGCAAATAGCAGCAAATACACCCATACAGTCTATAACGTTTGTGCCCTCTCTGGCGCTTACTCCCATCCGCATCCATTCGTCGCTCGCTTGTCGCGCACCCCTCGCTCCTCCTCCCTCCGTCAATCGTGACTTTCGTACTCGTCTCACCACCACCGCACGACTCTCACCACCACCGCACGACTATCGTATCTCACAGTAGGTCTGTATCGTCGTGTGTCCCTCCACGGTCACTGACGCCTCCTCTAGTAGGACTGCACTGTCGTGGCGTCTTACCAGTGAGTCTCCATCGACGCCGCACCCTCAGTACTGATACGCTATGAATGAATTTTAGGCCGAGTTTGCTGCTGTGGTGAGTCATTCGCTCCATGAAGCGCTGGCAAACTGATGCAAAAGGCGTAGATCAGTCGTCTCTCGAAAACCACCACCACGGTATGCCACCCTTCCCAATCATTCCTTTCTTGAGAGGAGCTCTGTGCTCCTCGCCTCCCTTTTGCCCCTTGTCCCGCCTTGGAGCTATATGCTCCTGGGTGGGAGGCTCTTGAGCGGTAGCTCATGAGGTCGCCGTGCCGCATGACTGTGCTCTGCATGACCAACGCGGTTGAAGACCTCAGGGTGGGCTGGGTTTTTTGTACATAATTTCATCTTCACCGTCCTTACGATACGTCACTCATACTTGTTATATTCGATGTTTCATTTCTTTCTTTCTGTACGTTATACTCCCGTGCGTGCGCATTATGTATGGTTCCACGCACGTGCAACACGCTGGCAGATGCCCGTAGGCCCTAGTCCCTCACAAGCGTAACATACATACGTTAACGGTGTCTCAATCTCAGATCTATCCGTACATGCCCATTGCTAAGGTCGTGACGACCGATATGTTCCCGAGTCATCGACGACTGTTTGATCAAGAAGGTGACGATGCATGCATCGACTCTGTTTGTATTGGCTGATGCCTTCCCCTCAGAACCTTTACGCTTCACTGACGCTCTCGCGCTCACCGTCTTTGATGGTCGCCTCATAACCACCCCCAACATGAACCACATATACCGTCCTCACGTGTACCAGGCGGAATCGGTGTTTGCTAGGGCTGACGGTCGATACGCCGCGGTGGACCCACATCAACATCCACAGATGTACGATCAGAACTGGCCATGGGCCCCGCTGATCATGCGTGATGACGGTACCACTCACAATCAAGCCCATCGCTGTGCCTGGGACCCTTACAAGGACACCGACTGGGTTCGCACATCCTCTGACACTCTCGTTGGTGTTCTAAGCCCAGATGCGAAGAATGGATTACAGGCCATGCACACGGACCTACGAGAGCATGCAGAGGCGTGGTTCCATTCCATGGACAATGAATCCAGGCCCAGTGCCATCATGGGCATCATCAACGATTTCGTGGCGAACGTCGGCGTATTGCAATCAACGCCCCTGACACATCGAGAGGCTATCACACGCTTTGCAGAGGCGCAGCGCCTCTACCTCAATTTGCATGCATACCTGGACTACATTGCCATTGTCCGGCCTCGTATCTGGTCCCCCACGCCTTTCTTGCCCTATGCCGTCAATACCCATTGGATGGGAGCGTTCACCGACTCGCCCGAGATATGTCACATGCTCTATAAGGCGGGCGTCCCGGTGTGGTACATTAGAGACCCCCAGTCCATTCCCGCCGACATGAACGTTATCCAGCACGTCGACCTCATCCCTGCCAAGGTCTCTTACCGCGAGTTCTATGACGCTGACACCCGTGATAAACCCTTCCCTATTCTCCGGAAGAGCGACGTGGCTACGTGGCAGCGTTTGTCTGCCACACAGAAACGCGCCGCCCCCAAGGAGATTTTGCAAGCTCCTTTGTGTATGTCCTCGTATGCAGAGGTAATGGCACGATGGAAGCCTTCACGCCATCTTACCTTTGATGGTATGCACACTCTTACCGATATGAAGCACGTGTTGACACACATGCTAGGGTCAGTGACTGCCAATCGCGACCGATGGTCGGTATTCAAGCACGAGAACATGGCTGAGCCTGACCATTGTTTTTACTGGGGCTTACGCAACGTCAAGCGCGAGCTCGATGAAGCTAACAAAGTTCGCACTGAGGAGGCTCGAGAACGTAGGCGAAGACTGAACATCAAGGGCACAGGCAGAGAAGCAGCGTCCGAGCCGCCCCACGGAACTGGCAACCTTGCTTTTGGACTTCGTTTCCCAGACCCCGCCATCTTATGCTCTTCCGACGACCCCGGTCGGTCGGAGACGTACATCACCAACTGGCTCCTGGCTCGAGAGAAAATCATCGAGCTCGTCGAATCCAACCCCACCAGCCAGACGTTCCCCAAAGCGCAGGCTTGGCGTCGTCTGCTCTTAGGCGACATGGCTCCGAATGCATTCCACAATTCTGCAAAAGCTAAGGCCGAGGTATCACAGTGGCGACAGTTATTTAGTGAGGACGTGTGCGGGGCTACTTTGTCGCAGCCCAGGGTGAACAATCGCACCTCTGTGCTCTGGCGCGGCGAAGACATGGACCCAGAGCGCATGGGTGACCTCTCCCCGGCTGAGGTGCGGTTAGTCACTTGGGAATTGGCCGACCTGTCATTTCGCTACGAATTTCTGGCCCTCGACATGTATCTAGCTCGCCGGCACTGGGACTCTGACTATGACGAGCGAATGCGTCGAGTTTACGAGGCTTTTGATGTTCCAGAGGACGCAGCCTGTCTCGCTGCCCCTTACTCACTCCTGCCGTCTCCCATTAATCGGCGTGGGCTGCATGTGTCCGATCCCGACAGTGTCGCGTCGTTGCGCCACTGGGACTTCTTTCGCCGGCTGATGAACGAGTGGGAGGGCGGTGCCCAATTTGCGGCTCTCACGGGCAAACCTGATCGCAACAATCGCCTCACATGGCCAGAGAGGCTCACCACCCATTACATACGGGAGTTTCATCGACACACCGGGCGTCCTCCGGTGGTCCCTTTGATGTTTCCTTTCTAGTGGGCGGATCGCGCCTTTTTTTTTGTCAAAATTTTCATCGCTTCTTCTTTGCACTATATCGTACATTCTTCTGCTATCGTCGATGTGGACTAACATGATGTAAAATGACCGCTTACGATTGCTTACTCTGTCTCACAAGTGCGTATCAATCCGGCCTCCTTGTCATCCAATGTCCGTACGTCGGCCAACCATGCCCAAACCGAAGAGGCGCAAGCACGATGCCACCAAAGATGGAGGACCTGGTGCGTCTGTGGGGTCCCATGGCGGACCTCAAGGGACACCCGCGCTGGTGCGCGTGCATGCCCCGTCTGCTCCTGAGGTTCCTCGTATCCATACGTTTGTTGACGTTGAGCAAGCTCCGCGTCGTCCCAGACGTATCATCAATTTACTACACCCGCGCTTAGCGCAGGGGGCGCCCATACTGACTCTACCTTCACGGCAATTAGTCCAACGGCCAATAGCAGGTAGAGGCCCTCATGGACCTCCACAGCAAGACTTGGGCTCGAATCCATTCACCGCTGACTTCACGCAGGTTGAGGAGGATCAACTCCCTCAACGTAGTTGGTTGTCGGCTTCCGAGAAAAGACAGAGAGTCTGGGCCAAGTGGACGAATGATGTCATCCCATCTCTCATTCAACCTTATATTGATTACATGAGACGCACGGATGACCTACGCCTTCACGTCGACATCACATCCGAGCTTTTACGTCCTGGTGGGTGTGCATGTGCTAAGGTGGACCAGAAAGTGGTATGTCTCTCCTTTAAGCGTGAGTTCTCTCTTGATGATCGCAACGAGTTGTTGATGAATTAATAGAACTCCAACGCATCACGCTGTCCATTTGTCCATGTCAGGCTGGCCCGGTTCAACTCATTCGACTTGGGTTTTTCCCTAACACTCCATCTAAGCCCTCTCTGGCCGTAGACTTCCGTGTGCTAACACTCGTGGCCAATCTTTTTAAGCGCTTGACACCGAACACGACGGCATGGTGTGAAGCGTTGGACGATTTCTTTAAGCAGATGCGATTTCAATTTGCGACGGACGTAAGTCGGGTCACACATTCATAGTCCTCGGACACAATCGGTATTGACATACTTGTATAAAGGACGCCTTGCGCAGGCGTTTTGCCATGGCTATCCATTGGTTTTCAGTCTTACGCCTCGCTGTTGACGCCCACATAGACCGGTTCATTGAATGCGCGCAGCCACGTCAAAATCCTCCGACTGAGTCAGCCAGCAGCGACGAGGATGCAGTGCCCCCTGATACAAGTCCCGTAATAGCTGCTCATTCGTATTCGCGGACAGTCGTATCACCTTATCTGCAATCCCGTTGCCCGTTGTGTTTTCCCGAAACCTTTGTCCACACACCATCAAGCCCAGACGTGATTGTTTGCCTAGATGCCTGTTTCACCCAGAAGCGGGCCAACAACCCTCGCCAAGCTGCTGGCGAGGACCCCCCTAATCCCACCAATTCGTTCTTTGTCCCTGAGTGCATTGTCAAAGATATGGAATCATGGGTTGCCCAGCGACGTGGACCGAGAGCCAATGCTAGCAGAACACAAGGGCCGCAGCGCGAGGACGATGACAACATCGAGGCGGGTATGAAGGTCCCGGCGTCCAGTCTCGAGGCATGCGGGAGCTCATTCAAGGCAGCAGACGAAACACGCGAGAAAGCGAGCACCCGTTTCTTCGCTGATACTGGACTAATGGCGCTGGTGTGCAGACATGATCGCGTACTGTGGTTCTGCAACATGACCTCTGCAGGAGAGAGGCAACACTATGCGCTCGCCCTGCTCGAAATGTTCTTCCGGAACCTGCCAGGCTCTGCGAGAGTGGGACTATTATATGACATTGCATGTCAGCTCGAACGCAGTGCTCGCAAATGGGGCCTCCTGTCTGAAGAGGTGCTTGCTCGGATGGAATTCGGTGTCTCTGTGTTTCACGCCTATGGGCATCAATGGCCTTGTCAGGTTGTGTACCACCCTCGTAAGCGTCCAGGCTTTGGTCTTTCGGATGGGGAAGGTTGTGAGCGTCTATGGAGCGCTCTTCGATTTTTGATTTCAGTCTTAAGGGTTTCTGGGGTAAGTGCTTATGCGTAATTTGTGTCGGATGATATCTGAACTGCGGATTAGTTGCATCGACGTCGTTTTGTGTTGGACGACCAGGTGCGGTTTCTGGACGCCAAGGCAATGATGAACAATGGGACGTGGCTGCGCAACAAGTGGAAGGCATGTCAGGAGAAGAAGAATATGGCCCAAGACGTTCTGAGGGAATGTGGAATGCCGACGGAGGAGTTGCGAGACGAGTGGAATTCTCAAGTCTTGGCTCAGACGAGACCTCTTCCCCGTGCGCGCGTACCTTGTTATTCTAAAGTATTGTCCTTATTCTCTTCCTTGTGTAGGTAAATCTCAAGCCCGAGTGGATGCCGCGGTTTCAAGAGCGCTGGAGTTGGAAAAAACGGTGAACGAACGTGGAACTGAGGTCACCCAGCTCGAACAGCAATTACGGTCCGGGGCAAACACAGACGTATTGAATATCGGTGTCATGCTCAGGGATGCTCGCGAGTCCCACAAACTAGCAGTGACTGCTCTTCAACAATGTCTCGGCACTATGGGTGCGCCCGCTCGTAGAAGACTACAGCAGCGTAGGCTCGACGTATACATGCAAGCGAGAATAGATGCTTTGTCTACTTTGACGCGAATCCGTGAACGGGCACGCGGTCGAAAGTTCCAGCTCGAACGCATGAAGGACTCATACCGGTCTTCAGTGAATGGTAAGTGGGGGTTTTGTGTATCATGATTGGTCGCTCAAAATTGGCAGAAAACCACTTGACAACGCATATTGAGACGTCCGTAAAGCGGGGCGAGCCGTCCTTAAAACGGCTCGTGGATCGTTATAATCAATTGTGTATGGATATTAGGAGTCTTATATCAAGGCACAGGGCCCCTGCCCGTGCGGTGGTGCCACCCCTCCTTACTGCCCAACAAGTCTTCAACCTAGACGTCGACGATGACATCTGGCAAAACACTGGCCTCGATGATGCTTCGCTGCAACCTCCAGCTTGGCTCTCCAACGATAACGTGCGCAGGGGGATTCGAGCAATGCTTGAGGTCGACCGCTGCAACGAGGAAGAGGCACGTATCCTCCTGGAGCGCCGTCGACTGCAGGAATGGATAAGAAATCAGTGGCAACGCCTCAAGAACGCTGAAGTAGAAAATGGTACGATTGGAACACCTGGTTGACATGTTCTGAGTCCTCTGCAGGTTCAAACATGGCCTTTTTTATTACTCGGAGAAAGGAGTACATCGCTCGTTTATACACGGAGTGGGAGCCGTTGGTGCGAGACATACCGTGCAACGTTGAGGGTATTTCGTGGGGCCTGGATCCGGGAGAAATCAGGGACGCGTTTGCTCGCAAGAAGTGCGAGTCCTTCGTTGAATGTAGGCCAGCGCCAACGAATACTCTTGGCTCCTCCTCGATGGATGTTGGAATGAATGACGTTGTGGGGGACGGGCAATTCATGGACGCGGAGGAAGAGCTTGACAGTGAGGTTACTCTAGATGACGGGGAGGAATCAGTACCTTCGTCAGAGGAAGAGGACGTCTTCTTTGACTCTGAAGGCGAGTCGAACAGAGAGGAAGGAATAGATGACTTCGATACTTTCGAGGCCGGACCGCATATTTTCCCTTCCTCACCTTGACTTGTTTTTTCTTATTTAGTTCGTCACATATGCCCGAGGCAACTAGCATGGTTCATCCACATGGTTTCACTGAATGTCCACCAAAAAGATGAGGTTCAAGTCATATTGAGATAGGAAGGTGCGAGGTCTGTGTCTGAAGTGGAGGGGATGTCCATGTACAACATGTGGTTATTCGGCGTCATACTGTCCGGACTTCCTTTTGCTACAACTGTGCAGATACGGGTTTTTATTATCCCTAGGATATCCTACTACCTAAATGCAAGGTCACCATGGAGTACCCAACCATATCGGGGGATGTGCACGCATTCCTGCATGGTCCTGTGGATATCCATCTTGCAACTTCATGGGACGCCAACGGATGTCCCTCACCTGGTCACGGACAACCACGCATGCCTGTGTGGACGTGTGGATAACCAGCAACCGACTTCACGGCAGGACAGTGGACTTCCTCCATCTGGTCCCGGACAACCGTGCATGCCTGTGTGGATGTATGTATATCCAACCGTGGACTGAAGTGCTCCTTCAGTGCCCCGTATGAAGTGCTCGCGGGGGATCCCATGGATGTCCCTGTCTCCGTTGCGGACAACCTCCACAAGTGGGTCCTGTCCTTGTGGGTTCGTGGATGTCCACATTCAACCAATGTCTGGACTTAGACTTAGTCGGTGTTCTTGGTGTGTGCGCGGATATCCATGACCGGTGTATCCGGACGCCATGGATAACCATGGTCCCCTTCCATATTTACACCTCTGTGCCACGCATGTTAGCTCTTGACGTTATGGACATCCACGAATGGAATATCCATAACACTATCCTTGTCTGCTGAGTATAAGCACGTTACGTGGTAAGTTTTGTCTGTGATCTTTAAGTACTCAAATATCTCCAAAGAATCGACGAGGTCATAGTATTAATGTATCTTGTTTGAATTGAAGGAGGTTTATGTGGACATGAGCGACACTCTGAAAATGCAAGGTAGTACGTTCTAATTTTGTTGCTAATACTTATGTTTAATAACAGTCATCAATATTAGATAATAAAGTGTAGAATATTGGTAAGAAAGCCAAGGACCCCGGAGTCCCTGGATGACCATCCAGGATATTGTCGGCTTGTGGATAACCCTCCATATGATGTGGAGAGGAACTTGGGATATCCACGCATTGATCTACGCTCCTGCCATTCATGGTGCTTCCTCTCGGCCCCCGGGGAGTATCCATGAAGTGGAAGAGGAACATCCCCCCCAGCTGAGGACTATCACTCGGGGTGAGCCCCTTACAGGTACAAAAATTGGCACAGAGAAACACACCTTATAGGGGTGGATACCCGGGGTGACTGAAGTGACGTCTTACGCACGCTCTCATCAAGTGAACGTGACCTTATCCGCGTTGTCGTTGAAGTCATGCACGAGCTTCGCGATCCTAAGGACACTGATCAAGAAGAAGAGGAAGAAGTGCCTGCTGTACGTTCGCTACTATACTTTTGTCAACACGTTGACTCACCGTGGAACTTATAGAGCGTTGCACCAGGGCTGGAAGATGATGATGCTGCTGTCCTTAATCGCCTTCCACGTATGCCCGCCCGCGAGAACATGACGCCCGAAGAACGTGCACGCGCCGACGCCATAGATTTACGATGCCTCTCGCTGTGTATCGGAATGCTGGAACGTGTCAATGGGGTACGTCGTCGTCTAAATGTTCGTGAACGAGTTCACTAAGGTTTCTTCGGCAGACGTTTGAAGAAAATTCCACTTTGGAAGGTATCCTCGGCGAATTAATTATGCCCGCTGTGAAACGCAAGGAACTTGTTCTTCGCGAGAAGGGGCTCGTCGCGCTGGGATTATGCTGCCTCATCGCTCGCGTGAGTGTATATATAGATATTGACTAAAGGCGCGCATAAATTGACCATGACTGGCAATTGCAGCGTATGGCTCTCAACTTGTTCCAACTTTTCCTGGGCCAAATCCAAGCCGCACCCGAGGTTCTCAAGATCCAAGTCCTGCACATCGTATTCGACATTCTAATGGTACACGACCGCGATTTCCTCGGTCGCGATGACTCTGGAGTACGTGGCGAATGCCCTTGTTCTATAGGCTTTTAATAGTAACTCCGCACGACAGGGCGATAAAGTGATTGACTTCCTGCTGCGCATCCTTTCTGCCGAGGAGAGCGATCGCGTGCAGGCCGTCCTCGTTATCGGTCTAGCAAAGCTCGTCCTCGCGGGAATGGTGGGCGACGAGAAGGTGCTCAAGAGCCTTGTCGCCGCGTACGTCTCGCCCGACACCGTGGACAATCTGGAGCTGCGCCAACGTTTGTCATATTTCCTGCCTGCATATTGCTACGCCAGCTGCACGAATCAGCGTAGGATGCAGCAGGTGTGTTTGTTTCATCCTCCGCGGAATATTTTCACGGTACCTAACGTATCGTGCGTTTAGATCTTAATACCAATGTTTGAACAACTAGCAGAGGCATCGCGCGATTTGGATGAGGACCAGGAAATGGTTACACCACTGCAAATTGCGGGTATGATGACCGATTGGACGGATCCAGACAAAGCTTTGTGAGCGCTTTGAGATGACATTGGTCAACACTATACTAACAATTAGGCAGCAAGATTGAAGGTGCCGACACGGACGAAATGATTCATTTCGAATCAGATATCGTCAAGACCCTTTACAAGGACAAGATGAAGCGTAAGTAAAACTTTATTAGTAATCCACTTGCACAACGCATCCTCATAACATTGGACAGGCGAAGACATAAAGGTTCTTTGTCAAAATCTTGGCCAGCTTTATCTCCCCGATGAAGTGGACACCGACAAAGTCCGGACACTCAAGCTTCTCATGCACAATCTTCAATCCGTAAGAAAATCCGATCTGCCCTTCAGCTATGGTTACTCATGATCACTGCGATAATAAGAGGCGTCCATTGCGAGACACGACGTCCAGGAACGCGTTCAACAAATTCGACGTAGCCGTCACGAAACGATATGCCAAGCTACTCTAAGGTTTCTCCGAGGAGGAGTACCGACAGTTTGAGACCCTCAAGGATTTGTTTGAATTCTTGGACAATACTATCCCCGATGATGATTGATGAGGACGATCCTCCTTCAAAGACTAAGGCTTTGCGGAAGCGGTATTGCCTTTGTCTTTGAGAAACGATGTTGCTAAAATTCGCGATAATTTTGGGCGCTCGGAAAGTGTTATGACGGACCCTACGACCAGCAGTGGAGGAGAAGATGCCGACTCGAATGCATCATATGGGTCAACACACAAGGCTAGCAAAGGGAAGGGGAAGGCTAGGAGTAAACAACCTATGAAGTACGCCACCCTCCCCTGTTTATCTGGTATATTTTTACTGACGGAACTTTCACAGATGAAGACGCGTTTCGGGCTCATCCCAAGGTGAAGGCGACGAGGGCCAGGATGAAGATCCTGCTCCTGCACAAGATTACACCACGCCTATGCGGACTCAGCCTCGTCGAGCTGCGTGAGTCTCCTCTTCCGCTCCGTGGTCAGCCTAATTAAATGAGTGAGTATTCTAGTTTTGTGAAGAAACCACCACCGCTACAGAAAATCTTCGATGAAGACGAATATGAAGAGGAGCAAGACGAAGAAGACGACGACGAGGAAGTACAAGTACAAGACGAAGAAGGTTCTGTCGTCCCTCCCTCTGAAGAGGAAGAGGAAGAAGCTACCTCCCCTCCTCCGTCTAGACAATCAAAGCTTCCACCGCCGAAGGCCAAGGCGAAAGGCATCGGCAGGAACAGTAGGGCTAACAGCCGTCAACCGTCTCGTCCGGCTGTGAATGGCCATGGCTCAAAAGCAAGACCCGTTACAGCGAGGGCTAGTGCGGCGACTATCAGCAGCGTGGCTGAGACAAGCTTTGACTCGATTATGGACGAAGAGGAGGACAGAGAGGACGAGAAGGATCTGGATGAGGTGGAGGATATCTTGTAGGCGTTGTCCAGGGGGTGATCTTCTTGGGGAATGATTCGTTTTGTATCCATTATCTATGTATGTTTACGCTAACCTTCACGTTTATTCTATTCCTTCTTTCTTTTTTTTCTCTCTGCATTGTCTCCGGCAGGAGTCTCGGTGAATGTGGGTACGTATCTCTGCGTTATCAGTTGCGGTAATTGTTACCCTTGAATATGCATAGGTAGCCTCTTTCCAGCTATGCAATGATACCACTCACTTTTCTAGATAATATGCCAAGTTAGGGATGTATAGCTTCGTGAAGTGATGGTCAGTCTTTCAATAACTACACCCCCTTGCCGAGCTTTGTTCCTCCTTCTCCCTCTCGAACCGTGTTCATGAAATTACCCTTCCAGTTGACATCGATTTCCATGTCCCGAACGTCTTCGTGGATTGGAACAGGCTCGCATGTCATCCCAGGAATCGGAGGTGCTGCAACGATAGCGTACGCCACCGCCTCCTCGAACGTATGCTCAGTCTCAGCACGCATCTGCTCGTCTCGCGCCATGAACGCGGGTGAAGGTGTCACTTGTTTATGACCGTCCTTGAAGGCGATTAATCTTGCCTCTGCTACTTGAGATGAGGCGAAGATAGTTGAGCAGAGCAACAGAAAGAAAGTGAGGGCAGGGGCGATGGGCTGTAAGTAGCGTTAACGGCATGGCCGGTTTCCGATCGTGTGCTGCCTCTCCTCGCAGGACCCCATATGGGCCTTCCTCAGGTACTCCTGTCCCCGGGTGTGGGTGGAGAGGGAAACGATGAGGGCGACGATAATGAGCTCGAAGACGGCATCGACGGCGCCCAGAATAGGCTCTCGCGGAGGGCTGAGCTGGAGGCGAAGCTCATTGAGATCAGTCGGTAGCTGTAGCTGGATCTGTATACCCCGCTCGCCCGCTCGCTTGCCCCGCCGATATGGGAGAATCGTTACCATAGTTGTCACCTTTCTCTGGGAAACACCATTTATTCACCGCCATTATACTTCTAAGGTCTTATCTGTGGTCTGCACTCGCTGTGCGCTCTTCATTGGCGCTGGCGGTCGATTGAACGAAACGTGTCCTATACTAAACTCATCACAGCTCCTAGGATCTCGCGAAGGCTCGAGTGTCGGCATCTCAGTACCAGACAGGGTCATTTCACCTGGACAGTCGCATGTGCTACGCAGATCGACCCGTAGAATGACCATGTAAAACGTTATTGATATGATCGGAACGACCTAGAGATGTTCTTAGTTTCTTCCATCAATCTCTTGGCCATTTATACTGAACAACGCACCGTGTCAAGCAGAACGTAAAGTCCCCTGTTCCGCATCGTGTAGGTCAAGAGCACTCCGACTAGAGTGACCGAATAAAGCAGCCCAGCGTCTGCGAAGATACGCACTAGCGGCGCCGTCACTAAGCTGCGGGTATACACGGGGGTCGCGTCACCATGTCGAAGGGCAGCTTGATGCGCTGAGAGCGTGACCTCGCGTCCGATGCTCCAGAGGCGATAGATCAGTAAAACTAAACGGGGTCCATTGTGAGCGCATAATCATGTCCTAGAAGAAAAGATACTTACATGTGCCAGTCGAGTTTGCGACGAGGGTCGAAACAAGGTAAGTGAGTGCCCACACGCTATTTCCTCGTGGAGACTGGGTAGTTTGGTTGTAGTTGTCTCCATAAGCACAGACGGTGTGATAGACGCTAACTCCGCCTGACGCTTATATGTGTCAGCTTGGTCTGGTAGACGCATTTGATATAACGTCGGAACACACCAGCCACCGCGAACCAGAGCGCGATCGGAAAAGCGACTACTTTCCAGGACTGCCATGCGATAAAACATCTGAAAATCTGCAAGCCGAAGATGCTCAGAACTGGCAGGAGCTGATCCTAGAGAGAGCCGGTTACGCACCACAATACCGTCTCCAATCAATGTCTGCAAAAGGTACAGTAGGGTCTTGAAGGTAAAACTCCACTGCGTGACGTCCGCGAAGAACGCAGTTGGCCCCCCGGGATATGTACCTTGGTACAAGACGAACCCCTCCACGACGCGTACCACGTTTATCGCCATGTGCTAGAAGTGTATGATAGATACTCAGCGGTCCACACTCGACACAAATGTAGCTGATACTTACAATGGTGCTTAGGATGCATAGGGCAATCGCAGTGGTCAGCTTGCAGAAGAAGGCGCGCCTCGGACCGTCTCTGCGTAGCAGCACCCTGATGATCACGGTGAACAAGATGAGTGAAGCTCCTAGAGCGCCGCGGAGTAACGTGAGCTACGTGCGAAATGACATCGAGTCGAGAGACAATGACATACCGTAAATTATCCCCTCCAGCACTAATGAGACGACCGCAAGAGCGTCCAGAGACGGCCCATTGGGTTTCATTCTGGCGCTCGTTTGGTACCAATACCCACAGCTTGGCTCGATATTTATATGCACCATCCAGCGCGATTCAACCAGGCAACGCCGTTATCCGTACGTAAGCCCTCTATACTTATTCGTCGAGTACTTCGCAACATCCGCACCCAAGGACGCGAAGGTAGTCCAGGGATTACCGTTCCCGCGAAGGGAATACACATGATCTTGACAGTCCGCGAGCTTAAAATGACACAAACAGCAGTGGGACATACTACCGCGCGAGATTCCAGACCATGCCTTGCATCTTGGCCAGTAGCGCCATCCGCTTACATCAACTTTGGAGACCACGCTGACACGAGGCTGAAAGGTACGCCGCTGCCCAACTTGAAGCTTGAAGCTTGAAGCTTGAAGGCGGAGTCGGACTGGAGCCGACGAAAATTCAAGGTTACGGGAAACTGAGCCGCCTTTCCTGGCTAGAAGGATAACATACGTGCGGAGTGAGGGAGTTGAAAGACAGTTGAGCAAGGACGGCGTTTCCCGGATCGATTCTGTTGCAGCGACGATCCCGCTCGGCACTAATTATCCGATTTTGATTTATGATAGTGATCAAACAGTGATGGTGCTTTTGCTTGTCTGTGTCTGTGGTTTGACAAGGTCTGAAAAGCAACTGCAACAGATATCGAGTTATTCTACTCAAAACATCACGCTAAATGTTTGAGAGCACGGGGTGAAGTATCTAGACTAAGTGGCCGCTGGTCTCCAACTTTGGTGTTATGAACAACGTAACAAACGAGTCAGAACGAGTCCCTTCCAGAAGAACATCCGTATTTTTGGTGCTGTCATGAGGTGATAATCATCGATCATCAACAGACGGCGCTCCGCCACAACTAAAGCAGGGAATGCGAAGATCTCTCTAGTTTATATAGCAAACCTTTTTGGCCACGATTAAGTCGGACTCGGAAGACGGTCGCGGGAGCAACCACTGCAGACAAACGGGAGATTTTGGGTCCTGAAAATAAGCTGGAATAGTCGTTGGATTGGTTTCGTGTTCCAGCCGGTTTTCGGGTGGGGAAAATAGCCCGGAAAGTCAAAGTGTTTCGGATGATTTCTACGCCCGAAATAGAAGGTCAAAGCGATTTCTTATTCTCGTACCTTTTCGGGGATTAAATTTAGCCATGATAGTTTACCTTTTCAGCTAGGGTCGGAGCCAATTGGTCAGGGTGGTGCATTTCGGTCTCAATTCTGAGACGAATAGGAAATATTCGGAGGAAGTTGTACTCCCGGACAAAGTCCGAGAACAGGAAAACATTTCCACCTTCTATTTTGGGCCCAAAAATCTGCCAAAACAGTTAGACTTTTCGGAGTATTTTCCATACCGGAAAATGACCTGGAACATGAAACCAATCCGGCGACTGTTCTTGCTTGTTTTCGGGGCCCAAATTCTCCCGTTTGTCTGTAGTGAACTGAACGCCTCTTGCACATGTCTCATGCACTGTGCCTTTCTGACATATCCGAAAACTTTTGGGGGTGGCACCGCCCCACTTCCGTAGCGTTTGAATACCTAAAATTTGTGTGAAATAGGCGGGTTATGACAAGGTTATGACGTTGAGCGGAGATCATGGTTCATGGTGTCTAGTACAATGACATGAGTACAGAGGTAGATGATGAGTGCTATACAATGAGTCAAAAATGCATGCAATGATCGGCTCAAAGGAAGATCTAGATGTCCTTAAAATAATACCTCTCCATTCCTTCAACGCCCCTGACAACTGCACCAACATGGCCATCCGGACGCACAACCACAGCCCGCGTTTCTCCCTCTGTCACGCGGGAACCGAAGTACATGAACCCCTCAGCATCGCGCAGCATGAGTACACCATCGAGCTTCGCAGACACGGTCGCCGAGGCGGGAATAACGACGACAGGACGGAAAGCATCCTTCCACGGCTCCTTCTCCGCGAGAGCAGCAAGCACCGGCCGTGCCTTCTCAATCCACGGCACAAACACAAGCACCGTGTGCCTGCTCAGCTCGTCGTACACGATGGAAGAGGAGCGGTAGTTGACGCCGCGCACGCGCAGGCTGTCTGGGCGTTGAAACCCACGGTCGTTGTTGACCGTGGAAAGATTGAGGACGGCGGTGGTGATATTGAGCATCTCGGTGTTGATGGGGATGTGCTCGGTATTGTATGTAGAGAAGAGGGTCGGAGGGGAGAGACGTTTTACGACGAGGGCGAGTTTCCAGGCGAGGTTGAACTGTGTGCCTGTAGGTTTAGCGTAAGGAAGGATGATTTAGAGAACGGGACGATGCACCGCGTCTTGGACGCTTGAGTTGAGGCCTTGTCCGCCAGTTGGGCTATGGCAACTATGCAGATCATCAAAACGAGTTCTTCAGAGGATGACATGAAGACTTACTGCGCAGCATCCTCAGCGATGAACACCCTCCCTTCGCCAAACTTGTCCGCCATCCGGATGTTGGGACTGAATTCGCCGAACCAGACGAGTTCCCTGAACTCCACCTTCGTCGGAACGTGCTCCTGGATGAGGTCATACACCACCTGCTGTCCGCCAGCAATGACTTTGGCGAAGTCAATGCCGCCGCCGCGGATCATGAGCTGGAACCCGTCATCGTTATCACCCGGATGGTATGTTCCGGGCGGAGGAGCACTCTACAGTGGTGGCATAAAAATGAGAACTATATGTACGAACGAACAGGAATGAGGATGTATCCGCACCTGCTCACCAAGGCATCTTGAATTACTCATCTACCCGCAAATCAGCCGTATTTGTTGCTATTCCAGCTACCGCAATATTCACTCTGCGTCTTCAAGAACGCTGATCTTGACTTGCCACCTTTACTGCCCTGGGTATAGGACATTACGGCTGATGGTTAGGCCGCAATCCTCGAACGCTGGAGCGAGGAGCAAGTTTGAGCTCGAATGCCTGTCATCTAAAGACAGCTGTCAATCACTCACATATGACCGACCCCCAGAAGCTTTGTAGACACAGACTTTAGCTCCTCCGTAAAATCGATGCATCCAACGAGTCCATGTTGACAACGCCCCAACTGGATGTAGACTCGGCCGCGGAAATGTCATCCAGCCTGAACGCCTCGCCAATGTCGGTAAACCTGGGCTCTTGAGCCGTGTGCTTGTCCGCCTTTGATTTCGTGAGCGTATCCCAGTGTTAGGATGAGCCATATGCGAATATAACAACGTGATTGAATTCAGTGGGGCTGCTTTGGCAGAGGAGACTTTACTTTCGCGCCAGGGCAATGATGGAAGTCGGTTCATTCGTACGAACAGCCGTTGACGAGGGTTCGGAATATCTGCTGCGACTTCTGCACCAGCGCTTCTCCTTAAAAGTCTAGCCGGCTAGAAGGCGGTCCAGGTCCAGGTCCGATCATTCGAGAAGATGTCAGAACGGCAACTGCTGGTAAGGCAGAAGTTGAATCCAGAGTTGTGAGGCCAAGAGCCCGTGCGTCAGGGGACGCTGGATTTTTCAACAACAATCTTGGAGTAGAGTAGCAAACTGGGCGATGCGGCATGGAAGGAACTCGACCAAGCTGAATAATGAAGATCCTGAATGAAAGCCTTCGGAGGAAGGCAGATGGACGAAAAGCACCCGGCTGGGTATTGGCGTGTACGCATTTGAACGCCATGGCAAAATTCCCGATTCATCTATGTTACGGACCCCGTTGTGGTCGAGTCACAGAGAAGAGCTTACAGAAACCCACTGATGCGGCAGGACTAGTTTCCCCTAGGCAGACCCTATATCAGAAGGTAGTCGTTCTTACTATAGTACAATGTTTCTCGATTCAATCAGACTCGTAGATATCAGGCAAAGATGCTAAACAAAATATCTGTTACCACAGCCCCAAGGCAAATGAGCCCGAAGTAAATAGATCGAGCTTCACGCGATGTAGTGGTACCACCTTGCTATTACGCAGATGATATATACTCGTATCGCAGTTCAAAAATTGGACCGTGCGTCCTAAACATGCCCCCACTCCCCGTGAGCATCGGAAAACAAGAGCGCGAAGGTGAGAAAGGCGTGAGTCGACCATGAGCTCGACCAAGGGATGCTCCGTGACAAAGCCACGCGAACGCGTGGCGAAGATGGGAGCCTGCGAGGGGACGGCGACCTGGAGGTGGACTATGGATTGCAGCTGGTAGTCGTTGGCGCCGGTGGGAGGAAGCGGGCCATCGAAGGTGACGCCGAACTTGTTGTAGACAAACGAACCCTTCGGGATAATAGCGGCAAGGGCAACGCTAAACAAAACTCAGTATGTGGGATATGATTGTAGTGCGTGTGAACTTACATCGATGCAGTGAGCCGGAGACCATAGGCAACGGCATAGACGAAGATCTCAGCGAGGTCCCAAGAGTCGGGCGTCAACGAGGACAGGACGCGGTCAACGGAGAGGGTCATGATGATACTATCGTTAAAGAGAGTGATGATAAGGACCATGAACGGCGGAAATCGAACTTGAAGGTGAATGCGAGGGTGGCGACAGTGCGGATGGTGGCAGCGCAGGCGTAGATTGAGTAGTTACGCATACGCCGGAACACAATACGAGATCCGCGGATGGCGTGGGCAATGGCGGAGAGACCGGGCTCAGCCAAGACGATGTCAACAGCTCCTCCGACAGCAAAATAGATGTTGGCGCGGGAAAGAGCAGGAGCATCATTAGCACCGTCACCAGTCATGGCGCAAAGGTGACCGAGACCCTGGGGACGCTTGACGACCTCAAACTTGTGCTCGAGGAAGACCTTGGCGAAACCATCGGCGTTAAGAATCACGTCGTCGAGAGACATGTGCTTGGTGCCGTGAGTAAGTCCACCCTTGAGCACCTTGGCCGGGTACATGCGTCTTCACGAGGAAGGTCGAAGATGGCAAGAAGACCGATGAGCTCGAAACCATTGCCCTCACCCTCAGGATCGTCGCCGTCAGCCTCGAGTTTGTTCTCAACCTCGTCAGTCGCGTTGCGCGCGCAGAGCTCGATGATGATACCGGTCTACCCTTGTTGGCGCGCTTGAACTTGCCGGAAGACTCCTCACGGTAAGTAATCTCGATATGGTTGTCGCCGGGGTTGAAGCGCTTGGAGTCGAGGAGCTTGATGCCGCTACGCGCGCGCGCGGTGTCACCGAGGGCCTGAACGACGGAGGCGTCGATGGCATCCTGGTTCTCGGTACGGGAAGCGTAGGCACCGAGGAGGACGACATCGCCAGCGGCGAAGGGGCAGTAAGTGCAGATGGTCAATTTGTCGACGGTCAGCTTGTTCGTGGTGAGGGTACCAGTCTTGTCAGAGCAAAGGATGGCGACACCAGCCAAATCCTCATGGCGATGATACGAGTGACGGTAGCCTTGTGCTTGGTGAACTGCTGAGCGCCGACGGCGAGGGTGACGGACAAGACAGTGGGCATGACGATGACGATATCACCGATCAAGAGGACGACAATGTTGTTGAGACCACGGTGGTAGGTGTAACGGAAACCGGCGTAGAAGCCGAGGATTTCAGCAATGACGAAGATACTGATGAAGATCAGGCAGAAAGAACCGATCTGAGCGAGAATCTTTTGCAAGTGATCGGTGGTATCGTCGTCCTGACCGACGAGAGAAGCGGCACGATCGATGAAAGTTTTGACACCGGTGGAGATGATGAATCGATGTCACCCTCAGCTCCATCTGCTTGCCGTGGAGCCGCTGTGAAGTATCAGCTAACAATCCGAGAAAATGATGGAGATAAGATACTCACGAGAAGCGCTGCTCACCCTCCTTTTGCCGTGGGGAGCGACTCACCCGTAAGGGTAGCCTGACCGATGGAGACGTTGATGGTCTCAGTGAGGCGGCAGTCGGCAGGAACAATGTCACCAGTCTTGAACGAGATCATATCATCAGGGACGAGGCCGGAGGATTCGATTTCGGGCCAGGAGCTGTCACGCTTGACCTTTGCCTTGGGGGCAAAGTCCGTGATGGCTTTGACGGCGGTACCGGCGTTCCATTCTTGATCCGATGACCGAGTTGATGAAAAGCAGCAGGACGATAGCGATGAAGTCCTCTCAGCCGGGAGGCTGGCCCTCCCGTTGGAGAGAACGATAGCGACCAACGCAGCACCCTCCATGACCCACGAGAGGGGGTTCCACATGAAGCCCAAGAACGTTAACTGTGCAAGTCACGTAGTCAGCTCGGAAATTCTTCAACACACAGGAATTTCACCTGAAGGAAGGGGTTCCGTTCCGCCTGCTCGAGCTTGTTAAGACCAAAGAGACCGAGGCGATGCTCGACCGTAGATGGCGAGAGCGTTCTCGCCACATTGGAGGAGTATGAAGATATCCTCGATGACGAATGTTCTGATATCGACCTTCTCCTGTCGCGAAGGTCCCCGGTCTTCAGCTCAATCTGGAAATATCGGCGTTAGAACCATTTGAGCTACCTGTAATCAGTCGTAAATGGAGCTTACAGCTAACATATCAGCATTGACGCCTGAATAGCGTGAGCAACAAATAGCGCGTTGAGCGTCGCAGTCAACAAAATCGGGAGATGACTCACGAGTAGGCTTCTCCTCCTCATGCCCGAAGCCCTTGTACACCCTCTTCCTGTTTGGGTCATCGTTCGGGGACTGAGTGATGGGAGAATCCTCGCTTTGCGGGCCAGGGTCCTTCTTGTCTGTGTCGGGCACGGAGAGTCTTGGGTGGTGTGCGGTGATGATGGGTTTTTGGCAATATGGTTGGGAGCATCGTGTGAGCAATGAAAGGAAAGCGCTATCACACGCGGGTGACTACGGCTGAGGAAACAGGTTACTAACAGTAACACCGAGACTTGCGTTACGCGTAAACATAGTACCCGGCTATTGCCGGTGGATTATGTAATCGAAATGGAGGCGGTCCTGGGTCCACATAACCATTTTCGCTCCTTTCCCCGTGCGTTCTTCATCATACCACTTACTGCAACCTTTACAACGAGCCGACGAAGTAGTAGTATGTACCTGATTTACATGTCACGTAATGTAGTATGCCTCGTTCTATTTTCTTGTCTAGCTAGAAACTTTATCAGATATGGCAGTAGCAGCGGTGGTTATCGGCGGAAATATTATGTTGTGAGTCGTCTCTGATGCCCTTCTTACAAGCGTTGACCATACGCTCATCCGCTTGTCCCCCTTCCTTCCCATTATCCATGTATTCTTCCATGTCATATGCTCCGTAGTTTGTTTTGCTTTGCGAAAACCCCCTGCCACTGTATCCTCATATCTTTGTCACGTAATTGTGTCATATATATGCCTTATGCCTTAGTATTATGTACTCTATGACTGGACTTTAGACGTCAAGGCCTCAACGCGTACTTAACATCCCCAGTCCACCTTGCGTTCAGCCATGGGGTCATATGTGTGTTATCCCTCAGCCTATGTGCATCACAAATCACTGTTCCTCGCCTCAGCTTCAAAGCTTCATGCTTGCCATGTCCTCGACAAATCCTACCGCTTCATTGGTACTCAGGCTCACATTCCCCCCGTCCCCAGCCACGCGCCTACCAACGCTGCTGCCCATGTGCTGGCAATTCTGAATGTTCACGCAAATGCCCGCTTCCATCGTAGCTCTCCAAGCGTATGCCGGGTTAACACCCTGCTCACGCCCCTTCGCGCCTGAGGGAGCCGCGGTGTCTACCCCAGGCGCACGCAACCAGGAGAGCAATGTCGAGTGCGCCACCCTCATCTGCTTGAGTGGCTTGTACCATGAGCACTGTGCCAGCGGCAGCGCCTGTGCCAGCACCTGTTTGTAACTCCGAGAAGGCCGGGCAGACGCTACCCTCGCCCTGTACACCACCAACAGCGACTCAAAGAAGCTCGTTGCGCTCCCGCCTATGAGACTAGGCCCTCGGCTTACGTGAGTGCTCTACCTGTTGTTTCGACTCTTGCCACTGCCTCCGTCCGTGTTTCTCTCCCCTACTGTTGGTTCACACCCCTCCGGTGCGCGTACGCTGGTTGATGCCACGCCTCGTACTTATTCTCCGTTTTACGCTGTCGCCTATCACCGTGCTGACTGCAGTCAATTCCAGATTTAGCAATACCTGCAAAAATCTCGCATGTCGACACCGAGGATCCACTGAAGTACGGCATGCGAATGTTCCCGTCGGACGAGCTGTACGCCCTGGAGTAGCAAGCAAGTAGCAAGTGCACGAGGCCGACATCGTATACTTACTTAACTCAACTTGAGCGCGATCAGTTTCTTCACGTTTTCTAGATGAATTTACTTTGTCTTGTAGTTTCAAGACAATTGGCATGGTTTTTATAGGCTGGCCTTAGAGGGGTACATCGAAGGGCATCAAACCGTCTGTCAGTCCGACGGTGTTCTATCATATCATAGCTGTAGTTTAGCTAGAGTCCCAGCTTATATGTATATACAGTGAATGCCCATGGCGTTTTTACTACTCCAAAAACCGATTGTAAAGCTCGAAAAATGGAAAGACCGATCCAACCTCCAACCAATCTGGTGTTAAGCACAAAACATATGTATGAACTTGATGGAAGCTGGCGAGACTTGATGCAACTTGTTTTGGGGAACCGCGACTTTTTACAAACTTAATTGCCCTTACAACTTCTGTCAAGTAACGAAAAGATGTCGCAACTTTCCACAAATTCTTGAAAGATAATACTAGCTTCACACCCGGGAAGGTTTTTCCTGATTCCCCTTCGTTTGCCGTATCCAAATCTGGCAAAGGACTTCAGTCAGCTCATTGAGCCCCGAGTTCAGACGTATTATTTACTAGCCGTCGCTCTTCGCAGAATTGATATTCTTGAGTTATCTCCAAACTCATGAACGTTTAACTCACCGAAACGACATAGTAAGCCGCTTGCAATTAAGGAGAAAGGGAACGCTAACACCGTTGATGCATTCCTCGACAATATCTCCAAAGGGAAAAGTAAACAGAGGGACAGGGATGAAGAATAGCATCGCTTGCCACCGATAGTGATGTTTTGAAAGCTCTACCAGGCCCGATGCTCGCGTCCGCATCGGTCTCCAACAATCAGAGCAGAAGTGGAGATGAACTTTGCACCTTGAAGGTAAATGATACATCACTGGTTTCTACAGAATCATCTGCTAATGCCAACATGCAGCGTTCCATTCCTGGTCTGCTAAAGATGATGATCAACAACTCATATATACGACACTACATCATGCCAGCAGTGAATGCTGTAGCCAGAGCACGAAAGGGCCGCTGATGTCTATGACACCTTGTTTCTAGTCTGATGTATGAAAGTCACCGCTTGGGCATTTACCTATTGACTCAACCATCATTAGGACCAAAATAGATCAACGAAACCTATTTATTGAGCATGCAGCTGTGTATGTAGAAAAAAATGCAAGTAGATCTTCTTCACAAGTTCAAGTTACCAGCAATAATATTCATCCCACCCCGTCTCGTACCCTTGCCACTGGGAATTTTGCTTGGTTTCTCTGATGATATTGAGATAGAACGGTGCCAACGATAGTATCGGCGTCTTCTTGTTCCCAAACAGCTCAAACAGGTTCTCCCTCTGTGTCGTATTCTGCATGTACTTCCACTCGCCAAGATCACACGACCTTGCCATATTATTTGGAGGTAAGTTCAACCCTCAAGAACATTTTCAAGCTTTCCTCTTTCTGCACAAATCAGCTTGAGGCATTAGACGGCAAAGATGTCTTTGTTCTTATGCCCACTGGAGGTGGAAAGAGTTTGTGTTACCAACTCCCCACCATTTGCAAGACCCAAGGAGTCACATTAGTCATCACGCCGCTCCTGGCAAATATTAAAGGCGGAGAACATTGACGCCGTCTCACTCAGTTAAGGCGCACTTTGCGGAGAAAACACCCGTGATGTTGAGAGCCAACTCAGGAGGAATGGTGCGCCGAAGCCGAGCTTGGTATACATTACACCCGAGAGAATGCAAAACAGCAACTCTTTGCTATCTCTCTTGGACAAACTCAATGACCCAAAGCAGTTAGCACGCTTTGTTGTCTATGAAACACACGTAATTCAATCTTAGGGGTGAGATTTCCGAGACGCAGTGAGTAACAAGCCGTTCTTTGTACATCACGGGCAATACCAAACATACCGTATAAGAAGCTTAATGTCCTTCGTAACAACTGACAAAATGTTCTCGTCATGGCACTCACCGCCACTGCAGATGAGACGGCAATCCGGGATATCACAACTCAACTCCAGTCTAAGCTTGAAGGACGAAGCCAAGTTAACGCAATCTTTCAACTGGCCCAACCTAAGCTACACAGTACACCCCAAATCCAATAACAAGAAGCAAGCCACGCAAGAAATTGCTACATTCATCAAACCGTAACACCCCATCGGTTCAGGTGTGGTATACTGTTGATCCCGCAATATATTGCGAGGAAGTCACAAGCCAACATCGTGGCGACTTTGGCCTGTCGGCGCACTAGATTATCATGCTGGCATAGGCACGGCTACGCGAGTCGGACCCAGAATCAAAAGCGACTGGCTCTCAGACAAGTACAAGATTGTCATTGCAACAGTGAGTGGGTTTGCACCCCACTTTACCTTAGCCTGATGGTTTGCTATCTACTTGCATGCAGCTTCCATATTGACAGAGTCACAGCCGTTTGTCATCCACCATTCCTTGCCTAGTAAGGATATGGACGGGTAAGAGTGTTTACCTCATTTGCGAGGCGGATGACTAACATGTAAACAGGTATTATCAAGAGATGGGTCACGAGGTGGGCGTGATGGTCTTCAGTTGGACTGCGTTCTTCGTATGTCTTGAAGTCAGCGTCGGTTGGGCAATATCTAACGTATTGTGATGCTTCAGTCTTTTCTAACAAGGACCTCATTGGGCGGTCAAGCATGGTTCAGAACGATAGTGAGAAGTCTGCTGAAGAAAAAGAACGCCAGACTGCCGCCCTTCGAGCAGTAGCCATCTATTGCTTGAACGGGGTAGAATGTCGCCGGACCATGGTCCTTAGACACTTCGGCGAGAAGTTCGATCCCGCCAATTGCCACAAGCAGTGTGACAACTGTCGCAAGGATGGCGCGTCTGTCACCCAGGATCTCACTGCTTATGCGCAGAGAGTGATTGAGCTCCACAAACAGATGTCTGCTACAGGCTCTATGATCGCTACTGGGACCCTCAAGGCGGTTTTCAAGGGCCGAAACATCAAAGCGGTGCGGGAAGGCGGGCATCAGCAGCTCTCGTTGTGTGGTGCTGGGAAGGACCTCGATGCAGCTATACTCGACAGACTCATCGATTATATGCTCCATAACACCAGCATCCTTCGCATTGAACGAGTTGCTAGAGGACAGTGGACCCAGAACTATGTGGAGGTAATTAATATCCTTGCTGTTTATCACGCGTTCTCGAGAGATTTTGACTCCTTCATTTGAAGCTGGGGGACCAGGCCGACGCCTGTGTCAAAGGACGTCTTCAAGTCTGCCTGGCTTTCAGAGATGAAGACATTGGCTCCGCCAATCAAAGCTACTCCGGGTCATCCATCGGACGGCAGTGGCCAGCCAAGACACCTGCCAGTGCTAGTACGCGACCTAGGGAGTCCGTTGACACGAACAACTCCTTCAACGAGGACGACCTTTACGATGACAACAACGGTGTCCCGATTTCTGACTTTGAGTCCATCAGGGAGGCACCAGATCCCCAGCTAATGGGCACTACATCATTGTCAAGAGTATCGTCCAATGCGAGTTTTGCTGCATCGAGGCCAGCTGAGCACAATAACACGGACATAGATGAGGAGCTTGTGCAGCTGCGTAAACTTCATCCAAAGGTGTGTTCGTCTACAGTGTATGTTGCGCAGCTGTGCTTAAGTTTCGTAGTTTGCTCTCCAAAAAGGGGTCAATTGCGAAGGAATCTTCGAAGACTTCATTCTCGACAGTATGGCGAAGTTCGTCCAAAATGTGAGAGTCTTCTCTGGCTATTCCTCGGCAGGCACTTATGACTCCTCAGCTATTGATGAGCTGAGAGGATTGTTGTCGACTCTTTGCCCGAATGAAGAAGAAGTTCTAGTGAAGCTAGACCGGTATGGCAAGGGATTTGTGAGGATATTTGCACATGGCAGCAGGTAATCCACTTATAAATGGCCTCTGCCTTGATTAAGCTGCCATCTAATTGCCTCTAGTGATACCGTGACCTTAGCTGGCCTGTTTCACAGTTCTCAACTACATCGACAATATGACTATGCACCCTAGTAGTCATCTATATACACAGAGACCATTATTTTAAATCTGGATGTTTGATCATTTTGTCATTGCAATTGTCTTCCCCATTATTCTATCTGCCACGTCTAGAGTATAGAGGCATCATCCGCTTCACGTCACAGCACTTATAAATCATACCAACTAATTAACACGCCAATCCACCACTATAATTAGATAATGACCATGGCACAATGTAATCAACAATAGGCCTGTTGGAGCAAATCTAACTCGAGCAGAAAGATCACCAGGCCTGGACCAGCTGTAGATAGCTCAAGACTCAATTCGAAGGTGGTGTTGACACAAAATCCCTGTGTATTACTCTCTTCTACATATATTCTAATGTAAGTATGTAAAGCAAACAAATTACCAATGCGGAAAGAATGGTGTAGACTTAGACATTGCAGTATTCAAACGCCGGAGCGCCTGGTTACGAAGTCTCGATGATGGCCTTTGAGTAACCTGGACCCTCCCTTTCAAGAGCCTCGTCAACAAACATGACATCTGTAACGACCAAGTTCAAAGATTTCTTCAAGTATGGCAAGAAATGCGTCAACATTTCCGATTCGGGGAACGGCAACCCTCTTCGGAAAGCGGTCTGTGCTCCAAACTCAGCCATCCGTTTCTGCATGAAACGATCAGTAACGAGTAGTTACTCAATGGTACTTTCAAACAAACCTTGAGTAGCTGAATGAACGGCATCGCACGCTTATCCTTGATGAGGCCTTTCTGGGCAAGGATTTCGCGGACCTTAGCATCATCAACCTTGTTTGCCTTCTCATCATATGCGTCCTTGACCGCCTGCATGCACGCATCCTGCCACTCTGGGAACTTGGCTGCGACGTAGGCATGAACGCCCTTGGGTTTCTTGGAGTCAAACAGCGCGTCTTAGCCGCCCCTTGCCCGTTGTTTCCCTTCTGGATCTTCTTCAGCAAGCTGGTCTCAGCGTCCCGGATCGTCTTGACCGTCGTGCGCATGTACGCGCCGGTCTCAACGATAGTCTTGTCAACAGGCTTGGATGGCTCGGGCCAACGAGCCAGTTGCACGGACTTTGCTTCCTTCAGAATACCAGCCCAGATATGCTCGGTGAGATGAGGCGCGATGGGGGCGACGAGGAGAGCGGCGGTGCGGATCCAGTACTAGTATTGACCGGAGGTCGGCGTGCATCCTACATCAGGGAAAGCCACAAACATGAATTTCCGTGGATTTACGCAAATACTGTGTATTCAACCAAATTTGATACTTTTTGAAGAGTTTCAGGGCACTTTAGAAAGTCAGGATGGCTTCGAAGATGTTGACTCATCAAAACAGCGTGTGATTGTGCATTGGGTATAACTGATATGTTTAGGCGTGTACCAACAATGATTCAGCATGTTACAGTGTCGGTCTACTTCAAATAGATTATAACAAGATCCTTTAATTCTACTTAGAATACAGTCATATATGCGCGACGGTCGGAAAACGGGTTAACATAGAAAGAAGGGCAGAGGTCAAGAACATTGTTACTAGACCACTCTCTGGGGCATACAGGGCCAAAACGGGGTATGAGGTGAATACTGCGCACAATGTTAGCCACGGGGATGATGCTGACCAATGGTGCATTGTTTTTTCGCGAAGGTTTTACCATATACATGCGATGGGGATCTTCGGCGGTTGTGAAAGGATCGAACCACTCAACATATGCCAGATGAATTGGCACGCCTGCCACCTTCGCCGGCGGGAAGAGACTTTGACGGGCTCGTTCGTGAAGAGATAATACAACGCGAACGCGTGCGATACAGTGGCCTGGTATCGAATTCAATAGTCAGAACGTCAGAATGTACAAGAAATAGTCTACCACGCACCAGTTACTCCTGATAAGGCTCCATTTCTGCCATTGACAAGCACAGTTTCGAATCGGCTAGGGACGTGTTTGCTCCGCTGGTCCGTCTTCCCCGGTTTGGCATAAACAGCGTTAATGGTGACCGAGCAGTCAACAACGCCGTTGCTGTCCACATCGTTGTACCCGATCTTATCGTACACGGACACTGAATTCAAGGTGAGGATAAAATTGGACACACGATGCTCAAGTTGAGCATGTGTTAGATCGGGGTTGGAAATGAGCAAAGCATACCGGGCGAGCGCAGCCTTGAAGAATTGGGCACCATACTGCTCAGCCAGCGCGTTAAAAGAGACATGGTGAACAGAGGGGTGCTTGGGCATTAGACACCGACGTGCATACTGGAGATTGGGAACACGAGGCGAGAGCAATAGATTGTAGCGGGTTGGAGCAGTGACTAATGTCGCAGTTGGAGTATGCTGTTGTGGATCCGCCAGTGAATGAATCGGGTATGGTAGGGTATCTTCTCGCGGCGTTCGAGCCATAGAGTGATCTGTGTATGTTCGTCCTTGTGATTCGTTGCATGATACGCATCCTTTGCAAGGTCAATATGAAGCCGTTCAGTATACTCTGTGTGGTAATTGTCGGTTGCCTCAAATAGACGTATCATGTAAGCGTAGTGCTCAAAGGAATGGAGCTTGGGTAAATTGAACGAGGTGCGAATGCCGAGCTGGACAAAAATAGCCTTATTCTTGTGGAAGTTGGATAGGGCGTCGTCAAGGAGGTCTGAGTGACAAGGGTGCTGAGCCAAGTAGAGGAAATCAAGCAGCCCTCTTACAGCGTGAATGAGCCGTGTGGGCGAGAGATTATCAGGTAGGCGAACTCCTAGAATGATTCCGACTCGGAGAAGGAAACGGCAAATCTGGGCGTGCTCCGTACCGCTGACGCGTTGCAGACCAGATATGCCCTTCATGAATAAACGGATGTTGTGATTTGGTGGGAGACGGCGGCACCATGCATCGAGTTCTGCTTCACCAAGAGCTGACTTGAGCCATGAAATTAGATGCTTCACCATGCCCTGGTAGAGCTGATGAACGCAAGATGAACGTCAGAGGTGGCTTTGACTTCTGGACCAGAGCGGGAGCGGTCATCTTACTATAGATTGGCGTGGAAAGCACAGCGACTGGCTCGAAAAAGACAACGCGCTCCCTTTTGAACGCGATGGGGCTGTCGATGCGAGCTGGCGGCAGATGGTAGCTTCGTTCAGCCGCTTCAACTTACGAACTCCAAGAAGGTCCGGCCGAAGGCGAGCAGCTGAACTCAGAGCTCATCGCGTGCTCTCCGGAATCCCAAGATGGCAGCCTGCGTGGCAGGATCCCGAGAGCGCTTGGCTTTGCCCGAGCAGGGGTCCGACGCCCATACACACGCCATACGCCAACATGCCTACGGTTAGGCTAGCCGTTAACCGGATGGTTGCCTAGTTGGGCCCTGTTGGGCCCGTAGGCTGAATGACGGGAAGCTGTGCTGCAGATGGTGAGGTCGGGGACTTTAAGTAAGCGCGGCGCTCGATAGCTAATATATAGGGTGAAAGCTGCGAAGGAGCAGGGCGCGGCGATGACCGCGGGCGACGCAGTGCGAATTCGAATCAGCAGCGAGGCGCGGCGGCGGCATTTCGATTGCGGAGGCTCGAGCCCGTTGTTACTCGTATTATTACTCACGTATTCAATGTTTCTGCCCGCTTTTATTTGGCTTTTTGTTTGTGTTCTTTAAGAGATCTCCTTCAGACGAGAACACCCGGGAAATGGGAAAGGCGGCATATGCCGCCGTGGCGGCGGCGCGGCGGCAGTGGCGGTGCACATACCTTCAACTGGACCGGATCTACGCGGATCCTTTACTCCCTCGACGAGCCACCGTACGGACGGCTCGCCGCCGTAGAAGTGGCATATGACGAAGAAATACAGACTACGGACATAATCCGTGCGCCGAACCTTGGTGTTGAGAGCGGCGTTCAAGAGCATTTCCGGTGGCATGGTACAGAGTTACAAGCCTTTGAGACGGAGCCGTATTAAGGAAGGATATTGTACTCACACAATCTTCCAGAGGGCGGGTCTGAACGCACAAAGCATATGAAGCATTGTCTGTTCGACTTTGCATAAGTAGCTTCCGCATACTTAGGTACTTTATCAGACTACCCCACTGGAGCCCATGTGAGAGCTGCATGAAAGAGGATGGAAAATGTGGACCTCTTGAAAGGCACGCGAGGCTGCAATCGTAAATGGATGAACGATGTCTAGGGAGGATATCGTACGTTTATGTAGACGAAGGATCTGAGCGAAACGAGGATGGCTTGCGAGATGAACAGCGTATGGTTTGTCTTTTGGATTTCGCATAGCACCTTGGATACCAGGCTATCGTCTGCAGTTGGACGTACCGATACTATGATTATCCATGCCCACGTACTACGATGCTTGTGCTATGTCTCGCTGCCTCATTGTCAACGCGTGCAGCCATTGCTGCTCTATCACTCTCAACTGGACCCTGTCGCTGAATTTAAACAGTTCCATGCAGCTCAGTGCATGACGCAGCATTGATACAAAGTACAAAAGTAGAAGAGAGCTGATGCGGTCAACATAGCTACACTACACTCCGAGAGAGAAGTTAAATATCGTGGTATCGTCGTCAGCCCGAGTCGCTGGAGTATCAATCTAATTCATGTTCACTGGAGTCCGAATCGGCACTTTCAATAGAGTCCGAATCATTCTTATTGGAGTTTGGATATGTCGAAACTTATAGTGTAGGGATGCAACGTTGGCGGACTCAAACACGCTCAGTCTTTGCTCAAGCACGCATAAGCGTGGCGGCGAGACGACGCGCGGCGGTCACATCGTGGGATTTTTATTTTATACACCGCCACTGACGCCGCGCCGCCCAGCCTGCCGCCGCGACTTGCCGCCTTTCCCAGATCTCGGACTTTCTGCTTCAGACCAGATCTGCTTTCGATTTGGAAATCCTCGTCCTTTTGGGCCATCCCACTGATAAGATAATGGAGCGCTCCGTTCGTCGCCATCCTTTCCTCCCGTTCCTCCCGTTTTCACATTATGGATCCTCGCAAGTGTAGAAGTGGTACGTCTCTCGTGCTCTCTAACGTCTACACTCACTTACCAGACCTGCCAGGACCACAGTGCAGATCTCCAGTATGTACCATTCCCATCCCTTTTGGGCTATTAACTCACGAAAACCCGCTCGTAGATGGCGCCTGCAGTCTTCTCGACTCAGCCTTGGTGATTGCCATACCTGATGCTACTCTCATTTCATTCCTCGCTTCAGATACAGAATCTGTAGGTACGCCCTCTCGCTCGAACACCATCCCTTTCCATTGATAATGTCTATCACAGACTCAAACTCGCCATCCGCGAATATACACTCAGTGCATGCTCGACCACAGCGAGCTCGGTTCCTGTCTCTCGGTCCACCCCTCCTTGAAACTCCCTCACTCCTGGTGCCCCATCCTTTCCTCTCCACAGATCCGCACCATGCCTCCTGCTACGACAAATTCGTACGTTATCACACGTCCTCTTCTAATGCCTACTAATTGCCCCACAGTGTTTCAATCCCTTGCCTCACTCGCTTCATCGGAACTCAGCGATGGGCAACGGGCACCTTATGCTGCGCAGGTGCCAGCAACCTCTCAGTAAGTTGCAGCCCCGACCGCTACCGCTTCCGCGCCGTAGGTTAAAGCCCTGCTGTCATGTTTGACTGCACGCCTCACGTCCCACCGGCCTCTCGGACTGCCTGCATATACCAAACGGCCAGAGACCGTTGCAATTGGCCGCCTTCGCAGCCCATCCTGCAGGCGCTCCTCTGTGTTATCACTTGATCCCCCGAGTCTTACTCATGTCCCGATACGAACTGTAGGTCTTGAAGCTGCTTGAAGCTTCAGCTTCAGGTTCGATTGCGCGGAATATTCGCGCGTCGGAGGGCCTCGCAGTGCTGAGCGAGATTTTGCCCGCATATTCCAGCTGGAGCCGCAGGTGGCAGGTATGTCCCTCCGCTCGTGTTGCTTACCCTCCTAAATCGCTGCTGGTGGTAGCACCGCTGACCTATTGCGCCTCACTGCGCGGTGGCAATAATGGGTATTCTTTGCGCCTCGCAGGTTCCAGACGTACGGCTGTGTCACTGTCGTAAGTACGGGAGTTACTGAAATTGAAATGAGAGAGTATGGTAATGCGTTATCACCTTCTCTTGTCTCATTGCTGTCTTGCTGGGTGTGGGTTCCGAGCTGTCCCCGCGCACTGGGTCCAGCATCAGAAAGTTCGGTGGAGAGTAAGGGATCTGACATGATGTCGGTGACGAATCATATAGAGCGTGGGTGCGCGATGCAACTGAGCACTAGGGAAATAGGGTCCGTGCTTTAGTGTACGTACTTATATATCGAAGCGAAGATCCAACGTGCGTACATGATGATGTAAATACTTGATCTAGTCATGACAGTTACCAAGCGCGAACTTGAAGGGCATGTTCGTTTGCAGGCTCAAGCATGAACTAGACCATGCTTACGGTATCGTTCCTACCCCTCGAATGTTATTTCACGCGCCGACTGGTATTAATCGCCGTGCCGCGACAGATATATGATATGTAAACTGGATTGAGTTAGCGTGATTGTCGCATTTCTGGTTGCGTGTTCACAAATAACAAGTGAGCGTTGAATGTATTGGAGCTTCTTGCAGTCACGCGCGTTGCCGTTCGATGGGCGCCTCCGATGATTCCTTTTGATCGCCGCCTGCGTTAAATAAGAGCACTTGGAGGGTTTCTTCTTCCATCGTTGCGCTCGTTTCTTCCTTTTTCCCCATTTTTGACCTGCACCCTGCGATACGGCACTAGCAGCTAGTCGACATCAATGGATCCACTCGCCAACATGCTGAGCGGGATAGTACTTCGCGGTACGTAGTGTGCTATCTTGAACGCTATGATTGCCTTACTGAAAGTACTGTAGAAAATACCTGCTCAGACAACGAGCAGATTGCCGAATCGAGGCCTTATAACCTCCCAGACAAACTTTGCGGCCAACCCACTCCAGAGGTGCTGGCGATAACTGTCGGCTTTATACGCGACGGTCGCGGTGAGTTTGCATGGGATCTCTTTTCGAGATTTATGTATGTTATTTGTGGAGAGGTAGGTCGTTGGGCGCGGTTGGGCACCGTTGTATGTGCTGATGTCGAAGTAGCCCACAGGATACCCCGAGAACCTCCCGCCTGTCGACTCGTTTCCGTTGTTGACTGTGTGGCATCCGTCGCACCTTCCTGGGGGATCCAAAGTGCACTTCTACATTGGCTCCAACGATGTGCAAGCGTCAACAGTTCGTCTCGCCGCTGCTATGTTCCTCTTCACGAGGGAACACCTGCACCTGGCACTTCCCGAGCCTGAAGGAACTTTGGCGTCCAACACCGATTCCATGTTCAATAATGGCATGAACAACCTTATCAATGCCATCCATGTTACTTACAACGGAGATCACTTTATGACTGGCACCATATTCTGTTCCGACCGTCTCAAGACCTGGGAAGAGGGTTTACTTTCTCCCCGCCAACAACACCAATCTCCCAGCGCCTTTCGGTACGAAGGAAACGGGGTCCTGTGCAACGAAGCCTTCCTTAGATATGCGACCTATACGACCGACATTTACGTTCAAGAGACCGTGCAGTCTGCCTGGTACGTGTAACTGCCCTCCCAATCAATCTCGGCTGATGCTCCTCGATGTCTTTCAGGTCTTACTTTGTCGAGCGCATCGCTGGTGAGGGCGCTTCATAGCATACAAATTCTTTAACGGATGCTGTGAATATGAGGTTGTAGAACAACTTCTCTAGAACATGCGTAAATATCAAATATACTGTTTGTTTGATTCGCCCGGGCCGAACGACAGTCGAGTACCAGCTCCGTCATGACCATTACTATGGAAATCTGCGGATCCCTGTATGGGCACCACCTAGGAACGTGCATCGTGTGCTCCCTCATTAGAATGTGCAAGCCATGTACGGAAGTGAGGGGTCCAACCGCGTCTATTAGCATCCCAACCTTATCCCAATCAATCAAACGGCCTTGGTTGTCTCTGCGGCGTGTTGTATGTAATGGGTCGTCTCCACGTCTTATACGAGGCGTGTTGTCAAGGAACGGTGTCTGTATGCATTGAGCACTACGGAATTTCCTCCCGAGATAGACTGTTGCCTTCCCATCCTAAAACTCCTCCCTCGTACATTGCGCTAATGACGCCTGAAGCCCTCACTTCTGATGGTCTTCAGTAATTAATATTTTTTCAATGCGTTTCAAATAAGTTCTTTGGATTAGTTTTAGATAACTTTTTATCCTTATTCGGCAGATACTATAATGTTGTTTTAAGATAACATATTAGCAGATATGTTAATTTTTCTAAAACGTATGCTAAAGATATCAATCATCTAATTAAACTACCACTCATCATATATGCACAAAAAATCTTGAATAACATTTACATAACTGTTTTGATTCATCCAGAAGTTAGCATAAACCACCTTAACGAGTCTTTTAAAATAAATTCATTGTAAATGGGACTGATGTTTCGTGGACGCCAATTTGATAGGTTTACAATACCTGTTGAATAAGTTGGACCATTTTTGGTTGACATGTTCGGATTAATTTAAAGATAAGCTTCACATAAGTTGTCACTAGTCATCCTAAAATCCACCCTGTGTCGCAAACTGGCGGAAACAGTTTGTCACTGAGCACTATCTTGAATCACATTTCTGAGTGGGATGACCATGATGACGGCGGAAAGGTGTCGAGTAACACTGCTTGTTCGGAAGTCGTTTCACAGGCTCCATTATGCGTTGTAGGGCCTGTACCTGAATCACACGGCACCAACCTCAGATCATCATCACTGTTCGCAACGATCAACCACTGGGCTATCCAGTTTATTTACCAAAAGCCAAGACCTTCAATCACTGACCACCTTCATTCATGATCCCGGACCCGAGCCACTGATTCTATGTAGAACTTAGCCGACGATGGGATCTGCACAACTGACAACCGTATATCTACACGTCTACCGAGGAACAAGGCAACTCACCAGCACTCCTTAACCTCGCCCACCCACCACCACCACCATTACCACCACCTGCTCGATAGCCAGGAGCTTTCAGCCGCCCACGTCCCTTTCCCAACAATAGCTAGCATGTCTCTCCGCCAAATGGTGCACCCGGGACTCTTCCCGCTTCTCCCCGTCCTGTCGTCCACCGCGATGGCCTCGTACGCAATCGCCAAGTACCCGACCCTTATCCCCTTCTTCGCCCCCGACATGCCCCCCAAGGTCGTCGCACGCTGGATGAACCGCTGGTTCCGGCTGGGTAGCATCGGCATCATCGGGCTCGAGTTTGCGACCGGCATCAGCGGCTTCATCGCCCGTAGACAGACGACAGGTTTCGCGAGCGTGATGTACGGGTATGGGGCTGCGTTTGCGCTGGGTCATTTTGTGTTCGCACCTTGGGTGAGTGGTAGCTATACCTATCTTATGACGTCCGGCTGAACAAAACGCGCGCAACGCAGCTCGCACCAACGATCCAGCGGGTCTGTATCGGGCCCGAGGATGAGACCAGGAAGCAGCTCATCAGGTTCTTCAAGATCCACACCCTGCGCACGTTCCTTGCGGACGTTCCCGCTGCTTTGTGCTTCGTCCTAGCCTACCTCCACACTACATCACTATGATCTGGCAAATGCCCTTTCTAGTTCTTAATACCTGCGGCTGGCCGCGTCAAGGATGGACCACGGAAGATACCTCATCTTCATATACTTATGCATGTCTACCATACATTCCACTAGATCAGCGCGAATGACCAACTTGTCCGCTACTCAGCTTTCTTCCTCCCATAAATCACCGCCCACTTCATCACCGCATGCTCGCTCGTCGCCATCTCGTCCCTCACCCGATCCATGAGCTCCAGATATTCCTTCTCACTGCCCACTAGCCCGAACCCACCCGCGCGCATCACAGCGCCTGCCATAGCGCTGTACACCAGGTGCAAATTCCGTAGATTGGCCGCGCCAGCGGCACCGTCCGTGCCGTCCAACCGGATCTCCCGCGTCTCTGTCTGCACGTCGTCGAACCCGTTCTCAGCGAGCAGCTTGGGCAGGACGACGACATCCTCCCTCACGAGGCCCTGCCCCTCCCACAGCCTGCTCGCGATCTCATGATAACGCGCCGAGTTAGGCCCGTACAAGCGCAGATCGTCGATCAAGCGGCCGTCGAACTCGAGCATCTGGACGTATCCGCCCGGCTTGAGCACGCGGTGCGCCTCCTTGATGCTCTGCGTCCAGTTGTCGAGTGTGAACGCGCCGCCGAGGAGGCGCTGGTTAACCAGCGTGAAGGAGGAGGACCACGACGGGGGCAGGTCGAGGATGGACTGGACGGAGAAGTGCATGTTGGGCGGGGGCGAGGCGGGGAAGAGCGCGGACTGGATGTCGATGCCTTCGAAGTGCACCGTCGGGGGCAGGGTTTGGGCGGCGTCGTGGATCCAGATGCCTGTCACGTCCGGCACGATGTCAGTCTTTGGTACATGCTAATATGATGCGAGTGGATGCGAGTGCGTCTTGGAAAGTACGTACCAGATGCTGTGCCACAATCGAGGATACGATCGCCGTCCCTGAAATGAATGGGCGGGAAGATGATGCGGCCGAAGGCGTCTTTGAGGAGCTCGTGTTGCGTGTTCAGTCTATCGAGCGAAGGATCAGCGTTCCTTCCTCGCAAACACAATATCAATCAGCATAGACGTACCTATCACACTCCGGACGATCGTTCGGCAGAACATACTTCGATCCGGGGTAGTTGGCGTGCGGGCGCTCAGCGACGATTGTCATGTTCAGAGATGGGTAAGGTGGGGGATCGGTGGGATAGTGGTGTGCAGTGACTAGGTTATCGGGCAACGGGAGGTGATTGGGGCGACGTCCACTCTAGGCTGCATCCGCGTACCTTTTATGTTCGAAAATCAACCAGTAATCAACTTCCATGTATGGAGGCTGATAGCCTACACACTGGGTGCGGGAAAGAGCCTACCACTTCGCGGCGACGCTGTAAGACCGTTAATCCTGTCAGATCTTTGTTGTACCGAGGTCATGCGGAAGATGATCTAGGCATAACGGGGCTACGGCGACTGTCGGTGTGGATCCGAGTCGGACCTAGCTAAGCCTGATTACCAGACGTGTCTCCTCGTGTCTCCCACTAGAACGGCTGGAGAACAGGCCCTGAGAGGCTCCGGGGCCAAGTTTGTTCCGAAGTGACAGAATATAATGTCCGCTCACTCAAAGAACGCGGGGGTGAGAAGTTCATCTGTGTCAAGGGAGTTGCGTAAAGAAGTGGTAGGTACTAGGTACCCGTACCCGTTTTCCTGTCGCACTGTCGTCAGAACATGCACTGCATGTTGCTGATCTTTGGTAAGATAAAGAAATGCAATCATTTTCTTCGCTTTTTCTCCACCAATCTGGGGTCATTGGCTGGATAACCTGAAACACCGACGATCGCGGACAGGAGTGGGGATTTGCTGGGATATCACCATGGAATCATTTCATGGGGTACGTAGATCACGGAGAGAGGGGGTGAGCATTTATATTAACATGCCGCAGATACTAGTAGTGTTGCCGCGGGTCGAGAAACCAGCTCAAATCGACTCCTTGAGGCGCACTTTCTTGCCACAGTATCGACAGGAGCGGGTTAATCTTCGCGGTTTTAGCCTCTACACAACGACGAGGTGTGTTTTCTGTACTGATGATAAGTGCAAGTACAAGTCTCTTTGGTTTGGTTCCAGCTAGGTCGCCATTGATGCGGCAACACTAGCCGCAGGAATACTTACGTTTGTACGTCAACGAGCGGTAGCGTAGTAATTGGCAGCAGGCTTCATGATCCGACATCCCCCGACACTACGCGCTCATGTAGGCGCTCTGTGTTGTCTCCAAAAGCAAAGCTTTACTTTTCCAATCGAACAAAAACAGTGTCCGACTCGGAACTCAAATCACCCGGGGTACTCCGACGCGTGTCATCTTGCCTTTTATACGCGCCCGCGTTCTTGACAGATCTGCACGATTTGTCTCCTGAGTCGTTTCCTCGCTAATATGTCCTCTCTCAACATTCGCGATCCTGGCTCTGCAGCGGCCATTGCGGCTGCGTCAGTAGTCTTGGGCATGTTCGTGATGCGTTCTGCGCAACGCCCCAGCGAAAAGAGTTGTACTATCCCTGGACCAGAGCCTTGGCCTCTTCTCGGCAATATACCAGGGATCGACGCAAAATCCCCGTGGCTAAGTTACATGAACTGGAGCAAGACTTATGGTACGTGTTTCAACCTGTGATCTTACGTTCATAAATACTCATGGCACCCAAGGCGGAATATTTCTTACTACCGCGCTCGGGTTTAACACCGTCATTATTAGCGATGAGAAGATAGCACATGAGCTACTCGATATTCGTTCTAGCAAATATTCGGCGAGGTTTTTTGATCCGACTGGTACATTCGACGCGTAAGTCACTGTAACAGTCTTTCGTTCTCTCAAGCTAATGGCTTTTCTTCGACAGCTATGGGTTTGAAAGCCTCACTGCTCTTATGGGCCACAGCAACGAATGGCGTACCCACCGTCGGATATTCCATCAGCATTTCCGTGCAGACGCAGCCCGGGAATACCGAGATATGCAGCTGCACAAAGTTGCAGAACTCGTACGCAATATCCTAGCATCGCCTCAGGATTACCGCGAACATCTAGAAGCGTGAGTAGGCAGTCACTCTTGTCAGTATTTGGGGATTCTGAGTAACTCTTCAATGAAGATTCGCATCGTCAACTATTGTAGCAGCTGTCTATGGGTATCAAGCTCGCCCTGTAAAAGACCCGCTCGTCCAGAAGATGACGCACAGACTCGAAGGCATCCTCAAAACGATCGGAGTGGAGAAGATCGTTGCAGTTAACTTTATGCCTTTCCGTAAGGAAGCCATGCTGGAATATTTAAAACGCGCTGACACTTCTCAAAGTTCAATATGTTCCGTCTTGGCTCCCTGGTGGAAGCGTCAATGCCGCGGTCTGTCGAGAAAGCATCGAGACGCTGAGCCAAGAGCCCTTCGCCAGTCTAAATGAAACCATTGTTCGTGCTTATCGACATGGCTATAGTCCCCGTACTATATCATTGACCGTCTTTTTATATAGGAGCCCGAGTCGTCAGTACCAAGCGTCGGGTACTCCGGAATAACTCGTCAGGCACAGCTTCCCGATGGCTCCGAAAACGAGGATCAGCACCTAGTCAAAGATGTATGCAGTTCCGCATTTGCAGGTAAGTTGACTTGTTTTCTCTTTTCATTGAAGTAGGCTCTGACGGCTGTTCACTTTTTTAAAAAAAAGCTGGGGTCGAGACGGTATGTGCTCATGTTACGGACGTCTTGTTTTTACTCATGTCACGTTGGGATGCATGTTCTAGACTGCGTCAACCCTATACACGTTTGTGCTTGCGATGGTACTCCATCCAGAGGCACAAGCGCGCGCCTATGCAGATATAGTCAGAGCATGCGGCGCCGATCGCATTCCCACGTTTGAGGATCGAGAAGATCTTCCGTATATCGATGCCATTCTACGGGAAACAGAGCGCTGGTACCCAGTCCTACCCTTAGGTAAGCTTTCCTGTTTCTGCGTATGCTGGCAAGTTGTCTCACTCCGCAATGAAAAGGTCTCCCTCACTCTGTCAGCGAGGATGACACCTACGGTGACTACTTTATACCCAAAGGTTAGTTTCAGAGACAATTCACGTAAAGTCAGCATTAAATATATAGAAAACTCTAGGTACAACTTTCATGGTAAACATTTGGTTAGTCATCCCAACTGACCACCGACGATGTACTCAACATTTTGCTTGTTAAGGGCATTATGTCACGATGAGGAGCGCTTTCCTCGGCCAGACGATTTTCTGCCAGAACGGTTCCTTGCCGAAGATGGCACCCTGGTCAAAGAGACGGTGGATCTCGTCTTCGGATTTGGGCGGCGTGTATGCCCCGGTCGGCATTTTGCAGATGCGTCGCTCTGGGTTGCGATAGCGGCACTTCTTTCCACGTTCCGCTTTGAAAGGGCGAACGGTGCGCAGGGCACAGACATTCCATTCGATACAGAGTGGGCGTCTGGCGCAACTTTGTACGTCATTTGATGCAACGTTTCGTTCTGAAAATAACCTTATTTTCCGTAGATACCCTCTTCCGTTCCCCTGCCGAGTGGTTCCTAGAAACTCTGAGGAAAACGCCAGTGCTACCTGAGAGCCATAGGTCGCTAGGTAAAGAGGCACTCGACGCCTTGCGTTGTAAATTATATGGATACGTAGTACTAAACGGTAGACTCACATATCCTGCTGTACATTAACTTGACATAACACCACACCACTCACCACTGTCTCCTTGTGTCCTCCAAGAACGGCTGGAGAACAAGCTCTGGGAGACTCCGGAGCGAAGTTTTTTCCCGGAGTGACAGAATAACAGTCTCCGCTCCACTCAAAGAGCGTGGGGGTGAGAAGTTCATCTCGCGTTTCTGTGTTAAAGAAGTTGCGCAAAAAAGACGTAAAGTGAGGCCGAGCGGCTAAGCTGCAAAAGCAGAGGTGTAGGATGACACTTTCGCAATGTGTTGACGGCCGATGCCGTCGTGCGTAAGTCAAACGTCGGCGTGAAAATTAGTTCAGGCGAGAAGCCGATTTTGTTTCAGAAAGACAAGTTACACGCCCGCAAGCATCAGAATGTCCCGAGCTCATTCGTTGGGCTTAGATGAGAAGCTAGTTGGATGGAATGAATGATCCGATATGCGCACCCGACCAATGACTCGCATCCTATGGGCATTCAGCCTTGAGAATGCATCCAATTCGCAAACGAGCTCGCAGTGTACTATAGAGGTTTCCTCGCACAGATGGACCAAAACGGGATCCTCGCCTTGGGATCGGCCGCCCACTCCCTCTCTGCACCTTCCATCATCTTGTCATACTCCTCTCCCGTCATACCCCCGCCTTCGCCCATCCCCAAACCAAACGCGTTTGCTTTGAGAATGGGGCCTTTCATCGACCTGTACACGTTCACGCAGTTCATGCGATTGCGCACCGCACTCTGCCCACACGAATCACCGGCCGCGTCGTCCATCGGAATCTCCACCCGCTCCATCTCGATCTGCTCGAACCCCGCGGCGCGCACGAGGCCGGGAACGACGTCGTGCGTCTCGAGCAGGAGCCCGCGCGCAGGGAAGAGGCGTTCAATGATGCCCATGAGAAGCGTCGAGTGTGGTCCGCATTTGAGATTGGGCGTGGTGCAGCGCCCGTCGAATTCGACGAGCTGGATGTAGCCGCCGGGTTTGAGCACGCGGAAGAGGGTGTGTATGGCCGTGGACCAGTCGGCGCGAGTGAGCGCGGGGCCGAGGAGGCGCTGGTTGATGAGGCTGAAGGTGTTGGTCCATGAGGCGGGGAGGTCGAGAACGGAGTGTTGGAGGAAGTGGGTGTTGGGAGGGGCTGATGAGGGGAAGAGGTGCGTGCTTATGTCGAAGGCATCGAAGTGGATGGTAGAGGGCGAGATCGAGGCCATATCGAGGGTCCATATTCCTGGCAAGAAACCATAAGTTGGTTTAAGAGTGTGAACTTGATTATGCCGCTCACCTGTTCCTGTCGCTACATCCAACACACGATCTCCGTCTTTGAGCTCGACTGGGGCGAGCTTGACTCGGCCGGCAAATGCGATCTTGATTATGTCGTACTGGGTATTCAGTCTTTTGCTACATGAGCCGAGATCTACGCATTTCATGGACCATGAACGCACCTCTCCCCTTCGGGCTGATCAGCAGGTAGTACATACTGGTCATCGACGTAGCGTCGAGAGATCGCAGTGGGTTCTGACATGATCGATGAGAGACTCCGAGTGCGGATGCCTTGATATGCATGCAAGGCAGACGCTTAGATGGCAGTAGTAGAGCCCGTGTGATCATTAGCCCCAAGCTAGCCAAAATTCTTCTTGGCAAGTCAGGTCACCAGAACGTTGACAAGTCTGAGCCTGTCGGTGTCCATCCAAGCTTTGAAGTGTGCTCTTGATTGTAAGAAAGTCGATGGGGAGATCGACATAAGCGCATGGACAGCACGGACAAGGCAGTGTTGACCTCAACATGGAACGAGTCAAAATCTCAAACTGGCGGACCCGACGGTGTCCTCGCGAGGATGCACGTGACCGCGAGCATTAATTTACTTGCGACGCGCCCCGGATCGCGTGTCCCCTCTTGCTTCCGCTCCACCATCTCACACAAAGGGATGGCCCTCCACACCATCTCCTATACAGCTACAACACCCCTGCGGCGCTGGACGTCGGGGGAGATTGACTCGCCGCCTCCTCGAAATAAAAATCACAAAGCCGCCAGCGCCGGACAACCACTTTTCCGGCACGCTGTCGATCTGGCGTTACTCAAAGACCTCGTCATGCGAGAAGCGGAGCAATCCTCGGACGGAGATGTTGATTTGGTCGATATAAATGTTAAAGTCATGGCTGGAGTGAAGCGCTCAAGGGAGGCTTCACCGAGCAGTCCTCCGAAAAAGAAAGCAAGACAGGGGTCGATAGGTGTGCTCTTTTAATAGCGTTCCGCGTTGACGGACAACCTTGATGCGAGCATTGGTGACAGTGGGTATAGAAATAGAGACCTCACCAATCATCAATCCAGAGTCCTCTTCCAGCGAATCCTTGCCCATTGTGCGCTTCGCGCTCGAGATTGACGTGGCGTCGTCAGCATCCGAAAGTTCGGACAAGGCCCTCTCACGGGCCCAGAAAAGGGCGGAAGATGATTTCTTTGAGGCTGTAGGCGAGCTCTCAAAGGGAACACCTCCTGCTCGTCGAGGCGTCCTACCACTTGGTGCGGCGGAAATTCGGTCTCAGAATAACAAGCTGTGCGCTCTCCTCGGAGGGGAGCTGTCGCTTCCACTGCCACGTGTGCCATGGTCCCTTGAATCTTCAGTAGTCAGCAGCGAGCATGACGATGTCCTGCAAGCGTGCTATACCCTGTCCCGCTCTGGCTTCGTGTCGCTGGAGCTCTCTGCTCGGCTGCTGTATGATGTCGAGATCAAGCAAAATTTCCGCATTGCAGTAGACGTTACAGTCTTCCTGGACTCTGACATCAGATATCCTACCAAAGCCAACGCCGCTTCGCGAGCAGCGTACGAGGAGACCCACCGTCTCCTCATCCGCTTTCTAATGCTTGTGGCATACAACGCCCAGAGGAGCGCGTCGTTGCACCCGGATATGGTCCTCCGCTCCAGCAAGGCGGAGGACGCGACGATACCCTACTTCTACTCCATCCTTAAACCAGCTAAACGCGTCATCCCGTCGTTCTACGATACCTCCATACAGTCTGTCTTTGACGTGCTGCAGCCGGATGGGCTTATCCCGAACCTTCTTCCCTTCCAGAAACGCAGTGTCGCATGGATGTTGTCGCGCGAGGGACGGAGAATCGCTCCCGACAGGACTGTTGTGCCTGTCGGCGAGGTCTCTCAGGAGACCGGATCCGTGGACGAGGAGAGGCTCCCCGTGTTTTGGCGGCGGCTCGATATCTCAGGCAGCCAGCTGTACGTCAACTTGCTTACTTATGCGGTTCGCCAGAGCCCTCCGCGAGTGTATGACGTATTAGGCGGTATTCTGGCTGAAGAGCCCGGTGAGCGCCTTTCGCAGCAGAGCTTGTCGCGCTATCTGACAATTTCGATTCCTAGGTCTTGGCAAAACTGTCGAGTGCATTTCGCTCATGCTTTTGAACCCTGCTCCGCTGGATCGCAACGGTCGTCAGTGGGACAAGGAGACGCAGTGCGAGGTGACCGAGATCAAGGTTCGTGACGTGATGTACCATACCGCGGGCGACAAATGCTGAGTGTATCTCCCTAGACGACTCTCATCGTCACTCCACCTGCTCTAGCACCTCAATGGGCCGACGAACTTGCCTTGCACGCGCCCGGCCTCAAGGTCATCATCTACAACGGCTGGAACAAGCTCAAGATCCCAAAGCCCAAGTCGACTGCTGCATCACACGCCGATCCAGAAGACGATGTCGCGCAGCCGAACAAGTCCAGCAAGTTCAGCAGGGGAAAGTCCAAGTCCAAGAGCAAAACCTCCACCCCGGCTGCCGACGACACTACCTCCAAAGCTGCATTGCTTGACGTGCCGGGGTACATCAACCAATTCGACGTCTGCATCACAACGTACCCCATCCTGCGACAGGAGCTCGCGGTCGCGCGGGCCCCGCCGAAGCGGCCCCGGCGGGCGGACGTGACGTACTCGAACGTGACGCGTCCGCGCAGCCCGCTGGTGGTGTGCGAGTGGTACAGGGTGATCATGGATGAGGTGCAGATGATGGGCGGGGGCAAGTCGGAGGAGATGGTATCCCTGATTCCGAGGCTGTCGTCGTTTGCGGTGTCGGGTACGCCCGCGAGGTCGACTGTTCAGGATTTGATCCATGTTCTCAGGTGGGCTCTACTACTGCCCGCTTCTCATGTAGCTGATCACATGACAAAGGTTCCTTCGCGTCGATGGTCTCATCGGATCCGAGAAGATGTGGAACCGTCTTACGACTGGCGCGTACAAGGCGCAGTTCGCAGAGCTGTTCCAAAAATATGCAATCAGGTATGTTTACTTATAATCTATCGACCTGCTTGATGACTCAACGTTTTTGCAGAACTCTGAAGTCATCCATCACAGAGGAATTGACCATCCCTCAGCAGCACAGATACCTTGTGAGCATTGAGCTTGGCCGGGTCGAACGACACGTAAGTCTTATATTCTTAAGTTGAGTTTACAGTTCATGTTCAGAGCGAGCTCAGGTGTATGATCATAGCCTCGAAGAAGCTCTCATCGAACTTGGTCTCGATGCTCGTGGTGTCGCGGCGTCAGCCGAGTGGGAGGCGAACGCAGCTCTTCTGCGGACTACGCTGAGGAAGCTTCGAGGAATCTGTACACATCCGCTGGTTTGTCCTTTCTTGCTTGTTCAGAGGTCCTCTTCCCCAAGCTGATCCTCCGAATAGGTGGGCCAGCTGCAACAGCGACAAAATAGGATGTTCAAGTCAACGTTGAAGACTATCGGCGACGTACTGGAGGTGACTGACTTGATAGGACGGCAACCATGAATGCGACTGAATCATGGATTTACAGGCTATGCGCGAACAGAACTGGCGTAATACGCTAGATGACCGAAAAGCGAAGGTAGAACCCTTGATTTGCGAACGTTTTCCCTCCAACTCATCTATACCCAACGCTAGATCCAAGAGCTAACGCATTACGCCGAGCTTCAGAAGCATGAGCAAGTCAACGACCGATACCGTCGCGCTCTAACCTCCCTCCTTGTAGCCGAGAGGGAATCCCAAGCGCTCGTCGATGACGTCCGCGCCGCTATCCAGGAACACAAGGTCAAAGGGGATGCGCTCAAGCGCGAGGTGCAGGTCCTACGCCAGTCACGCAAGGCTAACCGCGCAGTCGCCTCGGCGCAGAACAATGACGCCGACGCCATCGTTCACGAGGATGGGAATGGCGAGAGAGAGAATGGGGGCGGCAAGGGTAAAGGCAAAGAACGCTACCGATCTCCCTCGCCTTCAGACGGCGAAGACGACGACCTGGACCTCGATATCCTGGATGGGAGCGGCGATCCGGAGGAGCGCGGTCTCCCGCGAAACGTGGCGGGCGAGGAGCACCGTGCGAAGACCACGTCGCTCCAGGCACGACTGCGCGAGGCGCTGATGGTCCTGCATAGGACGAAGTTCTTGCAGGGTGATGTGTATCATCTGCTTGGGGCTGAGCATGCGGCGAAGGAGGACGCGGCGTATGCGGGTGCTGAAGCTATACGGAAGGACTTGCTTAAGAGTGAGTTGCGTAAGACTTTGGCTGGCTTCATGACGCTGATTGAGCGCAGCCACGGAGGAGAATGCGGTGAAGAGTATGACGCAGCTGCAGCCTGATATGACCGAACGGAAGATCACGGAGCAAGCGATGGGTATTGAACTTCCCTTCCTTACGGGCGGCGGTATCAAGTCTGCGCATCTAGTACGTCCGAAACAATTGTCTCTTTAATTGCCAGGTCTCACGCCATCCAGGTCGAGGAATGCAACGAAATCATCGAAGTCCCCCTGAATGAGCAAACCCACCTTCTTTGGGTCTGGCGGCAGCACATTCACGCCCTCATCACCCAAAAGCTTTCCTCGAATGGTGAACAGTCCGCCGACGGCGAGGAGTACAACCGCACGCTCGACACGCAAAGCGAGGCCGAAGTCTACCTGCAGGCATACGCCGCCCTCCTTGCCGACCGGCGCGAGACCATCCTTTCCGAACGTACATTACTCGCCACGCACGACGTGCGTGAGAAGCACAAGCGGCACACCAAGGCTTCCGCCATGGCAGCATCTGCAGCGGAGGTCTCGGCGGATCCGGTGCTGGATATGCCGGAGGACGTGGAGGTGCAGCCGCAGCACGAGATTTTGCACAAGAAGCTCATGGACGAGCGCAAGGAGCTACGCGGTGAAGCGGAAGGGAGGGCGATCAAGTCGATTATGGTTGAGCTTGCGACTGTTGCCGCCAATATTGTGAGCGATAAGGACCCGGAGAAGATTATTGCGAGGGAGTTGAGTGCGAAGCTGAGGGCAATGATTGCTAAGCAAGGTATGTTACGGGTCTAATCTCAAGCAAAGTGCGTGTTGTTGACGGTGAGTACGTCACAGGTGGTTTCATGGATAAGATGGACGCGGACCTCGCGCAGCTCCGCAAAGTTTTCAACGATCGTATTTTGTATGTCCTAGTCTTTATACTAACGTCTTAAATCTTCTCACTCGGGTTTCACAGATACTTCCGACAGCTACAGGAAATATCCGACACCGTTGCTGAAGCTGCATGGGAGGGCAGCCTAGACGAGGCCTTGCAGGCATCCTTCACGGAGCAAGCTAACCTGGATGGGAAGATCAACGCTGGCCGTGCAAGGCAGCGTTACTTGGATAATCTCGCTAAGAACCAGGAGGATGGGCTCGATGAGGATGACAAGGCGTGCATTCTGTGCCGATGCGAGTTCAATAGGGGCTTTATTACTCAATGGTATGATAGCCCCTATCTCCCAGCGATCAAGTGTCTAACTGTTGGACTTTCAGCGCTCATGTATTCTGCGAGGTAAGACAGCGTGCGCTCTGACGAAGCTTAGGTGTTGACTTGGAATAGGACTGTATGAAGGCATGGATGGAGAGGAGGGAGGGTAAGGCGTGCCCTGTGTGCCGGTATGCATGTTCTACCCCTTACCTTCTGAAAGTTCTGATTTGCTTGCAGCGTTCCCATCAATGTCGACCAGCTACAGCGATTTTCGTTAGAAGGTAACAATACCGTCCCTCAGAGGCCCGTCATTATCAACGGCGAGCCTGTCCCGATCTCTCACCGGCAGATCAAGTATAACATGATCGGTGAGCTTAAATACACCCATACAAAGCTGCCCCTCGCTAAGCTAGTTGGTTAGACGTGGATATATTGAACCGCATTCAGGACGTTGAGATGAATGGGAGTTACGGAACCAAGATTGAAACACTTATCCGCCATCTCCTGTACATCCAGATGCAAGAACCCGGTGCGAAGAGCGTGGTTTTCTCCGCATGGTCAGACTCGTTGCACAGTACGTGATTCCCTCTCAGGAACGATCATGCATGACCCATCTTCGTTTCTTTTTCTCAGTCGTTGAGCTCGCATTGGAGCGGAACGGCATCCCCTGCCTTCGCATCGATCAGGCTGGCAAAGGACGCGATACGGCTGCGAAGCGTTTCCGTACTAATCCTGAACTGCTGGTGTTGCTGCTCCACGGGTATGCTCCGGAACTTATTTATCTCGTTGAATCCAAGCTGTACTAATAAGCATGGCAGTGAACGTGATAACGCCGGTCTCAATGTCACCTGCGCCTCTCGCGTCTTCCTGCTGGAGAGTGTTGTGAACCACGGGTTTGAAGTTCAGGGTAAGTAAGCGATTATACGAGGGAGACTACTGCCTCACCAATGCCTTTCCTAGCCATCGCTCGTATAGACCGCATGGGTCAGACCAGACCTACCGAAGGTGCGTTCTACCATAATTCGCTATATTGCAGTGGACTCATAGGCACATGAAGTGTTCTGCTACTATGCGGAAGACACGGTCGAACGGAACATCCTCGATCTAGCAGCCCGGCAGGGTCTCTCGCTGTACACGGAGGAAAACTCTCACGGTACCCTCAACGTCACCCCATTTGCGGCGGACGGCAATGAAAAGAAGGTCGACAATCCGGGCAAGAAGAAGGCGCAGAAGGGCGACTTCATCTCCAAGTGCGTTCTATTCTCCTCCACAGTTCGGAACACTAACACTGTTTTAGGGTGGACGACATGCTGGCGATTTTGTTCCCTCACATGTACGAGGACTTGGAGTACTTGCTCCCCGCAGGAGTGGTTGGGGCCCCCATGGACGTTGATGGAGACATGGGTACCACAGTGGGGCGCCATTCGTTGCATGGTAGCTCCCAGGCGGGGCCATCCCGGCTTGGATGATTGCAATGGACACCATCAAGGTTATATGGTTATGGTACAGCTTCATTAATCTGTGTAATCTCACGCGCTATGTGCAAAATTAATTACCAGCGCCACCAGGCGCCTGTCCGCTTGTTTGCTTAGCGCACGTTGGAAACTCTAGACATTTGTACTAGACAGCGGGAAGGCAGAGTAGAGGAAATCAATTACCGCTGTTGGGATACTTCTGTACTCTGTGCTGCACGCATAGCCAGAGTTCTGACTAGTTCGAAACCCCTTGTGTGTACTGGGGCGCCTATTTACCAGATGATACGCGCTTAACCTTGTCTGCTGTGGCGGATGCCGCGTTTCGGCACCATGTACACGAATATAGTATCGCCCCGTGATGGTCGCTCGTCAGTAACTCTAGAATACCAAGCGCCAAATCTATATCTACGTCATGGACTTTGGATACTACTACCCATGCGATCGGGTTGGCGCAGCTCAATCAAAGAACTAGCGCGTGGGGAATAGGTATCATTATGTAGCACGTAGAGTGCGTTTCCATGCAGACTTGTAATTAAGATCTTCAGCTGGGACATTGCACAGTGCGAGTCAAACCAGTGAATGGTCAAGACAACTGTCAGGATATAAGCCATCTAGAGATCCTTCTTAATCTTGACCGTGGAGTCCGGGTTGCCGTCTGGATGACGGTAGGAACCTCCAAGGCGGTCAGCCCACGTAAAGTACTGGCCGTAGTTGACCGTGAAGTAGAGGTGGTGCATTGTATGGTGCGCGGGACCATTGATGTACTTCTCAAGCGGGTGACCAGCGATCATGTCCCCATCATGGATCTCCAAGCCACGTAATAAGTTGATCAGCATCCCCAATCGTGAAGATGGGATTGTTCCATTAATGAAAGGACTAAGCAAGACGTACCAGAATAGACCAGAGGCTGACAAAGTTGAATAGACCGAGGTAGAGCCACCGGTGGAGAGGGAAGACAAAGATGAATATGTGGTACGGGAGGGACTGAATACACACGTCCACAGGATGGATAGCGTACGCGGAGAACGGAGTTGGTACTATACAACACCCATATGCACTGTTAGTAATAGTTGCCAAATTGAAGCAGAGCAGCGACTGACCGAGCCATCGATGATGAACCTTGTGGAGCCTCTTGTAGAGGCTCGGGCGATGCAAGGTACGATGAGCCCAATATACGCCAAGATCAGTAAAGGCAATGAAACTACGTCCCATTTATCAGAAACGAGAAGACCCAAACAGCCTAAATCAAGTCTACTCACAAGACGACCGAAAAAATAAAGTAGCTCCAGCCGTACTCGTCGACATGGTCGTACAGCTTCGAGTATCCCATCACCTCAGCCTGGAACCACGGCAGGGTGAGAAGAACGACACCAGGCAAGGCACGAAGGCTGTCCTGGATCTCGAGCTTCACTTGGTTGGGCTTGAAACGCGGGTGCTTCATCATCTCGTGGTTGAAGACGAACATGTACGACAGAGTGGCGAAGGTGAAGTAGAGCATGTGGAAGCCCACGAAAGAGAGAACGCCGAGGGAGATCAACTGACGCGGTATGTAGTCCCTAGTCCAGGCGGACTCGAGGACCGAGTATGTTGCTGTGATATTACTGTGCGGCGTCGAAAGCGCAGGAAGAGCGCGCGCCCATGCACGATCGAGGAAGTAAGTATCAGCTGTGTCGAGGATGAGATCCATGGAGGCTGAGTACTGGTGATTGTTATTGAGGACTCGTCGATGGGACACACCTCAGCTCTTTATACCGAGTCGCTTCGGCCTCTGAAGTAAAAGCCGTCGAATTTCTGCGGATCCCTCTAGTTAACTCTTCCCACACGCTCTGATGAGACCGATGTCTCTAGCTTCATTTCGTGATTCTTGGGGCGAGCTCATACCCCGACGGCCGCGTAATGACGTCCAAAGCTGCGGTCTGTCGCCGATGCAGTTACCAGTAAACAGTGAGCTTTTCTAATAACAGCAGAACGCAAGCTTAATCAAGATCAAATCGCAGGAAAAATCAAGCCAAGTCATTGTATCTCGCCGAGACCTTCGGACATTGTCCGACGGTCTTGCCCACGACCATCCAAAAGACGTGCGCGTTCAAGATAGCTCTGTTCCGACTCGGGTTAGGGACGCTTACCTGGTTACGGATTGGATTGTATGCGTGGGTCCTTCTGATCCTTCGAAGTTCATCGCATGTAGCTAGATGTGGCTGGCTTGGCGCAGCACAGTGGACTGAGGAGATCCGTCAGTGCGTCAAAAATCTGGCTCAGACCCATGCTCTTTACGAAATCTAAGTCGATTTTGCCTTGAGCTTGGGCTATTATGCGCGAGCAAAGCAGCGTGTCGCCACATGTGGCGCCTAACAGCCACACCATTGGTCTTCGAATACGTATTCGCACGAAACACGCAGACGGGCTGTGATAGGTTCGCTCGGAAGGAGGAAACCGGAAGACGATCCGAGCATATCCGCCTATCGGAAAGCCCCAGCGGACTTTAAATTTGTTCCTCACGGACGCTGAGCTGCTTGTCCGAGTCTTCAAAGTATGCCAGCTCCGGTTGAGGACTCGCACATAGAGACCTCTCGGTAGCAGGACACCTTGTATTGAGCTCACTATTTACCCAATATGGCGCAGCACTCAGATTGCTTGTGTTTACCGGGATTTCCGGTGTCTTAAGGGTGTCCCATTCCAAGTGCTTATGTTTGCATGCATCCGCGTCGACACCGTTGACGTAGTGTGCTTTAGATTCGTTACAGCATCACATAGCGGTGTCCCAGAACAATTCTCTGAGCTCAATGTACTCGTGTGTTTAACCACTCACGGTGAGCTTGGAATGTGCCTGAAGTATGCGCTCTCCTCGAGCTCATTGTTACTTTCAAGTTGTATTTCGTGAGTAGTAGATCGAACGAGGCTGCTCGGCCGTACCAAAGTTTTCTCATGAGCTTTTCGAGACCTTTCTTCCATATTCGCCGATATCTCTGAGGACGCGATAAATTCTTCTTCTGTTCTTCAAGCATTCACTCGGCCTTCCATGCCTAGGAAGAACGGATAAGACACCCGACCTCCGCACAGCATAGTGTTCAGTTCGCCATTCAATCCGCTCCTACCAGTCGCGGCTAATACCACCCACATAATCGAACCCCTTCCTTCCTCCTACCTCTTCCTCAGCGGCAACACTCGGTGCAACAAAGTTGCAGGCCCACATTCATTTCTCGAAAGCGTTTAACCAGGAGTCATCCTAGCTTATCGTCCCGTCGCAATTGAAAAGGCACGGCTTAATATCGGTGCATCGTGCTGAGCTGTCACATGCGGGCGGGTATCCGAGCGTCTCGGGCCCCTCCTTTTTAGTGTTTAATGAAGCGGCTGCCTCGGTGCCAGATTCTAATAGCCCGTTTTCGTGGATCGACGCTGGACGGATAGTGAAATCGAGCTACTCTATATTTCCTGCTTTCTTGAAAAGTAAAATGTACGTCCTGCTTTGTCGTAAGTTGGAGTTTGTCTTTTGGTCATATGCCATCTCCCCGCTTGTTCGGTATTTTATCATGGTGAACCTTGAGACGTAGACAGCGTGGTCTACTACGAGTGTGTCGAGGACAAGCACGTTCGTCATCGCAATGCGCTAGACAGCTTGATGTCAGGCTAAAGCATGTCAGAACAAGAATAAATTATCTGATAGGGACTGAGAGGCTGTACGAACAACAATAAGTGCTCTGCACCACGGCCTGCGTCATCGTCCTCATCAGCAAGTTCAATGCAGTGAACGTTATCATCCTCACGGAAGGAGAAAGTAGGGTGTAGCCGGCGATAGCCACCCTGTCCAGAGATCTTGATTATCGAGGCAGTCCTCTGTCATACCTGGCGGAAGCTTGAGAAAAAAGCCTCGCCGTGTCTCGCCTCGGGCGAGCCCGTCCCGGGACGTCACCGTGTCAGAGTCCGAGGATTGACGTGTTCCGCGCTCGAGGCTGGCATAAATCTAATTTAATCTAACGACGCGTGGCTTTCTACTGGATTCGCAGGCGCGGATTGGCCTTGAATAAAGGGTGACTCGGAGTCGGGCGTGTCGAACCGTTCGTTTGAACATCGACTCGCACTGGCGACTCGAGTTGAAATCGTGTTTGATATTCCTCGGGAGAATACCCCACTGTAGTTCATTAGCTGTCGGTGGCGCTGGTTCTCACTCCGTTCAGTACAGTATGTTTTTCCGCTGTATACAGTACATGTGTGATAAGGCGGGTGTAGTCAGTACCGATAACACGCGTTTTCAGGTCCGGACTCTGCATACTATCAGCAGTAAGTAGCAGTGCAACTCAATTGACCCACTGGTTGATGTGGAAGCCGCGAGGATGTCTGCGAGTTATCTGGCCAAGCGGCCCGATGATCATCTCGATTTTCTGGATGCGACGTGTTTATCAGGATGAACGTGTGCGGTTTGTTTTTATGGAATACGACTTGGGGATATCACTGAATGTCGAACTCTATTGCAATGACGCACCTGTCTGGGGATGCGGGTCGGCCTGATTTTCTTGTCCGATAGCTCGTTCGCCTCATAGGAAACAAGTTGAAATTTTTATCAGAAGAGGTTAAGCTCGTGATAATTGATGTACACACACACACGACGCACACGCACCATAGCAAGCCAATATTCGCGCCACTTCCTGAAAGTTCGTTGGGTCTGTAGAAAGTCCTCGAAATGCGACGACGCGCGTACGGTACTACCGGCTGATGACTTCATCAGTACCATAAATACGCTAACGCCTGCAAGTCCTAGCCGCACCCCGATATTTTGAGCACAGAAACACGTTGAAGCTGATGACTCGCCGAGATAGACTTCGATGTGACGGTCATATGTTTTCATTTCCCTGACGACACAGGCTATGAGAACACCAAGCTCGGATCCGGAGTTTACCGCTCCCTGTCAACATTCACAGCAGAGGTGCGTTGAAGCCCCGCGAAGCTGGGGCCCTCGCTTCAGATTGGAAGGCTGCCTGGATGCCTGCAGGATGACAGATGACGGAGGACCGGGGCGGCATGTCAATTGTCGAGATGATAACCGCGGCCGCTCGCAGAACGAGAATGACACGCTCACCGCCTCCGCATACGATCGAGAAGTTGCGTTGGTGTATTGGTAATTGGCATTGCGTCAGATGCTATGGACGAGCGCGCGAGGTGCGTGTTCGGTTTGTGCGGTTCCTGTGTCCCGGTACCTCGAGTACCTAGAGTTGAGAAGGATGAGAAAGAAAGAACGTTGCACTGCGGGTGGCGGTTTGAATGAGTGGGCAATCGTGAGCTTGGTTACACGTTCACTGATTGTCCAGATACGCCGTCTTGCGCTGGATCTTGCGAGGAGATCAGCTAGCTGGATGACGATATCACACAGCTGGCTGTGACATTGCATGAGCGCTTTTGACGGTGAAATCAATTAGTTCTCGATGAAGTCACTATGCGATTACTGGTTAGTATCAGTAAAGGAGTGGCCAGTATTGATAGCTAGCTCATTTCGAGCTTTAGAGTGATATCGAACTTGCCTTATTGGCGCATGTTAGTGAAGAAGGTCTCAGGTGACTGAATAATAAATTTGACCGCTTCCGGCCTCGACTACACGTTTTTGCTGATGCTGGAGATAGGCCCGGCAAGTGACGGCATCCCGCGATGGGACGTGTTCCGCTGGCCGAGGGCGGGAGTGAGTGCGAAGATGAGAGCTGGTGACCTCATAGAATGTGGAAATGAAAGCTTATGTATTTTTGTAGAGGCCCAAGCTGATCACCTAGATACGATGCTGGTGGGAGACAAGAGATATGTCTTGGATCACACACGCAAAGGCAGCATGTGTGACGGAAGAGGGAAAGAGGGGCCGAGTGGGAGGAACGAAGGCACTGCCGCATAGACGTCCATGGCCCAGAAAGGGAAACTTGCTGGCTGGGGAACGACTTGCTCTCATTCACTGGACCAAGTCTCCAATTCACTTTTCCTCGTTGCAATCTCTGCAGACCGACACAAACAACGCCCCCTTCTTCCGGTTCTCCCCCAGAAACAGCGTCTGCGCCAGAACGAAACAAGCGAGAACGTGGCTTTCATACGAGGACGTGTTATATACCCGTAACACTCCCTCTTGAGACTCCCCAGACAGCCACCGCATCCTGCTGGCGTCCTGTCATCGTACGCCGACCTTCATATCTTTCTATTCGCCATCCTCACACTTTTCATCTCCCCTTCATACTCCCCACCAATCCTCGGCCAAATTACCGCACACGACCCTTGCTGCTCTTGTACCAGTGCCATCACCGCCATTTCCGTTGCTGTATCTACCACCCATACGTCTCACCTCCAACCATCCATCCGATATCCCTGCCACCAACCTAGGCACACACCACCTTACACTCCATGCTCAGGCAGTCCGATTCGGGGTGCAAGCCGCCCTCAGCAGCGACGTTTTCCTTCACCGCACCCTTCCCCGCATCCGCATCTTCCTCCGCTCACCACCACGCGCCACCAAAGCAACGACGCGTCTCGCTCGCCCTTCCCTCGTCGGAGACACCGCGCATCATCTCGGGATGGAACTTCCGAGACGACACCACCATCGCTGCCCACTCGGGCTCCGCGGTCGCAGATGATGAGCCCCTCTCAGAACGCCGTGGCAAGATGCGCCGTATCTCCACGGCACATGACGCAGCTCTCGCTGGCATGAGTGACAGCCACGACGGATTCATCATTTCACAGAAGCGGCAGCGCAAGAAGTGGTCGGAGGAGGAGACAGAGATGCTCGTCAAGGGCTGCAACATCGTGAGTCGTACTCTTTTCCTCAGTCATCCCGACGTGGTCGGGCGCTTTGTTAGACGCGTACTCACACACATCCGCTACAGTGGGGCGTCGGCAATTGGAAGGCGATCCTCAAAGACCCAAGTCTAAAGTTTGACAATCGCTCCCCTGTGGATCTCAAGGACAGGTGCGTCCGCGCTTCATCACACGTGCTCTGACCTTACCTAGAAAGCTGATTCGTCTGCCTTGCCCGCACAGATTCCGCACCTACTTTCCTGACGCATACAAGGAGCACTACCCCAACGCAAAGACCCACCTCTCATCTAAAGTCCGCTCCACCCACCCAGACGGTCGTCCCCTTTTCGAGAAAACGCGTTCCAAGAAGCGACGACCGTTCACGGAGGAAGAGGACCGTGCTCTGAAAGCGGGCTACGAGAAGCACGGGACCGTCTGGGCTGCGATTGTCAAAGACCCCATCTTCCAGTCACAGAACCGTCGATCCACCGACCTCCGTGATCGATTCCGCAATGCATTTCCTGAGCTCTACCAGGCGGCAGGATACAAGCCACGAGGCGCGCCAAAGAAGCGAGACACGGGGCGCGTGATGCCCATTCGAGCTGCTACTGACGATCAACTCGGTCGAGGGGTCGGTCCCACAAGAAAGCGGAAGACTCGGCAGTTGGGAAGAGGGGGTACAAAGAGCGTGCCGGAGAGCGCGACGGGGTCTGAGGATGAGGGGGAGAGCTCGGACGAGGATGGGCTGTTTCGGTGCCCGAGCATCGTACACATGAGCACCATGGCCAGCAAGCCCGCAACTTTCAGTGAAGCACGCATATCGACGCCCACCACCACATCCACCTCCGCATCCGCATCATCAGCTTCTGCATCAGCACCAACTTCTGCGACTGAGCCGTCCTCCGCGTCGGACATGTTTCCTGACATGGAATACGAGGCGATCGATCCCTTGTGCGAGCCGCTCTCGCTTCCTGATATGCTCCCGGGCGGGTCACAGAGCCTCTCCGAGCTGACGGACACCAGCACGAGCCAGGCATGGTCGAGCAGCATTGACACGCCCCTAAACACGTCTGCCTGGTCCGGCCCCAGCGCCGCATCCCCAACGACGTCGCACATCTCGTCCGACTACAACATCCTACACCCCCATCTCCATCACACGCAAACTCAGGGGCAACGCGAAGGCACTGGCAATATCGGCAAGTCCGCGTGGGGCGCGCATGACTGGTTTTCGCCGAACCCAAGGCTTGGGCAGGACTCGTCCACCTCCGGTGAGAGTGCGTACGCAGACCAGCTCTCTCTCTCGCCCACCCCTTCGTCGCCTTTTGCCCTCAGCGGCCTCGGCGACTTCGGTCTCGGCGGCCTTGCGAGCCACCCGCTCGGACTCGGACACGCGTTCGGTTTAGGGCTTGGTCTGGGGCCTGGAGGTGCATACGAGCACGCACACGGGCACGGCGTCGTCGAGCGCTACGATCTATTGCCGTCTGCCAGAGCGGCGGCGGCGGCGGCAGAGAGGAACGGGCTCGGCGGTGCGCACCACCACCACTCGTACCCCTACAGCAGCCACGGGTACGGGTATGGCTCCGGCTTCGGGTTCGAGAGCAGCGAGGGCGGCGCGCCCGACAGCAGCGAGGCGTTCTCCGACCCGGGGATGCGCCCACCGCACTCGCCCGGCTCCGCGTCGGCGTCGGCGTCTGGCGTGTCGGGCTTCGATTTCGACGGCGAGAGCAGCGGCATGGTCGGCGGGACGCACGGGGGCGGGATGGGCGGTGGTATGCGCGGGTTCACGCACCACTCGAGCTACGCGGGCGATCTTATCTTTGGTGCGCGGACGCATCAGCCACTCGCGTCGCTTGGCGCGCTCGGGCAGCTGAGTATGAGCGTGGGCGTCGGTGCGGTGGGCGGGCTGGGTACGGACCAGGCGGCGGCGCTGTATGGCCCTGGGTTCGGGTTTGGTACGCCCGGGGCTGCTGCCGCTGCCGCTGGGATGGTGGATGGGATGGGGCTGGGTCTTGAGGGGATGGAGGGGCTCGAGGGGATGGAGGGCCTTGAGGGGATGGAAGGTATCGATGGCATGGAGGGCATGGAGGGTGTTGGCGTGCATCGCTCGCATAGGACTGGGAGGACGCCTGGTTTGCCAGGTATCGACGAGATCGAGCTGTCGAGCATCACGCTTAGCGACGCGGACGGCTCTGCGGCCGAGCCATCTTCTACCACTGCCTCCGCCAACAACACATCCAGCGGCTCGAATTGCTCAGTCCCGTCTGGTATCAGGAACGTGCCCCGGAGCAGGAGCAAGACCACAGCCGAGGCTGGGGTGCAGAAGGACGTGACGACGGACCCGGAGATGGCTATGCGCTTGGCGGGACTGGAGCTGTTCAATCTTCCTCCTAGCGAGCTCGAGGATATGGTTAACGACGCCACGTCTGTCCCTGCCTCTGCTGCTTCCCTTTCCGGAACCAATGGCTCTACGACCTCTGCCTCTGTTTCCGCTGCTGTTGGTACTGATGAATCGGATGCAGCCGACGACAATGACATGGATATGGGGCACGACCATGAAACTCCTCCCGCCACGCCTCTTATCACCACCGGCCGGAGCGGCGGACATGGACGACACTTCCGCGCTGCGTCGACAGCGCACCTTCCTTCCCATGGGCTCTCGCATGCCCAACGTCACAGCCAGTTCCCGCATGGGACTGACGGTCACCATCACGGGCAGAGCGGTAGCGGGCAGCACGTCCGCTCTGTGTCGGTCCCACCGAGCGAGCACCGCATTCCCATCCGCACACCCGTGATGCAGCCACAGGTTGCGAGCTCGCGCTCGTTGCCCTTCTTTGAGGCCCTGCCGCCTCCTCATCCTGCCGTTGCCCAGCCGCACCAACAGCAGCCTCATGGACTCCCCGCCCAGCCCCTGCGCTCACTCTCACATGACGCCCACCCCGTTTCCCCGCCGACATTTTCTACCTCGCCCGCTGGCGCGCACAACAGCTCCACGCAGCAGCAACAACAACAAGATGAGCTCCAGTACCCTGAGCCGCCTACGCACACACCCGGCAACGGCACGCTCTGGCGTCTCCCCGCAGGCTCGAGCGAGCAATACGGCATCCCCTTCCTCGACCTGCACTACTTTGCCGCCGCGTCTGCCACCGACGGCACCGCCATCGGTCCGGGCACCGGTTTCGGCGAGACCGGGCCGGGCGGAGAAGACGCGTCGCGGCAGGGCCAGGCGCTCGACCTCGCGGGCGCTGGGACGTCGTTCAAGCCGAGCTCGGCGGCTTATCAGCACCTTGCGTTCCTGCATGCTCAGCACCAACATCTGCACCAGCAGAGCCAGCAGCACCAGCAACCGAATCCGTGGGCAGGGCTCGCGCTCTCGCCCGCGGCGCTGCATACGCCCGAGGCGCTGCTTGCGATGCGCGGTGGGCACGCACAGCAGGCGCATGGCCAGGGCCAGAGTCAGAGCCGGGAGAGCGGACATGGCGCCAGCGGGGCGGGGGCGGGGCGGCACCACCATAAGGGCCAGAGTTTTGTCGCGCCTGCGGATTTGCTGATCCGCAAAGTGGGCGACAACAAGCGGAAGCGCGCGAGCTGGGACGGGGGTGCGTTCTGAGTGTCTTGTCGGCACGTTTCGTGATCTGGATTTCCCTTCTTCTTTCACCATTGCTATGATTTTCTCGATTCTTTCATCATGCCGCTGCTGCGCTGCTGCTTCGTGTGTGCTAGCTACACACCTTTCGCCCCGCCTGCTTATGTTTTTCGTCCAATTTGGCTCCCACTCATTCATCATCGCATCAACATTACACATACTAGTCGTCAGGCATACGTTCTCATGTTTTATCTTTTGATGTCTTTCTTGTCTCGTATTGCTTTGGGCTTGGTCTTTTTTCTCTCCTCTCGCTTTATCATCTGCCTTTTTGTCTCTGTCACCACACATACACGCATACCACAGGTGCATATAACACGGATCCAACATGCACGCATCATAGTCTTACGTCACGTCAATTTCTTCACAGTCATGCAAATATATGATATGTTTCTGCATTGATTGTTTGCTGCAGCACTGAGTACTGTCGCCCGTTGAGAATCCTGAGGTCAACCAAAGGTGAGGAGACTGCCTGTTTTCCCAGGGTGAGCGTGAGAAATATGTACCGACTCACTCTCGCCACCGTCATCCACGACGCCAAGCAACGCTGCTAGTAACGAACTGCGACGAATCACCGTTTCCATGAGATCTCCTCAGAACTCGTCCACTTTTACGATCCCTGAAGGTTCTTGTTTCTATTTGCATGGCCCACGGATGACCTGGCTACACGCGATAGGCCAATCGGCGAGTCATGGCTGCTTGGCTCAAGCTTGGCTGCGCAGCCCTTTAGAGGGCTCAAAGCGACTTTCCTCGATCGTGTCAAGACTAACAGCGCTATCGGTTGGTGGGCGGAGCGGCTGAAGACAGTCGTTCGTCAACGTTCGATATTCGTGACTCCATCTGGCGTACGTCATCCTCTACCCAGATCCAATTATTTTCACCCACCTTCTTTTGCGGTCTATTCAACCTGCATGGAACCTTCCTTTGGTTTCCACCTCATGATGCTGACTTCGCTCCATAATTATTTAGCGCCTCTGACATGTGAGCAAGAAGGTCATCAAGGAAGACATTATGTACGCTTATCCCCGGTTGAACCCACTGAACTCAAAATGTAGCGCGTTCAATCCCATCTTCGCCCGTGGCCATACGCTAATACCCTCATGCAAGCTACGTGGTCAATGTTTGCTCTCCTTTCCCCCCTATCAAAATGTTGGTCAATGCTCAAAGAGTGCGATGCATCCGTGTGTCTTCCTTGGTGCCTTCGGGGCTCGCACTGTTTTCCCTTCCGACCTGGCGCTGGCTAGTCATATATACTTATGAGATGCCGACATGGACCTTACGAGCAGCCTTCTCGAACGCAGTTAGCACTAAATTACATGAAACGGCTATATTCGTAGCGGGATCCAGACCTTGCCTGTGCGAGAAGAAGAGCTGCGCAGCGCGCTCCTATCGCGGGTATCACCCAGCAACTCAAGTATCAAGGGACGCGCGCCTATGTGTGAGAAAGCCTGGCGCCTACCGCCGGACTATCTATCTGGCCCTGCAAAGTTTGAGCCCAAGCCGCGTCGAGTAAGTGGCTAAACACGTGATGGTCGCGGAAGAGTTAATGTGCTAACGATAGCAGGCATTCTCCAAGGCGAGTGGACCCGTCAAAGTGCCGTCTCGTAGCGTCTCGTTCATTGTGGTCGAGGCGCCGTTTCAAGCATGTGTTGTCGTTCCAAGGTGGACATTACGTTCTCCATAGCGGAACACGTGTGAATCTGTCACAGCTTTGAGTTCGTCGGCGTGGTCATATTCATTGCATCTAATTTGGTCACCAGGTTAGCATGGTGTTTCTCCATGTGCTGCTCCCTTCGTCTTAACCCACCAATCCAAGTGGTCCTTTCCTGTATTCATACCCTGCGATGCGAAATGGATACCCAAGCTGTCGGGTGGGTGCTGCCTTATATGGTCACCCGCGAATGAGTGATGGACCCGAGGTGCACACCCATCTGTCCTTCTTTACGTTCGGAAGCGAACTGCGATCCTTGCGGTGATGCGCTGCGCCAGGCTGCACCCAAACTTATCACTATTTCTGTCTTCGCTTCCACAACTTCCCCATAAAGTCAGATAACAACAAATTTTCGAAGACAAGACAATCGACAAGCACATTGGAACAGATGGCGTCAGGCAGGTGAGAGATTGGAGTTGCCTATCTGAACATTTAGGTTCTTCCTAAGCTTTGGATTTCGGACTTCGACTTCCGACACCGAGAGTCTTCCTCACGTAAGTCCCTGTTATTAAAATCATGTTCGATCTGGAACAACCTCCTTCGCCACTTCCATTTCATACAGAAGTAATTTGGACTTATGTATAACATCGGCAGTGTCAGGCGAAGCTGTGCCGTAATTATGGGCGTCTCCTCAATGTCGTCGCTGAGAAACCATGTTTTACTAGCGTCTACTCATCCCTATAAAACATAGCACGCCAGTAAAACCTTAAAATATCAAGGGTTCTGTTTCTCGTTAGTTCCCCACTCACTTCCCCCTACCATGATGGCAGCGCAGCCCGAAGAGTCGCAGCTTCCCAGCCCCGATAACACTATTAGAGAAAGGCTTCGTACGTTTCATGTCTCGATAGCCGTTTCAGACGGGCGCTGCTGAATTGTTATCCCAGGGAGCGTTTTAATCCCTGCCGCGAAGCAGGCTCTTCAAGACGCCCAAAGTGACATAGGCAAAATTGAAAAGAGTGCGCTCAATTCAAAGCTCTTCTCCACTGATACACCCCCGTTGACGTCATATTACACAGCCGAAGTTCCTCCACCACAGCTCAAGGAGGTGGCAAAGAGAATTATTAGCGCAGGTAACAAGGTTGTCGTAGTGGTACAGGATGTGTCGGCGCTGTACCAGATAGGACAGGTGAGTTGACGTCCAGGCAATGGGTGATTTTCACGGATACTAATCAATCACTGTCGGTTTCAATTTTAGGACGCTGCGTTATTCTATGCCGTAAGAGCCTCGTTATGGTCGCCTGGCTACTTCTTTCTCACACTCCTCCGTGCACAAGTCGCTTACCAAGATCGAGTCGGATCGGAAGGAGCCAGCGAATCAACAGATAGCGATCATATATTACCTGATAGTAAGCGTCAGGACTACCACGCTCTATACCGTAGCTGACGTCGTCATAAGTCGTCGGTGATCTTTGCCATGCGTCATCTCGACCGATCAACTCCCTTTTCTCCAGCACAAAGAAGCGAGCTAGACCGTCTTCTGGTGGAGTTCAAGAACACCATGGAGGACTTTGGTGTGTTGCTATTGCCATATCGCATGTGTTCTTTCAGAGTCTCAATGTCTATCTAGGTCAATACGCTGAGTAGGCAACTGCTTCTCTTCTGCCTTGGGTATAACTCATCTTTTTCCGCGCGTAGCTTATGTTACAAGAAGGGAAGCTTTCGTTAGTCATTTGTTCTGCCATGCGTTGATGGAATTATGCTCATATATATACAAGTGGCCGTCCTACGTGGTACCGAACTCAGGGGTCGAATCAAGAAATACTGGGACGACTTGATGCAACATCGAATCTCTCTGACCGAGTATATCGCGATCGAATTTACTTACGAAGTTAATATCAAGGAGATACTGAACCAGGTTGGACACGCGACGGATAGGGAGAGACTTGCGACGCGTTTTGTCGCCGACAATCGTGGTCCGGAAGCTGTCCTTCGAGTAAGAAGCTCATCACATAGAGCTCCATATCACACTAACTACCGATTACAGAACCCGGAACTCCTAAGTCAATTGTCGATGATATTGGGAGAGACGATTACCGACTCGTTAAGGAGATCGTTGACAGGCGATGTGGCGGAAATGATGGAGCAAAATCGGTCAGTATCACGTTCAGACTTCTACAGGGCTGTCACTCATTCCTCGGCTGATTGGTAGAAACCACTTCAACATCAAGCTTCGAGGTTCGACTGCTCGCATCCGAAAGGCAATCACGAGCTCTCGAGAGGCAATTCTCAAACGGGTTCGTCGGCCCGATCCCTGTCTCAATGATTACGCTTAGTAGATATCAATGTAGCTGGATGCGGGCCCTCACGAGCTTATCATTGATGACGACATAAAGGCAATATGGAAAGGTAAGTGATAACAATATGTATGAGCAGTGCTGCGCTCATTAGCTATATGCTTTTCTCAGAGAACGTGCGTAAGAAGTTCACAACGGTGACCTCACTGATCAAGCTTCGCTCAGAAATGGCGCATGTCTGTGAAGGCCCGAACCTTCATGGATGGTAATATTCTTTATCCGGCAAAGTCCTCACGACCGTCTGATTTATGCTTCGATAGGCATACATAACTATTTCGAGCCTCACGTGAGGCGTAAGATACTTGTAGCAGCGATCAACAAGGTCGGCATTCAGGGAGATACACCGGTAGAAACATCGTCTGGCGAAGATGACATCTTCCAGAGCGAAGAATGGACACTTCCATTTTTGTCCAACGCGATGTGTATGCTTTCTCCTCCAGCCGCATGAAACAAGGACTAAATTGGCCTTAGATTCTCCCGCTGTTGTAGATGCCATGGATGGCGATGGTAGTGGGTTCATCTCTGTAGATGAGTGTAACGACTTCCTGCAACGGAGACCACCGAGATGGAGGTGTGTAGAGTAGTTCTCTGCGCAGAGTTATCTCTAATATCTTCAAGCGTACCCCAATGGTTCTCTTTGTGAGTTTTCGCCTATTCCACTCTTACTAAAACGCAAGCGCAAAGTTCATATCTGAAAACAGCTGGGCTATCGTGTGGCTCATGAATAATGAACAGTGAGCGTCGTTATCAGTACAGCAATTTGGGACGGGCTAATCATATGGTTTAGCTATCTTGACAAGATAAACGAACATATAGCCGCCATCAAGAAGGCAGCAAAGGTAACCCAGCCAGGAAATAAGATTCCCATTCGGGCTTCGGAGTACATGAAGTGGCTCGACTTCCTCGACCCTGTCATCCTTCAATCCTTGAACTGGGGCATAACTCAAAACACTCCAAGCTCCATCGCATATGGAGATCTCTATCGAGTACAGGAGGCCTACACGAAGTATGAGGAGGGCAAGATCGACGAGGAACTGAAACACATTGAGTACGCCGTAGACGATGTTGAGGCGTTACCTTATATCACAGGCCATGACCGGATTGAACTGGTCAGTTTCGCTTAAGTGACCGAGAGTTGTGTTTCTGATGCAAACTAACGGTAGATCATCATGCCTCTATTATATCTCATCCTCAGCTATCAACGCACCATCATGGAGCAAGCGTCGAGGGAAGTTGTTGATGGCTCTGTCTTCGGCAAATTCAAGGATGCGTTGAACACTGTCCTTCTAGCTTTCAATAGTCGATTGAACGACCTGGAGCGTGGATGGAAGCAGATGCGAAAAGATGTAAACGCTCAGGTGGAGTGTTTCGCGGGGGGCATGTTCTACGCATGGCAGCAAAACGTGTGTATTACTGCGTGGGTGTGAGAATCCAGCTGAAATAACTTTGCAGCGCCGTAGCTCATCGAAGTCTAAGGCCGCCAAACCCTTGCTCGACTTCTGGGCTAATAACAATGTCTACACTAATCGATACGAGGAAGATGGTTCTGAATGGTGGAACGTGTTCAGCCCCACTAGTCCAACCCCTCAAGGTTTAACCCGTCCAGTGGCCAGTGGAAGGGGCAGCAGCTTCTCCCGTTTCTCTGCTTTCCCATTCCCGAGGTTGACGCATGTTCAACCAGCACAAGTAAGTCCTTGGGTTTACATGGGTGCTAGGTGGTTCACACATCACGTAATTTGGTCAGGGGGACCCGCAAAGCGACCGCATTGCCGCTCTCGAAGAACGGATGGAGCGTGTCGAAGATTTACTGGATTCAATAGATCAGAAACTGACAAGGATTCAAGCGAGCGCCGCCAGGTTTTCATATATGGCAGGCAAAAGGGGTAAGCTTGTAAAGCACCGCCGAAGCCGTGGCAGAGAAGAGTCATACCAAGGTTCGGTGAACTCGGACAGCCATGGGTGTGTCATTAGTTGAGGGAGATCGTAATACGAGTTTCAGGTGTTTGGATAGCTTTTTCCATATCGTATGCTATGTAGTACTAGGGAATGCATCTAAGTGACGTTGAGCTTAAGCGATTAAACCACATGCATAATGTCACCCGTTTTAAAAATAGATGGTGATTTAAGTATGACTCACCACGTTATAAATTATTCGCAGCACCACATTTCTAACTTATTGCCTCTTGAATGTGTTTTCCAGGTGCCGGTGGAACGAAGAGGTATAAAGAGACAAGGTTCAAGCTGCGCACCCTCAGCTGACGTTTCGGAGATACGGAGTCTTCCAGAACGCCACGTGTCTACACCTTCAATTAAAGTTAATTAATGGAATTTTCGCAGCTGCCGAGATGTGACTATGGTGAGAAGTCGGTTTGGACCAAATTATTGGGGCATGATACAAATACAGTGACTAAAATTAACTAGTACTACTTGCTCTCAAGGTGTTCCGGTGAGGGCATTCCCCTCTTTCAAAAGAACTACATGTACTGACTACCTAGCCTACAACCGATTGAACCGCGTACCTCGGTGTTGGGCATTGCGATCGGTAAGTTTAGTAGCCTATCACGACTCGGAGATGGATGGGTATTCTTTACCACCTCTACCATGAGGCTCCGAGTCGATTTTTACTTTTTGGGGCCATGGCATTTTACAAAAGATGAGTGTCGGTACCGACTTCGCCGCCGCCGATCTGGGTTGATAAAGTATGAAGGCAATTCCTCCTTGCTCGTCTTGGATTTGAACAAGTCAACTTCGCGACTCCTCTGTATAAAGAAGGCACCGTGCGCCCACCCTTTGAAATCTGCTCGAGTATACGAGGGCTTGGTCATGTGTACTTCTTCGACATCCGAAAAGGGGAGCCCGTAACCGAGGCTTTCACACCGCAGACATTCTCGAATGTATAGATGGGGAATATTGGTGGACAAAGGCGCGAACGAGGAAACATTTTTTGGTATATTTTTGCGCTGTGATACAGGCGCCTGAAAAGGATAAATTTCCAATTGTGACGCACCTTTTTGAGCAACGAAAAAGTCTTCGGCAGAGTATTCTGCCATTTTTGGATAGTAAAATTGAAACTCAGTTTCCATATTGGACAGTTGCGGAGTCAAAGTAGTTTGCCCTTTTGAAGACCAAATATTCATACAGAGGTTTCCATCTTTTGCGCCTCTTTTTAGCAATATTTCCTCGGTAAATAATCGAGAATGTCTGTGCTGTCATGAGCTCTGCTCATCCATCGACCCTACTGATTTTAATATTACCACGATCTCCGAACCGACATGTCACTAGTTGGAGCTCAACTTGAATGAAATTTTGCCCGGTGACTTTGATGATCATCGGTGGGGTTCCCATGTGCGCAGCATCTAACGTGTTGGTCAGACATTGTATTTTAAGCGCCTAGATCTTCGATAGGACAATAGTGGAAATTTTGCGGCGTCAATCTCACTTCCGATAGTAGTTTAGCTTCTAGGACGAATGCTGAACCGATATCAGTCAAAGGCGTCTTCTTCGCATATGGACAAACTATTCTAGGCTCCTTCTTGCGTTCCTTTCAGTTATCGGTGAATGGGTTCTATCCCCGTAATCAGCATCTGCGAACGAATGACCGACATCTGAAACTTGCTGGACATTTCGGTAAGGGTACGTAAACGCGCTAATATAGCAGACACATTTCTTGTCTGAAAGTCATTTTGAGATGGGACGACGGTTTCGGCGGTGTTAAGTAGCCGACAGATCACCGCAAGCGCCCGACAAGAATATAAGATGGGACCACAAGCGCTATTGAGACAGTCACTTGTTTCCTACCCATCCATCACAGAAAGTGGGGAAAAATTATAAGTACTATGATGTGAGCGTACTTATGATCGTCACTATGGGCTACGATAGAGGCCCATCGTGAGAAAGAGAACATTATGAGGGTGGACTCGGGCACTATACTATAACGCTCGGTCTGACAGAGAATTATAGACACGCACCGTAGGAATGCTATGTATTATAGCCAACTATAGATGGTCACCCAAAGAGTCGTATTCAATGTAGACGCCCAGTGATTTGCACGGTATAATTTCATATATTATAGAGTCTTGTCAAGTTAGCTACCTACATTATAGAGCGTCGTAATTATTCCTCATTAAATACGACGTATTATAGGCCCTCATCGTTATGTCATCAATGGTGATATTCGGACGATACAGAACACCGTGTTTTCAGAGCTCGTGCCGGCCCAAAGTGCTCAGGGGCTTGAGTCGCGCATTTCGGGACCAGCGCCGACAGTTCACGCCAAGCATTTGGACATAATTCCCT